GTTACAGTCGATACGAGGGTGGGGATTATTTTATTATTAAGACACACGCATGATTTTTTTCTATCTTAGCGAGAGCTGCACGTCAAGAATTGTCCAAATGCCTTTATTTTAAGCCAATAGAGAATTTACTTTGACTGGTCTCAACATCCACAAAGACAAAGATCCCCGTATAGCTTCATCAGCAGTAAGTGCTATTTGCGAGCACCGATGAAGGCCAACACGGCACACGAGGGGGTGGGTGACCGGCGCCACTCCCGGCCGCCTTTGTCTCTCCCCCACCCCCCCCCAACTGCTGATGTTCAGATATTCGTCACCGATGTTGGCTACGAGCGGGTATCGAACTCGGGTCGCCGCAGCGCGCTAACCGCTGCCCACACGCTCAATCACACTGGCACACGTGGAGCAGCAGTGGCAAAGAATGGTGAAGTCTAAAGCAGTAAAGCAGAGTTACACTGCTACGCGATGACACTCGATACGTAGATGACCCTAAAAACGTGACAATTGTGACTGAAAATGACCGCGCAACGCCAACAATTTAGCCCTAAAACCTGCATTCCAAACGATTCGATTTAAAACGGGGATATTAATAGAAATAATAATGATAGCATCTCCTACAAAACACTTAACAAGTAATTTAATACCTTAGTAACGGGGGGGGGAGGATGGGCGGGCGGAGGGAGGGAGGCGGAGCTACACCTCTCGGCAAAAGTTACGATTTTTGAGAGACGCATATTTCTCCACGACCAAATGACGCAAAGGCACAATCATCTCGACGGACAAACCCACCAGACTTGACGCGAACGAACGGCGATCACACGGCCGAGAGCAACGAGGTTGCACACCACCAGCCTCCCCACCAGGCCCTCTCAGACCCCACGTTCGACTGCTGGGGGACCGACGACTCACCCCCCCCACCCCCGCCGTAGCGTGGGCGAAACGTGCACGGGGGCGAGGGGAGGGGGGTCGCGAGTTTGACGACGCGGAAATGCTAAATTCACAGCCGCCACCAAAGCAAAACATTACACCAGTACACACACACACACCACTTGGCTTCATCTTCATTGGTTCTTTCGGTAAAGTCACCTGATGAAGGCCGCTTGTGTTGTGGCCGAAACGTCGTGAGAATTTTATTGTGTTATTTTATTTCATCAATATATTATTCTCATTCTACGTGACTTTACCGAAAGAACCAAAGAAGGTGAATCCTTGCAGTCACGAAAGCTTTAAAGCTTTAAATCGAAATTTAACCACTTGGCTTGTTCATAACATGTAAAAGGCAGACTGATGCGTAGACATCCCGTCGTCGTCAGTGTTGTTTGGGAGCTGTTCAGTTTGCTCGCTCGTGGTCTAGACGTAGGGTTGTTCGTAATCAGTGTTCAACTAAGGCGGGGGGGAGCTTTTTAATGCCAAGAGCCATTTGGATATTTATAACATCATTCGCGGGCCATACAAAATTATCAACTTATAAAATTAGCCTGTTATATTTGGTCAAACATTTAATTAACTCACCCCGAATGCGATGGCTGGAACTGCTTCTCTTTGGCGAGGCGTGTGATGATGTTAGCCGGTGTTGATGATGTTGCTACTCGCAACTGCTTTTCCAGGTTTGCTCCTAGATTTATTAAATTTCGAGTCCCGCCTGCGGTTGCCTTGGCAAGGCCAGACTAAATGATTTCGCGGGCCGTATGGGCGGACGTTCCCCACCCCTGAACTAAGCGATGTCGATAATCGCATGCAAACAAGACGATGCCAAATGGGGAGACAAAAAATCGACAAACTATATCGGTTCACAAACCTCCAGACATTCGGTACTGAGCAGAGTGCTCAAGTATGGTCAACGAAGCCCCCCCACCCACCCACCACACATTTCCGAAACGGCGGTGTGATGACGCCCTCATCCAGCAGTGGACCGACAAAGTGCGGTAAGTTTTAATATACAAGTTGTGTATCCCATGGGTTTGGTTGACAGGTGGACTAATCGGGTTGGAATCCGCCGCGGCGGTGCGAATGGTCCCGTGAACCGATCGCTACCAACCGGATTCGGCTATCGATTCCGTGCAGAGTTTTTTTTGTTCTTCATCTTGTAGAACAAGTAAGCAATTATTAAAACATTACAAAAAAAACACTCGATAATCGATAACAACCCCATCTAGAACATCCACAAAGCAGCAATGAGCAACCGACAGCGAGACCCCCTTAACAACACCTCGCTCCAAACTGCCTCTGACAATCTCTCTCCACGCACGTGGCACTCAACCCTCGTCTCTCACCCCAAAAGACACACACACGGCAACCCCCCACACCCGCCCCCCCTCTCGACCTTCAAGTAAGTGAGGCGATAGACCCACCGAGCCACCCCACCAATGCATCCAACGGGAGAGTGAACCAAAGACCATTCACGTGCGAAGAACGGCTGCTTAACAGAGGCAATGTAACCCCCTTCCCCCAACCAAAGCCTTGTCCCGTGTCAAATACATACATGTGCTCGAAACTAAACACGTAGATATATAAAAACAAACGTGTGTTTGTGTCTGTTAGTATACACACATACCAGCAGTGCACTTAACCGAACGTGGAGCAATGATACATTGCTGAGCACCAGTTTTTCACATTCCAAACGACTGCGTTGAAAGAATCTTGCATTTTTCACCACCAGCTGCATCCCGAATAGTTCAGAGAAAAGTAACGAAATTATCGCAGAACATTTCAATACGTCCGGCTATTTTCTGCCGTGGGAATGCACCGAGAAAATTTCTAACTTTTTGATAAGCTGCATTTTTATTATTTTCCACCGAGTGGTAAATAGGTTTCACAAAACAAGTTAATATATGCATTAATAATATAGTAGTGATGATACAAAATAATAACAATGATTATAGCCAAGGGGCAATGGTTTTGCTGGGCTCTGCAGAGGAAACAGAGAAGTTGCTTTGATTAGGATCGTGAACAGCGCCTGTCGAGGTATCGCTCAAGAGAGGACAGTGCAAAAAAAAGAATTCAAGCATGTAACTAAAAAAAAATAGAACAAAAATAACAAAACAGCACCAGATGCAATGTGCATGCAAATCAATAATAGTATTGAGGTATTTGAAAAATAATGAGTGCCAAAAGAAAACCACACAATTTTTCCACTGGAACGTCTGAACAATGCGCGCCAGCCACAGTGCGATGCCCTCCGCGGTTAGGGGATGGTTTTTCCACTGGCAATTTGCAGAGCCATGTCAGAACCCAATCCGTGCAAATGTCCGGCCTCGCTTAGACACCTGAATCTGGCTCGAGTTCCCAAGGGTCCAGGGGCAAGGCTATTCAGTTTTCCTGTCGTACTTATTCATTGCGTGCGACGTCAGCAACACGGCTCGGGTTATGCAGTGGAAAAACAACAACCTGGCGCTGGGCTGGCTCGGTTCGGCCGCGGCATGTCTTGGTTGTGCAATGGAAAAAGAGCTACAAGAGGACCGACCACCCCCCCCCCCCCCCCACAAACCGAAGCCGTGGTCAGGGTTTAACATCTGCAGGTCCAGACCGACCGTCAACTAAGCCAGGAGTGAAAATTTTCAGCATAGGGAAAACGGCTCCGAAAAAAATCCAGAACGTCGATGAAAAGGACGCAACAGCTCTCATATTGCAGTTACACACCTACGTTCAGCCTCCTGTGGCTGTCCCAACGCAAGTCAGAAGCTTCGTTATTGAAAAATAATCAAATAGCCCTCGTGATGCGAGCGTAGCGGATGGATTCAAATTTAATGGAAATCAAGTCGGTGATAACACCGGAGCGCGCACATAAAAGTCACTCGAAAGTATTTGTTTTTCCTCAGCGGACAGCCCCCCTGTGCCGTCAACCCACACGTGTCGGTGCGGGTTGAAGGCAGGGGATATGGGCGCTGGGAGCATACTGCAGTACACCGGAAATCGCTGCATTGCCCTCTGCAGCCTGCGACACTTGTCTTTGTGAATGCCGGTCGCCCTTCGAAGCACTATCCAGGCTCAACAATCTGCTCAGCTCCTGAGACGTTACAAGATCGGGCATATTTCCAGGCGAGATTCGTCTCGCCTGAACCGCAGGCATTTTGGCCGATAACGAAGCTTCAAACTCGTGTGTGCGTTTGTTTTGGACAGGCCGGGGGGGACCACCCATTCTCGGTTCGCGTCCAAAACATAAGAGCTACCTCGTCGTTCTTTTGTTGACCTCGCGTCTTCCTTGGACCTCCTCACGGAAACCCCCAGAAAGCGTCGCGGGCAACCTGGGCGGAAGCACCCCGGGCGACACACCGCACAGCACGAGGTCCGCACCCATCATCCACCCCCCCCCCTCCCCACGAGATTACAAACGGCGTCAACTCAGAGCCAGGATGGCACGACGCCTGGTCACACCGCGGTACACGTGAAGCTACGCGCGGCAGTGGTTGGGGGGTGGGGAACGGGTTAGACGCGAGACAGCCGCGACAAGTCTGCGCGCACGTCGCTTTACCGATACTGCTGCTGCTGCTGTGGGCGTCCTGCTCTAGACGCCTGACACGCGGCGGTCAGAGCCGTCTGTCGCTGGCACCGGGGGGGGGGGGCGGGGCTTGATCGTAAACACTGGGACCGGGACAACTCCATCCCCTTCCCACCTCCCCCATCCCGCCACCCGTCCCTCACGCCCCTGCATCGTAGCGCCATCTCCAGGGGCGAGAGCGGCTCAAGGACGAGCCGAGCCGAGACGCGAACGACCGCCGTTATTAAATAAGAACTTCATCGGCGAAACCTGACCCGAACAAAAAAAAAACACACACACACATTCTGAAATACATAGTGCAATTGTTGTTGTCATTTGTATTTTTTTGTCTTCTGTTAAGTTTGCTGTCACCCGGGACAAAGCGTTTGTTATTCATCAGTTTCATCCTGGGGCTACTCGAGACGTTTCTGCAAAACGATTTCCATTCCCCGAGTCTGCCCTATTTGTTTAAAATACTTGTGATTTCCCCCTCCCCCCTCCTCCCAACACCCCCCCCCACACACCGCTTACTCGCCCACCCCACTCCGTCTCCCAGTTCCATGTCCCCCTCCCTACAAACGCGTGCGCACCCACACGCTTGCATCCAGTTATTCAGTAATACGATAGAAAAACGATACGTGTCTAAAAAATAGGTAGATGTGTTTCAATGCAGCATTTGACAGAAGGTGAACCACGAGAGCACCAGGCCCCGACCCCGAACATTTCAACAACAAAAAAACCTCGCAAAAATATCGTTCGGAGCTTCGCCTGGACACAGAATGCAGCATCTTATGGGCCCGCGTGTGTGCACGAGTGATTTCAATAATATCACTATATATAGAGCTATGTACATAACAATGTTTATACAGTAAATCTGTCTAACGCAAGTGTGTAAGCCTGAAATCTGACCAAGAAAAGCTCACCACCAGCCACCCTCTTGAGAGCGGGGGGGGGGGTGGGTGGCACTCAAAGGGCACGAGCGCCAAACTGGGGGTGAGACGCTTCTAAAAAGTCTGTCACGATAAAGAGAATATGCGCTGGTGATTTGAATTCCCAAATCTTGGATAGGACCAAGAACTTAGTCCACACCCCCCCCCCCCCCCCCCACGACACCTACGACCAGCTGGTAAACGGACAACGCATCGATCGGGCTTCTCACCAGCAGCATTCCAGATCTGCTTCTGCACCTGCTGAGGTATAAAGATGCCACGAGGCCCAATGGAGCATTCTTAAATTAAGCACATCATCATTATCGTCGCCGCATTGTCCTCCAGTGCTAAGAACGCTCACGACCGGTGAATGTTTTTGTAAAGACTTTTTGTTGATAAGATTGGAAAAAAAGACATCTTAGGACAACTCAGGCCCCTCCGTCACGACGGCGTAAACAAAGCGAGCGACGACCGTGAGCTCGCCAACCCAGCCATGCAGCCGCGATCTCGGAATCCCCGACGGACATGGCTCGGAACCCACGATACCGAGGACGGCCCGGCTCGTGCGTAAATGAGCGTCGCTTCGGCCGCTCGGCTCCAGGTGGGAGCGGCACAGCTGCGGAGACACCACAAACTGGGCGGTTCACGTGCACTCCGGCGAAAGGAATCGCTGCGATGAGGTAGTAAATGTTGGAAACCATCAATGCCTCCCTCCTCAGGTACCTACCCCCCCCCCCCCCAACTAACCGGTCCACCCACGCACCGACGCGATATGTCGACAGCTCGCACCTCACCGTCGCGCAGGACCGCAGGGCAAAGGTGCCCTACCGCCACTGACCGCAGGGGGGGGGGGGTGGGGGTGAGGGTGAGGGTGGAGCGCCGGCAACATCCAGCGCAGGGGCAGCAGTGGCAGCTCCGCGCCGGCGATATGCGAGCTGACAGAAAAAAAAAAACTGTCCCACTACACCGGGCCCCGTCCACCTGCCACTCGTGAAACGGCACCACGGACAGCGAAACACAAAAGCCCATTAAATAATAAGACGAAAGAAACACAACGCGCGCAATGAGTGCAAAAACTTAAATCGTGTAAAGCTTACGCTTCTCTAGTTTTGTCTGAAGTGTCGCTACTAAGGCATTTTTTTTCCCCGACCGTGCCCCGAGGTGGGTGGTGATAAAATTCCAAACGGGATATTTCCCCCCCCCCCCCCCTCTAAGTGAATTTAAGAACGTAGGAAATATAAGAACGAGCCGATTTGAAGATGCGGGCAAGCGCAAGCCACGTGCACGTGCGTAGGCCGATTTTTCCGGTGACCTTGTTGAACCTCGTTGCGAGCTCGTTACTCGCCCGTGGAGCGGAGCTAACAGATTTACCGAACAGCCCATTAAGTTGGCGATAAATCGGTGAGAAAAATAATTACTTTCGCGCATGTGAAAAATAAATTGTTTACGTGCACACAGATTTCCAATTACAGTATATTTCAGTTTGAGGAAAGAAAATGCATATATTAACTTTAAATTACGAGAAAGATTTGTTTTTAACAAAATCAGTGTAGCATATTGTACAAGTTGAGTCGCCTGATAAAAGTGAAAAGATTTGAACAAAAGCGCCGTATTGTTTTCCCCATGACATATTGCACGCACGGTACTGGTACACCAGGGCGTAAAAGGGAGCATTGGTCTGGGCCCAGGTCGTGCCCCGTCGCTGCGTACGAGCCAGCTTGCATTACAAGTTGCGGTCCTTTCCGACAATCAGTTGCAGGACATTATCCGTTAACAAACCAAAAGGGATACAACAGCGAAAAAGCGAACTTCGTTGCCTCCCCATGGCCATGCGTAGCCACACACGGGAGCCTGACAAACCTGCTTCGCGAACGCCCGAAGACAGAGGGGGTTTCATAGCGAAACTTCTCAGAGCACCCCACCCCCCCCCCCCCCGAATTGTGGAATGTCGACTTCCCAGCGCCGCCACTACGTCAAATGCAAGTGCAATGGGTCACAGAGGAACGAGGATGACACCTGATGCCAAAGAACCTCGGGATTGAAAACCATTCGCGTGACGGCATTCGCGGGGCCACCGTTATCGTTTGGCAAGGAGCAAAAATAACATCGGACTGTCGTGGGGGCCCCCGTGTGTGTGTGAATCCCAAAAAAAAATCGTCTCTTTAGCCCCCTTCCCCCTCATCCCCATTTCCAACAATTCCAACCACCGCGGCCCCTGAATGACCACCACCAACTCCTGCATGTGGTGCCGCCGTCCACCCGTCGCGACGTCACACCGGCCAGACCTAGCATTCTCCACTCGACCGGAACACGGACACGATCGCGACACAGCCCGACGCACCGGGCGCAGTTCCGCATCGTACGCCGTCGCTCGGCAACTTCACCCGCGTCCCTCTCCGTTTCTGTAGAACCCACAGCGTGTGCACGTGCATGCCGGTTTTAACCTTTGATCCAACACGGGAGACCGCTACTTGCCATCGCTACCGAGATGACGGGAGCGTGGTATGGACGTGGGAAGGCTGCGTTGGCCTTAATGAGGGTAGAGTAAGCAGTTGAAGGATGTCCCCTCCAGTTTAGATGATGTGGAGTCTGGTGTCAAGCCTGCACCGTAAAAGAAAAACATTCCAAGAGGCTCAGGAGCTGTTCTGCTTTTCACAAAATTGCGGGTCAACTGCCCGGGCATCAGCAAACAGGAGATATGGTGAGAGAAGACTTGCAACTCTACCGACAATAAAAATGTATCTGGTGTTGTAGATAACCACTTTAAGCTGTGCGTTCCTGACTGACTGACAAGCCAGAAGCTTCGTTAAGGAGTACAAAAAATACAAAACAAAATCACAAATCGGGGGATGCTCCAGTGACGTCACTGCAGTGAAATTGCATTCAAAAGTATGGGATGAATGCCGCCGTTACACCCGATTATTTACTTATTTAGCATTGTGCATTTGCGCCAAGCCGGGCAGCGGGGTCCATCCTCGGAACCACCGCTTGGCTTGGTCACGACAACCCGAGCTGTAACCACGACGACAGATCTGGTCGTCGCGCAAGCTCCACCTGTTGCAGAATTTGCTGCACACAGTAGGCCTAGGCCGGTTCGGAAATCTCGGCCAGCAGGGCCCAGCCACCAATTGACGAAGCTTCACAAACTCACGCTTGGAGGACAGCTCAAAACACACGGCTTAGGCACACAGCTCAAGGACGACCGCCGCAACTCGTCTGTTTTGGCAAGCGGGCAGCTAGCTGGCAGTGACTCCCTTTAACCTGGCAAGTGGGGAGCAGGAAATCTCCATCAACTTGGGCATGGGGTGGGGGGGAACGAGGAGGCAGCGAGAGCCTGGAAGGATGACAGGTGGCTGGTGGGGAATCAGAAGGCTGGCTGCCCTTGCGGGAGGTTGGCCTTGAGGCTGCGTAGCGCACGGCGTGCCGCCGCGGACTTGGCGATGCGGTAGCTCCGGCCGACGCCTTTGAACTTGCCCTTGCCCACGACCTCAACCGTGACGCGCACCTTCCCGTCGAACGTCCGCTCCGCCGGGCTGCTCGGCACGCGAGGGGGGCAACAAACACGGACGACGTTCAGTTTAGCGGCGGCTGTGCGGTCGTTCACACGCGAGGAACGAAACGGTAAATATTAGGAGTGCAACAAGATCTTGAATAAGTTCCTTTTGAGTGCAATGCAATATTTCATAAAGCTTCATGCAAGCTTCGGTCATCCTTGCAGTGGCTTTTGGCTGCAAGCCATCGAACAAAGGCGGTCACTGCAGCGCGTGCTTTCAGATGCGCTTCTGCGGCCGTCTGGAATGCCCTTCCTTCCGATATTAGGAAGCCACTGGAACTATGCACTTTTAAATCTAGATTGAAAACTCGTTTCTTAAGAACTCCTTTCTGTGTTTAGTTTGTTGTCCTTCCCCCGCACCTCCAGTTAGCACGGTTTTGGCTAAGTATGATGCGAAAGAAATGCAACATACGTGCATATTAAAACTTTGGGTTTTGTACGGATCAATACTGATGATGCCAGTGGGCGCGCGTGCACACAAACCTGAATTTGGCCGTCTCAGGCTCCATCTCCAGGAGCTCCCGCACTGGGGAGCGTGGGACATTCGCCGAGAACTTCTCTGCAAGTACGAACAACAGGAAACAAAAACGGAAGCATTAGAAACTACAATGGGAAAGCCTTCAGTAAACAGCAATAACAATAATAATAACCAGGTTCAACGCAGGTTAGATTCAGCAGCTTTCTTGTCAAGTGAAAAACCCATTGCACCGCAACGTTTGTGACTATGGGTGGCTGATACCCGAGGTTGAGGAGGCTACAAAAAACCTCTACCTCAGGCTTTCCAACCTCAGGTGACACGTGCAGGTGGATTCGTTGACGATTGGAATGCGATGGCAACAAGTGGTGACGATGATTTTTGACGACGACGGAGTTTACAATGACGACGACAATAACAACGATGACAAAACGAAACCACCCGCACACATCACGCAAAACTGGGCATCCCAGGGCCCAGTTTATAGGCTCCTCTGCAACCCTGCCCCCACCCGCTCCTAGACGACACGTCAGCAGGCTGGATCAACGACGATCGGCAAGAACTGCGGTGCGGTAGGAGTGCGGCCAAGAGAGGTGGAAGGGGGTGTGGGCGAGCAAAGCGGTGGGCGAGCGGGGTGGGGGGCAGGGTGTGGATGGGTGTACCGATGAGCGGCCGCATCATGGGGTAGTAGACACGCCACACGGTCTCCAGCGACATGCCGCTGTCCATGTAGATGGCTCCAGCGAGCGACTCGAAGATGTCGCCCATGGCCTTTGGCACCTCGATGTCCTCCTCCTTCTCGTCATCGTCCTCCTCCGAGCGCCGAAGCTGGGGGAGACGGAGAGCACGACGCGGGTCCCCGTCAACGCTTCAAATCTTTCATCATCAGTTGCGTCCCTTTCTTATCGAACGCTGGGGCGTTTTTCATCGCGAGCTCTCGAGCGCAGTTTAGCTTTAACATCCGTTGCGTACGCTTCTCCATACGGTAACGTGCTCAACGTTGGTACTTGATCTGCAATCAATTTCTCACCGAGCTGTTATCTCAAACACCGCTTTGTGTCCGTGCCCCGAGACGCGCTGCGTTGGAAGCACGGTTTAAAAAAAACGCTGGCATTGGCCGCAGTGACCAGTTTATGAATTCCTACAGTGACGAAAGCTTGAAGTCAAGATTTAATGATGATATTTTAGTGATTTCATAATGTGCAATGTAATGAGGTACTGCGGTGTCCTTGTGAGGTCTGCGCTTTGCCGCCTTGACGAAGCTTCCATTTGGTGTTGCCGAATCGGCAGAAATCTTATGTACATGTGCAATTTGTACTTAAATACTCCATTTATATATATTTATTTTTAGCAACTTGCTTACCTTTTCTCTATTTTTCCACTCTCCATATCATCCTTTGTATTGTTTGTTGACGTAACTCGCTCACCTGCCCCGACTGAACGTGTGTAAAAAAAAGAGCTTCATAGCTCATCGGATTCCTCCAGTCTAAAGAATAATAATTCTCATTCTGATACGGATATTTAACCTCAAAAAAGCCTGCAAAGCGAACGATCGATCGATCGATCGAGCGAGCGAAGCCAAGCCAAGCCAAGCGAGCCAAGCAAAGGGCGGCGTTACCGTCGAGTCCATGCCCTGCATCTCGTCCTTCTCGGCCTGGAAGCGGACAAAGTCGTCGATGACAAGGAAGAGCTCCGGCGACACGGCCTTGAAGAACTTGTGGAAGTCGTGCTTGACGGCGAGCGAGGCGAAGATGGTGTTGTTGACGAGCGCCGAGCGCAGGTCGGTGAGCACTCCCGGCGAGTGCTGCCGTGGGTCCTCGTAGAGGTGCTTCGTGATCAGGTAGTCGAGGATCGCGTCGCCCAGGAACTCCAGACGCTGGTAGCAGTCTGGGGGGGGGGGGGGGGGGGGCGACACGCGGCACGCAACAATGCCGGCCGTTTCAAATTATCGCGGCTCGGATTCGGGGATTGGAGGAACCCCCCCCCCGCCCTCCCCCCCCGTTTATCCAATCGGAGCGAGGAGAGGCGGTCGTCGGACGGCGTGAAGGAACAGAGTCCCGGAGCCGGCACCGGGTCAGATTCGGCGTTTAAGTCGCCCCGTGATTAAACCGGCTTCTCAAGTGCAAGCGAGTTGATGGGTCTCAAGCGAACGCGCACAAAAACCGTCACATTAAGTTTCATTCCGCACGTAACTCTGGCCGACTTACAGCCGTGAGAATTAACAAAATATTTGTTTTGACGCTCATCCGACGAAACATTACGAGTTGCAGAGCAGTTGGGAAAGAGGCGGCTCTGTGATATCCGCTTCCGTGGGATGTTGTGCGACATGCAAGGGTTCCAATGCTCTACGAGCAAAGTGGCACCTACACTTCGTGACACCGATCACACCACAATCAGGATGGGGTGGAGCGGGCGGGGGAGGGAAAGAATCTTAAAAATGTAACCCAAATAAAAATAATAAACTCCTTAAAAAAAGGTTTTATTAACAACTTTGTTTAACTCAATGTCGAGAAGTACGTCAATGATGCGGCGCCTGCTCCCACATCAACGCTTACTTGAATTAAGTCATTAATTACTTCATCAATTAATCTTCAATGTACAACTTTTGTTTGTGTGGAGTGAGGGTGGCCGTAGCTCGTTCACACGGAGCAGGCGCGCCTGAGACACGCGGCACCCGAGACACGCGGGGACTGAGAAGCGTGGCGACTGAGACACGTGGCGACTGAGACACGTGGTGCCTGAGACACGTGGTGCCCGAGACACGTGGCGACTGCTTCTTGGGCGAGGAGATTCGAGAGTTCAGGGACCGCGGCGTTTTTTACCTACACAAATATATATAAATAATAAGGCGTCCATGCAAAATGTAAATTGCTTTAAAGTAGCGAATTCATTGATTAATTGATGTCGTTAAGTGAAGTATGAAAGTGTGCCAACCGTCGGAGAACGGTCCCCGTACCCGTGATGGTGTTGTAGTAGTAGGAAGCGTGCGTGAAGGCCTGCAGCAAATAGGCCTTGTTGGAGAAGCAGTAGCTTATCTTCGACTCGAAGCCGGAATACCCGGAGATGAGGCGCTCGAGGATCTGCATTGCGTCCGGCCTGTGGAACATGCAGCGCGGCGGGATGGCAAGAAAGCTGTACTCCTGCTTCCTCTCGCAATCAGCGGTTTCCTCTTTCGTTCTCTCCGCGGTCGCACCGGCACATTCGCTCGGCACCGCCGTACCGGCACATTCGCCTGGCACCGCTGCATCGGCACCTGTGCCGGTGCTGCGCCGGTCGTCAGCAGGAGCCGCCGCCGCATCGCGTTCACCGACTGCCGGGCTCGGCTCCTCTTTCCGCGGCGTTTCAACAACTTCTGCCATCGCCTTGTTATTATTGTCACATGCGGGGGAGTCTGGAGCTAAACTCGCATCGGCGTTGTTGATAAGAGACAAGCTGGACAGTGCCCGGACGACGGATTTTTCCGGCTGCGCTTCCGAGCCAAAGCCCTCGGTCTGGCAGATTCTGTCAGAGGCTTCCACGACTGCCACCGGCCACGGCGGGTCGACGCCCCGTCCGCGGCGGGCCACGACGGAGAGGCCCGTCTCACCCTTGTTCTTTGGCGGCAGCACCCGGAGGCCCATGGAGCAGAGGAAGAGCTGCGCCGCCCTCTCTCCGCAGCTCGTCAGGTAGCAGCCCAGCAGCGCCTCGACACAGTCGGCAACGCTCTTGTCGGCGATGCACTGCTCCGTGTGCAGGTCGTACGAGATCGACGGCCTGCCCAGGGCCCCGCCGACGGCCCCGGCAGAGGCCGGTTGTCCTTCCCCCGCGGGGCCCGTTCCGCCGGCCGCGCCAGCCCCCCCGCTTTCCTCCGCCGGGTTCCACACGCCCACCACGAAGTCGTCGTCGCCGTTGCCCGCCGCCTTGCTCGGGTCGAGGTAGCACATGGCGTCCCACGAGCTATAGTCGGTCCACTCGCCGCCAGACGGCGTCATCGTGGCGTCGTGACCGCAGCCGCCGCCGACACCGCCGCGGCCGCCACCGGTGAGGCCGGCGCCGGCATCGCGAGGCAGGGCCCCAATGCGATTCGCGGCCCACGGGACCGAGCCGCTGGTTCCCACACCGGCGATCTTCTTCTTGAAGGCGCCCGAGCGGATGAGCATGCTGTCGATGAAGCGGATCTGCTCCTGGTCGTACTCGTCTGAGTCGTTCTCCGAGTCGTCCACGACGGCGGCGGCGGGCACGGCGGGCACGGCGGCACCGGGAAGGGGGTCGTCATCCGAGGGCGGCCTCCACACGAGGGCCTCGTTGAACTCCGGGTCGTCCTCGTCGCCCGATGAGGGGTCCGTTTTGTCGGCCGCCGAGTTCTTGCTGCTGCTGGTACTGCCGGTCTGCGGGCAGAGGGGCCAACACATGCTCGTGTGACGTGCATGCGCGACATGCGTGGCATGCGTGACGTGCATGCGCGACATGCGCGACGTGCGCACATAGGTCACCGTCATGAGTCACCTCTCAGCCATGGTGGCGAGATGTTAACTACCTCGCCTGGTACACAGGAGGTCGTGGGTTCGACCCAGACCCTGACGCCTGTATATTTGGAGTTTGCATGTGCTCTCCGTATTCACGTTTAGGTACATGCATTTTGAGTATTTGATACATTTCCGCATATACATCTGCATAATCAACTTCGTTGAGCTATCGTTTGTGGCCAGGTTGCCTCAAAAAAAGACATATATAGGTCAGTGGGCCTTCATTGGTAAAATAAAGTTTTATAGTTTCTAGCCCGGCAGGTTTGGGGTTTACACAACTATCTACGAGATTTATCAACTCCTGCCGCCGCAAAGTGCTGGATCGAAGGCCTGTGCACCACGGCTGTCCAAATACAAAACCAAACGCAATCAAAGATTACGATGGAGTGACGGTGCAGGACGTCAGTGCAGTATGCTACGAACCAGCCAACCTGAGTTCGATTCCTGGCCGCAGCCAATACCAGCGGAGAGCAATATCTCAACTGGTCATGCGCAACCCACTTCACCATCCCGCACACCCTGACCAGCGTGCGAACGTCATCCAAAATGTGTTTTATCGGGGTGCGACCCCGTATCCGAAACGCACAGGTCGCAGGCCCGTCCATCCAGCAGCGGATAGACAAAAAGAGCCGTACATTTCATTTCGCGCAACTTAAAACAAAACCAAAAAAAAGCCTCTCTCGGACCTGGGCAACGTCAGCGTCGTTGGCCGCGTCGCCATCCCCCAGGTGGCTCTTCTCCTGGTTCACGACGTAGCCCGGCGGGAGCCAGTTGACGGGCGGGTCGAAGATGGACACCACCATCCTGTTGGGCAGGCCCTTTTTCTTGCCCAGACGGTACAGGTTGCAGTTGCTCACCTGTGGACACGCACGTGGGGCCCACGAGGTCACCGAGGAAGCAGGGCCAACGTCTCGGCAAGCAGTGAGGTACAGACACAACAGCTTGCTTGCAGAACAGGGGTTGGGGGGTGCTCCCTATTAAAGGGAGCACTAAAGAACACTCCCCCCCAACCCCGCTTTGGAGGATATTTATGGTCAGAATCAGAATCTTTATTTAGACTGGAGGAACACAATGAGCTATGAAGCTCTTTTTCCATAGATTATCCAGTAGACATGTGTGGTCAACTCGTCCACACTGGCCAGACGTCATGGAAGCACCCACTACCTTTTATCCCACCGATCATGCGCGCGTGTGTGCGTGCAGAAGCTCAGTGGCTCCACACGCCGAGAGGCACCTTCTTGCTGCGCATGTAGGAGAGGCGGCCCTCGTGCGCGTCCGGGTAGGTGCAGAAGAGGTATGTGGTGATGGCGTGCTTCAGGAACGAGTCTCCCAGCATCTCCAGCCGCTCCAGGTTGAACCCGTCACTCGCGTTGGACAGCGTGAGCGCCTGCAGCACCAGCCCCGGGTTCGGCCCCACGGCTGACGCCACCACCGAGGAGGGCGCAAGCTCGCCAGCCAGCTCCCCAGCCAGCTCGCTACAGCCCGAGCCGCCGTCCTCCTCGTGGATGCTGCTGCTGGTGCTGCTGCCGCTGTCGCTACCCTCGCAGCCCAAAACCTTGCCGGCCTGAGTCACCGCCGCGACGTTGTTGCTCGGGGCTTCTCTCGCAATGATGGCGGGAATCTGGTTTTCGTTTCTTCTGTGATTTGTAGTGTCCGATGGCTGCTTCCCGAGGCTGTTGGACAACGCTGGGTCGAAAGTAACGTTGAGTTTGTTGAGATTTCGGATAGCGGTTTCCGCCGCCGCGAGGCTATTGTTGCCCTGCGACTCTGCCACCTCCGATTTGACGTTACGCGCGGCGCAACGCAGGCCTCGTTCGATCAATTCTATCGTCGCTTCCGATCGTTCCGAACCGACGAAAATCGGGCTGTCGGACGGCGAGCGGCCGCCCTCCGTGTGCTCAAGGTCTCCCCGTTCTCCCACAGCCGCGTCCGGGCTCTTCAGGCCGGAGGAGCCGGGCGGGGGCGCAGGTCGAGAGGTAGCGAGACAGTCGTTTGTGCCATCCGAATGACCGGCGCTCTCCAGCGAGGGTTCCGGCCAATTATTCATCTCTGGCGTGGCGCTAGGCGGCTGCACGGCGGTCGCATCACGAGGAGAGGGGGGAGGTGCTGAGGTAGATTGCAGTACTGCATTCTTATTGGCATCGAACGCTGGCAGTGACGTTTGCTGGCAATTACAGTTTTCCGCAGACCCACGCTCGTGTTTCAATACGTTTAGTGCAAGTTGCCCCGCGGGCGCGCTAGCTGCGTCGCTCGCCTCAAGCCCGGCTCCCGCCGCCGGTGAAGTGCAAAGGTCGTGTCGGGGGTCGCGTGCCGCGTCGCCTTCGTCGCTGTCCGTTCCATCCTCGGCGGCGACGATCGCGGCGGCGTTCGGCTTTTTCACGTCGATGGATTTCCGCCACCCGAAGTCCAGGTTCGGGTACCTGCGTGACATGGCGCGGGGCAGCACAGCGACGATGGTTAACGCGCGAGCGGGGCGAGGCTCCACGCTGCTCACAGCATGGTGGGCATTGCGCGAGCGGCGGAGGAACAAACGGGAACTGCACGAGGACGTGTCGGTGGGGGAAAGATAGGCGATGATGCGTACAATTGTAAGCATTAAATCCCATAACTTATCAGGGTAAAACAAAAGAAAAGAATGATAACCGCATTGGGAGGAAGGCACAAATATAAAAGTCGCAGTAATGGTTTCATGTGTCCTCCGACCACCTCCGCCCTAGCCACTAAAGGCTGCTACAATCAACACAAATCCTTATCCTGCTGGCACCTTATACGACGGAAGATGGGTGTAAACAATAATTTAGTGGCGTCACCTGAAGGAGGTGGGCAGAGCGTGCAACCCCACGCCCGTCTCGCTGGCGATGAGCGCCCTCAGCTCCTCGGCCGTGAGCAGGCAGTGCAGGCGGTACAGGATGCTCGGCAGGCACACTGCCTTGCGCCACATGGACGCCGGGATCGGGTGGATGGCGCACAGCTCCGGCACCAGGATCTGGAGAGCACGAGGCACAAAGCCGAGTGAGACAGCTCATGATGATGCTGCTGCTTCTGCTGCGTAGTGGATAGATCACGGCCGAGTACGATTATGATGATGATGAAAACGACGACGTCACAACACATGGTGCATGCTGGGAGATTGCACGACAGCTACATCACACCACACGATAAGTGCAGCTAAGATGATCGCGGCGACGAAGTGGTAGGCCTCGCATGGGCGCGGAGCCATTTGACACAAAGTCTCGTGCCGTATCTGGAGCGCACGCACGGCCTATAGCTTCCCCACCGCTGACACAGAGGAACAAGACGACATTCATTCGTTGCTCACTCACTCACAACGCACACCGCATGCTACCAGACGTCAAACAGCATTACAACACCGAGTTGTATGTCAGCGCATCACCAAGGCCAACGTTCTAGGTGAATGTCACCGTTCGCTGCAGTGTGGATGTGTCTCCGGCGAGTGTACCTGCTTGTTCTGCAGGCTCTCCCACTTGGCCTTGCGTTTTTCCGCACTGCTCAAGGGCAAAGCCTTCCCCTTCTGGTTCAAGTGTCGGGGCGTGAGCAGGTTCAGCCTGTGCAAACGGGGAAGCAAAAGCACCAAGCTGTTTGAATGTGTCACTGGCAAGCATGAGAGAGAGAGAGGAAGAGCACGTAAGCTACCCAGCCATCACCAGGATTATTCAACTTTCCACTGTGCAACCGAGCCACACCGGCACCTTGCCGAGCCAGTCCCTTGCGGCTCAAAGAAGCATCAGGTTCTTTTTCCACTGCAGAACCAGAGTCGTGCCAGCGATGCCACAAGTAATACAAGTGCAAACAAGTCGACGTGCCACATTCAAGCATCCCGACTGACGCGACACATTAGATGAAAATGACGAACCCCCATCCATGGCCCTGCATGGCACCACGCCAGATTCACATGTTTCGTGAGGCCAGAGGTTCGCAGCCATATCCTCTCAGGCTCGACACATGGCCAAAATAAAATAAAAAAAACTTTTCCACTGCAGAACCTGAACCGTGCCGCTGAACGAGTCGTGCCAGTATTATCAACGGTCTGGTTTTCGGATCAGCATGGAAAAAAGCCAGCAGATAACCAGCCGTGCCACTGAGGGTCCCGCGCTAGCAAAGCTCGGACGTGGCAGTGGAAAAGATCGACCGAGAGCACACCGGGCTGGGCGGCAACAACAACTTCCATATATACAAGGCGCTAAAATCACACTCGGGGGGTGCACCTGGAGGACGTGTGGTCGACATCGAGCAGCGGCTGGTTCAGGTTGGTGAGGTCCAGGTTGTACTTGGTCTTGTAGTACTCGGCGAAGGTCTGGTACTCGGGCGAGGGGAACTTGCTGAGCGGCGTCAGGTCCGTGTACACGTCCGCAACGTAGAAGCGGTGCGGCTGGTCGAAGTTCCGGTATCTGTAGAAGCGACAAAAAAAAATGTCTCCCTTCCATTGTCCAATTTTGATCGTACAAGAATTTGCGATGCTGCCACCAAAAACCCATGAATGACAAATTAAAAAAAGTTATAAGCTACATACAGCAACATCTCATATTTGACAGCAAATGACCATCAACACTGTGGCACGCGACAGTGATCATAACGAATGTGGTGAATGTTTTATTTACGGATCGTGCAAAATCAAAGTTAAATGATGGTGATCTAGGCCTCATTTTCGATTTTTTTTTTTCCCCCAATGAATCTCAAAATCGGGAGCGGATCTCCCTCCAGCTAAAACAGCTGTGTTGGTGTAACAGGCACGGGGACATTCAGCACAGCCCGACAAAGTCACTTGAACGCTTAAAGCATTGCAGAAAACCAGCGCTCGTGCCGTGATCACAGCCAAAGCCACTTAATTGGAAGTCACCGGAGCTACGAACCTTTAAATCAAGACTGAAAACTGATTCCTTTAGAACTGCTTTGCGTTTAGTTTGTTTGTCCTCCTGCCGCACCTCCGATTAGCACAGTTGGCTGCTTACAGTGCGAAAGAAGTTCGACATATGTACATACAAAGCAAAGCGGGAAGGGAAGAGTTAAGCAGCGTCGGCAACGTCAGCGGGTGGCGGTTACCGCGGGATGATGACGGCGTCCTGGTAGTCGGGCAGCAGGAACGAGAAGGGGTGCTCGTGCGAGTACTGCTTGGCGGGGATCCCGGTCCGCGCCTCCGACAGCTCGATCTCCTCCATGAACCCAAAGTCGATGTCCAGGTCACCGCCTGCGTGCACTGGCGGCAGGGCAAGAGAGGATAGAGACTAAGGCTAAGGTTTCCCCATATAGCTTGAACAGACTTTTGGGACAGGTGCTGCTAGTGAGTAGCACCTATGAAGGCCGGCACGGCACACGAGAGGGTGGGTGGCCGAAGACCCAGGACAGAATCATATAGCCACCACCGTTATTATGTCATGAGCAGGAATGGAGTTTGTAGTGCTGCGCGCTATGAACCGATGACTACCGCCTCCTCCCACTAGCCTCCACCCACACAGACCCAGTGGTCTCACGCCTGGATGTCAATGTTTCTCAACATTTACACGATTACCGATCGCTTCTAGTTATATGTTAATTAGCAGGCGGACAATAATTATTTCTAGATAATGGGGAGGAGTGTCGGCTAGAGGTAGCGTGCCCAACAGGATGTCCACCCCGTAGGTGTGTACGTGCGACACAGTTCGGCATAACTCTGTTGACAATGAGCAACAGTTTGGGGTGCGTCTACAACTCTTCGGACAATCTTAGAATCCCGGAGAGTACGATTATACACGATGACGTCGACGATAACAAGATCATCAAGGACGATGATTAACACGCAACGACGGTGATGACGACGATCATGACGACAATGTTGGCACAATGACGACGATGATCGTGACGATGCCAGTGATAACCCCACGCACAACTACGATGAACACATGACGATGGCGGCGGAGAGCGAGCGGGGTACCGGTGTCGAGGGGCAGCACGCAGTAGGCCGCCTCGGCCAGCGCCGGCTGGAACTCCAGGTCGGGCTTCTCAAGGCGCAGGATGTGCGAGAAGATATACTGGTGGAAGCGCGTCACCAGCGCCAGCTGCTCCTCCGTCAGCTGGAAGCACGAGCGGCAGAGGCGGATGTCCACCGTCACCTCTCCCGAGCGCGTGTACACGGGGAAGCACGGGATCTGCGGGACGAGGAGGCACGCCAAGGAGACGGGGCAACGTGAGAAAAGACACGAGGCGTCTGCGATAAGCCGTTTCTTTTGGAGACAAACGTATATCGCAGAACTACTTCCGAGATCCCTTCGAATGAACTCGCACAGCAACGGGAAAAGGTGGGCACACGGTAGCACTTTCCCCCCCCCCCCGGCTCCGTGCCACCTTAAGTAACGATCGCCGCGTAACAGTCAAGCAGGCGAATCGGAGGGAACGCGAGCGATGCCCGCGCGTCCCCACCCCACCTCGCGTGCCCTGCGGCGCTACCTGTGGAATGCGCTTGGCGGTGAGGATGCCGAAGCAGCGCGCCGTGTCCTCGGGCGGGTACAGCCTCCGGCGGCGGAAGTTGAGCTCATCCGGTAGCGGTGTGCTCAGCACCATGCCCACCACGTACAGGAAGCAGGGGCTGCCAGGACGCGGGTAGCTGCTGTTCAGACACTCCGGGATCTGTGGGTGGCCGCGGAGTAGTATTATTATTTTTTGTTATGCACGTTTACCCAAGAGAGCTGTACTGAGTTTCAAGACTGGTCGTCATGAGGGTCCTGCCAAGTTTTGGCAGTCTGGGGGTGATCTTGCTATGTGTAATGCCAGTTGAGTAATTTTTTTTTTTAGAATTGGGATGTTTGGCCAATACCAGCTTCATCGTTATGTAACATTAGCTATGGGATGAAATGGAAGAACCCGGAAGAAAACCACGCAAAAAAGGGGAACAACGTACAAACGCTGCACAGTTAGGCAGCCAAGTAGGGAATTTAACCCAGGTGCTTCTTGCTTTGAGGCACAAGCGTTACCACTGAACCACCCTGCTGCCCAAACATCATGAGCTGCAATGATCAGTTGAGACCACCGCCAGCAAGTCCCCCTTCCAGCCACGACGTGTCCTGGCCAAGCCCCTCACTTTCTCGAACAGCTCATGCGATGTTTATAACTCGCGTTCCACTTATTGGCTGTCCATGTAATCCCACCGCAGGCGGATGGCCGAAGAGACCTGCCGAAAGGCTTGCAAAACAAATGTAAATGTTGATGCGAGAAAATGAGAGCACCTCGCAGAGCAAATGGCATCAAAGGGAACGCGTTCACCGCATTCCATACAAGCAATAAGTACATAGCTTCAGAACTTTTAGTGAACACGCACACTGCATCCTTGCGTACACAGCTTTATTGGCGATTTTTGGAGGATTTATTTATTTTGTATTTTAAAAAATTCGGGTAGCCGTCTGGCTTACCCCGGAATGCAGGATTACCCGAGTTCACCGTCGCCGTAAATCCGAAGCGCGTACGCCGCCCAACGAGCGCAACCATGGTCCCCGAGCGCCAACGCGGCACATACCGTCTTGGTGTAGCACTGGCGGCGCTTGGTGGAGCCAGGCCGGCCAGGGACCCCCGTCTCCTCTTCGTCGTGCAAGTCCAGCTCCTCCTCGTACTTCACCGTCTCCTTGCCGACGGGAAGCAGGTGGTCGTCCAACTCACCTGGAAGTACGCGCGGTCGGGGGAGACGCACCGGGACGCTGCCGCGACCGTCGCAAACGCGACTCCTATTCCTACTCAACCGTTCTGTTTGCATCTGTGTCAGCGGCGTAGTGCGAATGCCTTGTGTCCTGGTGCAAAAACTGAAATGAGGCTGGCCCGTCTATTATCCTGGTGCCTGCGCCCCTCTGGGTTGTGGGCCCCAGTGCAGTTGCACCGCCTGCATACCTGCCAGCTACGCCACTGTTCTACGTATGTAAAGGATGGGGGATAGTAGTTTCACTCTGTGTATTCATCGTTTAACCCGGAGCAGCAGGGCAATGGTTAGCATACCGAGCTACACACCCAGCCATCTGAATTAAATTCCAAGCCATTCCTAACATCATCAGTGGCGAGTGACCTCTAAATGGGCCCTCGGTATCCACCGTCCTTCATAAATCCGTACTAACCAGTGTGAAGTATAGCCAAACAACCCCAATGATCGACAGAGCGTGGGGAGGCCCTCGTCCAGCAGATTGATCATAAGCTCTGTATCATCAGCAATGGTATAAACACGACGATAAGTACCAGACGCAGTGTGCGTGGTGCAGCTACCTGCTTTGTGCAGCCGCTCGCAACACAGCAATGCCACGGCCTTCTCCGCCAGCCTCCTGGTGGACATGCAGGGTCCCTACGAAAAATGAGAGATCCCCACCGTGTAACATTAACAACACTTTTGGGGCAAGTGCTGTTAGTGGGCAACTATGAAGGCCGTCACATGCACACCCAGAGCTCACACACGAGCGCACGATGCATTGCCATAATTTTTATTTTATAAAGTGAGAAGGCCAAGATAATATTAACTGTAAATAAAGTCAAGGTGCAGCCCTGCAATTACTTGCTCGCGCAAATGCTGGTGGCAGGGCCTCAACTAGAAGGGGCTCTCTAGAGCCCCTCTTCTCTAGACGAGACTTCAGAAACTTTTACCTGTAAAATAAAAAAATCCCCTAAATCGTAACTACGTCCCACGTTAACGTTAAGTGAGGATGTTGAACCCTGGTTGGGGGCGGAGGGGGGGGGGGGGACGCACCACCACGGGGTCCCTGAGCGGGCAATTGATTGGCAGGTGGAGCATGGAGCAGAACGTTCCGTCCAGCAGCTCCAACGTCTTGCACTTGGGCGCCAGGTGGGTGAAGGGGTCGCTTGGCAGTTTGGCACAGTAGCTGGAATAGGGAGCGACACAACAGGGAATCCGAGCCGTTAGTTCACGGGAAAATGAACGTGAAACGCACACGTTGGGGGATAGACACGCGCGCACACACACGGGACACGTTTGCGCACAGACGCAGCAAAGGAAGGTTGGTGACACTGCGGGCGGTGTAGTCGCCCACCGGTTGACGAGTCCGATGGCCGAGTTGAGGGTCACGGAAGCGCCGCTCTCGTCCTGCCGCGGTGCATAGGCGGGCAGCAGGTCCTCCTGGCAGCTCACCACCAAGGCGTCTACCTCGCCACCGCCGACAATGCCGCCACCGCCGCATTCCACTGCCTCGGGGCACTTGGAACACTTGCTGCGCAGGATCTGCAGAAGCACACCGATCACAATTCAGAATTGCACAGAAAAACCCGTTTTTCGCCAATTGCCCAGTGAGTTTGCAAGGGAGATGCGCGCTATCGACGACGACATCCAAGTGGCCCATACAGAGGGACAGGTAAAGTTTAAAAAGAATGCGAGGTGCAGTCCAAAGATAGTGCGCAAAGAACCAAAACGTACAATATTAACAATAAAAATTGGCATATTGACAAACAGACTAGTGGGGCCCACACAAGCATGTGCAGAGAGCACGAAGGTCAGGCTGCGGGGGAAGTCAATAACAGAGGTCATTGTGAGACTCGAACAGTAATTTCTCGTTGAACACGGTAGATGCGTTACGAAAAATTCCACGTTAAGCAAACACAATTTCCTCATAAATAATGTTACGATAAAGTTTGGTGAGATACGATGTACTACGTGCACACAGTAAGATGGCGGGAAAATAACTGAGGGTACGTCACCGCGTTACTGTATCATTCCATGTACTGTACCGTACCACTCAGCCGCGCAGCTCAAGAAAGTAGTTCATCATCGACCACTCAAAAACGGCATGAAAACGGGTACCTTCCACGTAAAAAAAGATGCGTGTTCTGCGTTATAATGGTGCGAGTTCTGCGTTATAACGGTGCGTGTTCCGTGTTGTGCGGAAAAGTATTCCCTCATGGAAGAACCGCGTCGTAACGAAAAAGCGTTGCGTGAACACCACGCGTCAAAGCGAGGACTTGCTGTGCAGCACCTATTAACCCCACCGTGTAAACGGCAGGGCGATGCTTTAGCCACGCCAGACACCAGGCTACTCGCTCACGATGTGGATGGCGCAGATGCAAGGCTTTGGCCGCGTGAGAGCGATGGCTCGGGCGTGAGAGCCAGGCTTTGGAACGCGCCGTTTGCAAACCTTCTCGATGGCCTTGTAGGTGCACAGTTCGCGGTGGAAGGCAGGCATCCTCTGGGCGTCGGCCAGCATGACATAGTTGGAGACGGGTGCCTGGGCGCGGCCCTTGGACTGCACGTATGAGCGGTAGTCGGCGGGCGGATCAAATCGCACCACCAGGTTGCACTTGGGCAGGTCCACGCCCTCCTCCACCGCGCTCGTCGCCACCAGCAGGTTCGTCTCGTGCGCGCGGAACTTGCGCAGCACCTGCTTGCGCGAGGGAACGGCGAGCAAACGGGACGTGTCGGCGCCGAACTCCATGACGGAACGCCAGATGACGAAGCGCCAATGCCGCGTAAACTGCCGCTTCGCTCGGTCGTGCTCGGGGCAGGGTGTCAACAATCCGTCGCGATCATCATCAAGAACGATAAACCCATCTGGCCACTGGCAGAGGAACGCCTCCTCCCAATCCGTCAGGACAAGCAACACGTGGACTACAGAATACAAGTGCGGGTTAAAAATATAATTTACACGGTCAAGAAGGACGTGTCACTTAAAGAAGGGACGATGGCCGGTGGTCTAAACGGATGTCGGAGCGGCAGCCGAGGGAGGGAACGCGCAACAAAATCAGCTCATGTGCAGGTGCTCGGTAGGCTGTTGTTATCGCAGGACCGCGAGACGGAAACGGTTTGGGGAGGCTTTCAACCGGCAGTGGATTGATCACGACGAGGTGCCGTCACGCGTCCGAAAGGGCACGGGTGCTGCGCCGGGCGAGGCGCTCACCCAGCAGCGCTCACCTCCTCCTGCTTGCGGAACTCGGCCTCGTTGTGCCGGCTGCGCGGCTGGTTCTTGCCGATGCCGTGCCCCGTGATGAAGTTACTGCTGATGTAGGCCAGCTCGGGGTCCTGCTTGCCCGCCTCCTTGATCAGCCTGCGCCCAGGATCGAAAATCACGGCGGCCACAATGACATCCCTTCACCCTCCAAGGCAGGAAACCTCCCGGCAACCCATGCCCAGTGTGATGCGGCTGATGATAATGACGTCCGCAAGCACCGTTGGTCACGTCCAGTGGCACACCTGGGAGAGGAGGCGCGACTGTTTGGTCTAAATATTTTCGCGTTACCTGCCGAGTCGTACGATCAAACAGCTCGATGAAAGAGTGACCGACTGAGCTCAGTCTCCTGACTCGACACGTTGCTGAACCACACGTCGCAGCTCACCGGTTGAGCACCACCGCCATGTAGCGCCGCTCCACGAACACGATGCCACACAGGATGTTGGTGAACGGCGATGGGAAGTTGGAGTCGCCGGCGTCTCGCTCGTCAGCACCGCCGGCGTCCTCGTCCGGCCGCCCCGCTTCCTCCTCCTCCTCCTCTTCTTCCTCCTCCTCCTCATCCTCCGACGAGTCGCTCCACGACACATAGGTGGCCTGCCCGCGGTTGTTGTACCACTCGTCACTCTGGTAGCAGTAGCCCTGGGCCTGCGTGGGCCCAAGAAGCAGAAACAGACCTCGGATAAATTTCCAACCAGCGGTGACTGCCCTCCACGAGCTTCAGCTCTAGGTATCGATGACCACCTGTGGAGTTTTATTCATTAGTCTGGTCTTTCAATAAGTCAGGTTGATTAAGCAATCGAAGCAGTCGAACCTTTAGTCGATAAATATTAAACATTGGTGCGAGTGGCAAGCATATCCCCTCATCCCCTCCTCATGATTAACGGGCCAGTGAATTAAATGCATCTTTTAATATGATATAGTCAACTCCCATATTTGCTCTTCCTCAGTGCACTGGAACCTCTCATAACGTTGCTAAATTATCCGAGTCTGCGTCTACATTTAGACTTGGTTAATCTCGTCACAGTCGTAGCCATCGTCGAGTTCACTTTGTCATCGCTGACTAAGAGAGTGGACAGAGGTGTGGCAGAGAGGGAGTGGCGAGAAGCGGGAGGGTTGGCGATCATTACCGTCGCAAATTTCCCCAACAACAACAACACTGAACGCGGCCGTGAACCTCGTACCCCGACGGCTTGCGGCCTCTCCAGTGGCCGGTACTCGCGCAGCACCTCCAGGAGCCGCACCACCTTCGGTGTGACGTACGGTGGTCCCAGCGGCGCCGGCAGGGAGCCTGCCCCGCCGGCGGCGGCCGGCAGACGGCCCTCGCACATGGCGTGCAGCCGGCGCAGCTGCGTGTCGGCCAGCAGGATGAGGCGGCGCCGCAGCTGCTGCTGCGCGCCCTGAGCGGCCGGCGCGGGCGGGCTGCCGTCGCCGAGGCACGGCAAAGCCTCCAGCGCGGAGCCGTCGGGCGAGACGGCGCTGATGGAGGCGGTGTCGTGCCGCGCCTGCCGTTGGAGCTCGCGCACCATGAGGCCAGCGGCCTTGTCGGCGCACCAGGGGCCCAGCAGCGTGAGCACCGTGTGGCACTCCGACAGGATCTGTGCGCACGGAGGGGAGGTCACACGCTGGGTTTGTCGCCAACTACAGGCGACCCCCGCACCTACGACCTAAGTCAAACCCTTATTTACCATCGGCGCAATGTTACACATTGGGGTTCCATTCCTGGAAACCCATTGCATACCAAAAAAATACCAGACATAGCGAAGAAAATCTACAAATAAGTGAAGAGCGCTGAGAAAGAGATGCTGCGTTCGCTCTAGGTGCAGCTGCAGATAGGCCTTGGCAAGGTAAAGTAATTTACCCTTTTAACCGGGTAAAAGATTAAAGGTAAAAGGTGTCGACCAAGGCAAAGGGGTAAGGTAAAGGGTAGGGTAAAGGTAGCGCGGAAGAATTACCCGGTAGGGAAAGGTAGCGCGAAGTATTACCCGGTAAATACCCTGTTTACCGCTCGCCATTAGCTCCGTGGCGCAGTCTGTGGCCTCCATTTGAAATTGGAATCATTGATGTGGGACCAGATGGAGACGGACCACGTCCTTGAGGTAGAGGATGAGGTCGAGGATGCCAGCAACGGCATTTCCGGGGTCGCTGCGAACAGCAATCGAAAGAGGCAGTGGCGTGCGTTCCCATGGGAGCACACGCACGGTTGGACGGCGGGTGATCCCCGTGTGCAGCAAGGAAAGCGGCAGTGCGTGGACTGCCGCAAGTGGTTTTCCTCCCGCACGAACGCGTCGGGGTGGAAAGCCCCACCTCAAGAAGCACAAAATGATTGCCCCAGGCAAACGAGGTCGGGACGTCGGCGTCGGCGAGCCGCCTAATGCAGCAAACGCTGAGCCGGCCAGCAATCCCGGATCGCCTCCTGGTCAACTTTGAGAACGCGATGGTTGATTTTGGTATCCAATGTGCAATCTCTTTGCGAGCCGCCGGCAGCGACAAGTTCAAGACCTTGGTCCACACACTGACGCAGGGATACGAGGGCCCGTCGACCCGCACCGTCATTTGCAGGATTGTCGAGCTTCACGCCATCATGCTGCCCATCGTCGGGGCGTTCTTCTCCAACCTGGACGTCGCCATCTCGTTCACCGTCGATGGGTGGTTGAACCGCAACTTGAAGGGATTTTGGATGGTCACGGTGCACTGGATTGACACCAAATCTGGTGCGTCGAAATCCTTGCTGCCGACGATCCTCGATGTGCAGTCCGGAAGGGGTGCTGGCAAGCGCATTGGCACCACTCTGTTTGAGCAACTCCAAAGCCTCGGGCGCAATGTCTCGACCAAGCTGCTCGCTGTCACCAGCAACAATGGACCCGATGAGATCAGTGCTGTCAAGACGTTGTTTCGCCCTGGTCAACGCGGACACCGGATATGAGCAGCTGCGGGGCTTGCCACCATATTCGCTGCGTTAGCACCTTCATTGACGTAATGCAGTGGTGGTCTCCCCGCAAAGAGCTGCTCCCCGCCCCACTGCAAGATGGCCTGCGACCACTTGGGAGCGCCGGCGACGTCAACTCCCTGCGAACGCGTGAATAGCGGAGCCGGGCGGGAGTTCACGCGCGTTTGCCAGTCGCTGTCGTCGACGCTCTTCATCCAGTCCATGTGCTTGCGCTCGTGGATCGCGGCCGGCTGCCTGGAGGTCCCCCGTCTAACCGGGCCGGAGCGGCGCAGGATCTTATTGCCCGTCGTTCGTCCGAGGACGACGGCAATGACGAACTTGATCAGGTTGTTGACGAGATCGTCATCGACCAAGATGACTGGGACGAGGAGGTTATGGAGGACGGTGTCGTCGACAGCCTCAACGCCCGATTCGAGAGTATTCTATATAAATAAAGCGCTCTACCTACCATTTACCTGTTAAAAAACCTTTTTGATGTGTAGTATCCCGGTCATTACCCTTTAATCGGGAAATTTGTATGGAGTAAGGGTAAAAGGTAGGGGAAAGGTAAGCTCGTTGCTTTTTAACTTTTACCTTACCTTGCTAAAGGGTAAAAGGTAAGGGTAGAGTGATTGTATTGTGGTAAGGTAAAAGGCAGGGTAAAGGTAGTCTCGCTGTTTTTACCTTTTACCTTACTTTGCCACGGACAAGCTGCAGACTGTCGGGCTATACTGTACATACGCATACGGCAGAATAGCACAGCAGCGCCATCTGGCGACGAGTCTGCGCATTACTTGTGCAGACTCAGCGGCAATCGACTCGGCGTCGATAGCAGTCGTTAGTATAAGAAAGGTCTTCAAAGCGGGGGGGGGGTCGCAAGTCGAGCCGTCGTAAGTTGGGGGTCACCTGTACCACGCAACCGCTCGACGTCCGATCGCAACCATCTCACGCACGCTGGCACCGGGGACAACATTTCACGACGCGCCTCCACAGCTCGCCACCAGCACCCCCCCATCCCCCACCCCCTCCCCCATCGGAGTGGCGCCCAACGACTACCAACCTGCAGCGGTAGCGCCCGGGGGTCCCGCTCGCCTTGTTCGTTGGTGGCGCAGTCTGCGACGAAGGCGATGGCGTCCTCCAGCTGACGGCGCAGGTCTGCGTAGAGCCCGATGGCGTCCGCGTACTCCTCACACTCCAGCACCACCTCGTGGGGCTGCGATGAGTACCTAGGACGGGCGGGCGCCGGCAACCACACGTTACAGCCCCCCGTGCAGCTAAGGCGGCGTGCTTGACTGCGACTTTTTATATTTTTTAAGTATTTTTAACGCCTGCCTGCTTGTCCGTCTGTCCGTCTGTAACATGGGGTTCCGAATTAGCATTTATAAAGTTCAACCAATCTAAATGAAGTTTTAGCATGAAGTTGCGTCCCTTTTAGGGACTTGCTCTATGTACGTAAATTTATCAATGGGGGGCAGGGCAGTAAGCAGGACAACCATGGTGGGGAGAGGGTGGGGGGAGGGCAGTATGTATGTGGAACTTCTTTCGCACCGTACGTAGCCAACCATGCTCATCACTAATCAGTACATGTGGCACAATAGTAAGCACATGGAGGAATGACAAGCATGGGTAGATGCAGTAGAGGGGGTGGGGGATGGTGCGATACTCAGCGCAGGGACCCTCGGAGCCACAGTGGGCGAGGTTCGTTCGCAGGAGGTCATGGCGACGGTGGCACTCACCGGTCGAGCACCACGAGGTCGGTGGCTGTCTCGGCGCTGCTCTGCAGGGTCCGCTCCAGCTGCTGGATGCGGCGCTGGAGGCTACCGGGGCGGCACTCGCCGTCCAAGATGGCGGCCGTCAGGCCCAGGATGCGAGGCCGCTCCGACTCAGGCTGCGCGCAGTAGAGCTGTCGGCGGCGGCGATAGGGAAGGAGGGAGGGAGGGAGCGAGGGAGCGAGGGATCGATGGATCAAGGGAGCGAGGGAGGGGAGGGAGCATCGTCATGGTCGGCAGCGTAAATGGGGAAAAATTCACAGTGGAGGTTGTGGGGTTTGTAAGCAGGGACGAGTGTCTGTGTAAGTGAGACTGCGACTGTGGAGCAGTAGTGTAGCGGTTAGCGAGCTGCACTACAAACCAGGCGACACGAGTTCGATTCCCGCGCATGGCCAACACCAGTGACAGTTATCTGAACCGGTCCTGGGCCTCCCCTAAGTTGGCTCAGCCTCTAAATAGGTACCTGGTGCGATGTGTAATCATCGCCACTCACGAGACTGCTATGTAAATTTAGCAGTGGACTGATCACGAATAATGATGATGACATAGACAACAACGATGACAATGGTGATGATGATGATGATAATGGTTATAATGACAGTGTCCGCACCTGCATGATGTGCCTGTAGGGATGCTCGGTGAGGGCGTGGTGACACTCGTCGATCACCAGCAGGTTGATGCGGGAAAACGGCACCAACTGGCAGTGGAGGGCCTCCAGAAACACGGCGCACGTCATCACCAGAACCTGCGGTGGAAGAGCACGGCGCAGCCGCAGAGCCAACGTCGCGCGGTCACGGAGTTCTCGACTCGGTAAAACGATGCATCACGGGCAATGAACCGAGATAAATTTTATCGCTCAAGTTTAGTTTTTGCTCTAAATTCTCCCCGCAAATTTATTGTTCAATTGCGCTGATTGGCCCATGAAGAAATCACGTGGAATGCATGCGTCAAATTTCATTACGACTTGGACACTAAGCAGGCTTGAACCTAGATAGCGCTCAGATTGGATGACCTCCAAGTGCATCAGGTCACCGTGGGAGACTGCGGCTGCTACCAGAGAGCAATGCAGAAAAACCCACCATTGTGCCGTACATTTACGCTCACCGACATTAAACAAACCTGCTTTTCATCAGCATAGTGAAGTTACGGTCAGATAGATAGTGGCTAATGATGATGATGATGATTTGCATAACGATGATGACGACAAACCTGGTGCAGCGCAAGCTCCTTGCGCCACCTCGAGTCGTCCCAGGCGTCCAGGCACTCGCGGCTCGTGCACTCCCCCACCGTCAGGTCCGAGTGCGTGCGGATGGCCGCCGCCTGCTCCGCCATGCACGCTTCTGAAGATCAGCGGCGCATGGCAGGCATGAAAACGCCGCACCATCAAACCACGGACCCACGTAACTTCGCGCTGCCCCAAATGTGTATTTGACAGCGGTTGAGTCAGAAGTATCCCCAACACTCCGACGAAGCAACCGAAATGCTAAAGCACTCAGAACTGATCCCTAATAGTAGCTCTCCATTTGCCAGATTAAATCATCACCGATCCGTCGATAAAAAAAAACAACAAATAGGTCTCCTCACATATCCATCTCTCCACATTTTAAATGCATAATTCAGCAGCATTGATTCAAGACAAGCAAATGTGGACCAGCTTTGACACCCAGTGTCTCATCAGCAGAGCCAGGCTTGTTTGAATCAATGCTGGCGAACCGCCAATATTACAGGCAAGGACCTTCTCTCTGTTTACAACATGGGTCCTCGTTCGATTTCAGTAAAATTAAGCTGGCAATACATGTGTAGAGGAGTAAAATGGGGACGTGACGTCATGTGTGCCGTCCAGTGCGATGACGTCACGGAACGTGGCAACATGCGCACGGGGGGGCTCGATGACGTCATGTCTCGTCTAGTATTTAAGGGGGACCCCGTGACGAAAGCGGGGTCACTGTGGGAACGGGTAGAGTGAGAAGGGTGGAGAGGGAACCAGGGGTAGAGAGGGATCGACGAGAGGCAGGAGTGAAGCCGGTGGTAGCCGTAGGAGGTGCTGCTCTTCCCGGTCAGTGGGGTTGGCAAGTGCCCCCATCCGACTCGAGGGAGAGAGACCGGAGCTAGCCGGGCTGGACCAGGACTTAGTGTAGGACCCCTAACCCCTGGGAAGTTGTCCCACCCTTTGTGCTATTGTAACATACTTAATAAACCTTTGGCGAAAGCCCTTACCTTCAAGCCGTCTCCGAGTCGTCGTCAGGAACTCCTCAACACATGCACCAAATAAGGTACCCAAGAACCACTTATTTTCAATTCATATATTATATGATCATTTGCCTAGAACCTAATTACTCAAGAGTCTGCCGGAACCTCATCGGCTCTCGGAAGCTAAGTGGATTCGAGTCTGGAGAGTGCACAACGCAGGTTGTCTGTAGGCTGCTGGGGGAGCTCGGCTGTCAGCAGAGGGCAGTGCAACAAAACTCCATCGTTGTACTGTAACCATGCTCCAACATATATGATCCCCGCCTTCAACCTGTGGCATCCTATTCTGAATTTCCAAGATGCTTACCCTTCCATACAGAGATGTTTTTTTTTTTACTGCAGTCCTGACGTACCGCCACAGTGTTTACCAATTACCCTTCATCGCTACTCATGTGACATCCGCCCCCCTCCTACCCGTGCTGACGAGGAAGACGGTGCGCTTGGCTCGCGAGCCATCCTCGCCCCTGGTGGCGTGAGCGAGCTCCTTGATGAGCAGCACGGCGATGAAGGTCTTCCCCGAGCCCGTGTTGAGGCACACGACCGTGTTGCGCTCAAGAGCAGCCTCCAGTAACTCCACCTGTCATGCGCCCGAAGGAAACGGCAGGACGATCGTTCAAATAAACGTGGTGCCGCACTCTCTCTCTCTCCGCTTGGCCTCTGTCTTCCCGACAAGTGTCAACACAACACGGGGGAGGATCAGATATGAGAGGTGCGACTGCGCTGGTAGTTGCTGTGCTGCCCCCCTGGGATCCATTTGAGAAGGGCTCTGGATCTGCTGCGGACTGCCTCCAGACACTTTGGGCCCCCAGGTGCATCAGTCTCATTAGCCCAAGGCCATGCCACGGTGCTGCGGTCTCTTCCTTCGCTGCCAAGCCCAAGACCTATCCCCCTTAAGTTACGCCGCTAGCCTCAAGACATCACCTGGTACTTCCTTGGGGTGAATATGTTGTCGTGGACCGTGTCCTGCTGCCAGGGCAGGCCCAGCAGGGGCCCCGCCGAGGGCCCCGGCGTGACCAGCTGCAGGCCGGCCATAGTGCGCGGAGGCTCGCAGTGGCTCGCACAGCGCCACCAATCGTCGTGCACCCGCCGGCGTCACGCTCCTCGAGGCCGCCACCGCCGCTGCCCGAGGGTCTGTGGCCCCATGAGGTCTCGTCTTTGCGAGTCCGTCCTCCCCCGGCGCGATTGCAGCTGAACACCTTATCACACATCAGCAGCAGCAGGGAGAAGGCAATAATGATCAAAATGATGGTCAAGATCAAGATGCCATAAGGGACATAACCCGATAATAAATCACACACTTAGATGGAGCCACAACAACCCTTGGGTACTGCTACGGGAGCACCGTACAAGGCATACAATCGCTGGCGTTAATTCAAACCGTCCACTACTGCATACAGTGACATTGGGAACTGGTTCCGACTGTGTTCAAAGCATGGAAGATGTAGACATTTCCTCCATAAATGTAAGATCAATGCCTCACCAAACTGTGAAAGCAGCGAGGTGCAAACCATTGGGCGTATATCACTGAAGCCTACCCAATGCATCACGTGTATTCTGGTGGAACAAACGGACACCACTCAGTTACCCCGGCTTACATAATTAAAAATACAGTTATAGCCTGTTGCTTTTTATGACTCTAGAAGCAATGAGAGTGATGACAAAATGCTGGGAAGCATTCTGCTGCAGGTCCTGCAATCCGACCAGTTGTCCCAGAGTTGTAATTGATAACGCGCAGCGACATGCCTACGTTCAAACGCCACGTTACCCCGGCAATCGGCGTTTAACCGCAGTCAATATCGGCTGCTCCGCCAGCATAACGGACAATGTTGCCCCAGTCGATGCAGAGTTTTCTTGTGGCAGCTGCTCTCAAACAGGAGCACCCGGGGATTCACTTGGTCATCAGTCGCTTGTAACCACACCGTCATTTCGAGCTCAGTGGAATGCCAAGATGAGACAAAATTATAACCAGTCTTGTACCCCAGCCACGATGGACACAGCTTAATTGTATCTCCCATTTAGAGGAGCCCATGATATGAAATTGCTCCTTTCATCAAATAATGGATTCTGCATCTGCATCGCACTTCCGAAGGGACAGTTTTGCAGTAGGGTTACATAATTTTACCGTTAATTTAAATTATATTGCATATTTCCATCTTATTTTTACAAGATCTATTTTAATACCCAGTGTACATTAATGGCAAACTACTTTGTTTCACACTGGAAAGTCCAAATCCAACTCTGGTTAAAATACCACGGTCTCTGACCTCTCCCCCCCTCTCTCTGCCTGAAGCCAGGCTACTGTCGTATTCTCTGGATTATAAGACGCTCCGGAAAGTAAAATGCACCAACTAACTAGTGCCAAGTATCAATAAAGTTACGCAAATCCGGTCATACGTAAACACCTACCGGATTGTATGGGAAATCACCAACTCTTGCTTGAACATACAGGGGGTGAGGTAAAAGAGCATCTTATCATCTAGATCAGCGGTTCCCAACCTTTTCGAGTGTCCCGTACTCCTTTTCAACCTCCAAACATTTTGCGGACCATCACACGCTACTGTCATACCGTCAGTATAGCCCTTTACTTTCTGTCCCACAAAAAGAGGATCGTCGTGTAAGTACAGGACCAAACTACACAATGCACGTGCTGGTGGCGAGCTGACTTTAAAACTCTGCACACATATCTTGAGGTTGATACTGTCCATTTACGATGCAGTTAAGCTGTCAGCGGATTTTAATAGGCACAGACCCCCACTTAGCGCAAATGCCAATATTATTTTTACGACAGCTGTAAAACCGCATACACAAACTACATTTTAAATGTGTTTTTTTTTAAACATCATAATGGCTGACCGCTATATTTCACGTTAAACATTTTCCATAAAAACACAAAAATGGGGTATTATATTATTTCCATAAAAATGTTTGAGATGACTGGACTGGAAATGTCTGCTTCATCTGCAGCTATCCAGCACGGTCCAATTCAGACTTAAAATGCCCCATCTCTTCTTCTTTAAACCCTGGACCAAAAAGTTTACATATTATATATCATATACCATCGGTCACTCACAATACTGTACTGTACATTCCACCACCACCACCACGCCGTTCATCGATCCGTCTCTGCTTGGTTCGCTCTTCCACTACATGTTCCTTCTCTTATACCACCACCATTAACCCCCCCTCCTCCCCCCACGATCTGCTAGCAACACGCCTGACCCAAATCCATCTGCTTTTTGTTCAAATTCTACAACAGGTCGTGCTTAATTTAACTCCGCACGTGGGCACAATGCCCAAATAAAATAATTGACAAAGGTGTTTGGGCTGGCTCGTTTAGAGCCCAGTCAATTTTGTAAACTCCACATTCGTATGGTGGGGACCAGTGCCGGATTAAGCTAGTGCGGGGCCTGTAGCATATGTTATAAAGGGGCCTTAAACAAAAAAACACACAGATATTAAAACATACATTTTTTTTACTTTCATAATACATTGTATTTTTTCATTTGCTACACAGCCAGATAATACGACAAATCGCTAAACTTAAACACCCAGTCGTTCATAAAGTTGAAGGTAGTATAGTACTATGGTAATAGAGCAAGTGCAGAATCACTGAACCGGAATTTATATCTGGAAAGCATTTAGCGCGGGGCCCTTGAAAAGTGTGGGCCCGTAGCTTATGCTACTTTTGCTACTAGGATAATCCGGCACTGGTGGGACCCAAACACATTTATAGAAGTCATCTCAGTCAGCTAACCCATGGCGCACCTGGGTCTGTCCCGTAACCTCCTGCCAGCGAGCCTTCGACACCTCACGTGGCAACAAAGTGCACCTGGCCTGGCACGGGCGCCGTCACCGTCACTTAGTGGCGAATGCCGGGTATTGCTACGTGCATGGTGAGCGGTGGTGACAGTGTTTCAGAAAGGGCCCATAGAGTTCGATTCCCGGGCTTGAAAAACATCAGTGGCACTCGGTATCTGAACCGCTCATGGATCTCTCCTAGGTCTACTCGGCCTTAAACAAATATCTAACGCTGCGTGAAAACATCACCAACCGAAACAAAGGCGAATGAGCGTTCCGTCTTTAATAGGTGCTCGCTAACAGCACTTGCTCCAACCATCTATAACACGAGATGGGGAATATCTTCTTCGATTGTATGCATGCGCGCATGTGTGTGTGTGTGGGGAGCGGTAGTGTAGCGGTGGGCGCCCTGCACTACGAACCCGGCGACCGGAGTTCGATTTCCACTCACGGCCAAAACCAGTGACGATGATCTGAACCGGTCCTGAGCCTCCCCTAGGTCGACTCAGCCTCAAATGAGTACCTGGTCGCGGTGTGTAAACATCACCACTAGAGAGCCAAAGGCGGCGGAGGGGCGTGGTGTTGGCCACCTACTCCCTCGTGTGCCGTGCCGGCCTTCATAGGTGCTCGCTAACAGCACTTGTCCCAGCAGCCTGTTAAAGGCGATACGAGGGATCTTTGTCCGTGTGTACACATAGTCGTTTGGTCAAACCTCTGCTGGACGAGGGCCTCTCCACACCGAGGATCGTGGTGGGGGGGTGGGAGGAGGTTATTCGACTATACTTCACCACACTGGTACGTACGAGAGTGTACAGTACACTGTATACAATGCGCTCGCCCGCAGTCTGCACGCCGCCGCGGGAGATATTCACGCCGAAACGTGCGGGCGCACGTGTACATCATACACCACATCACCTCAAAACAGTTTATAAAACATCGGGCTTCACACACGTCTCGTCGTCTCTTTGTGCCCACACGTGTGTGCGCGCGTAACGCGCCGTACACTCCGCAGCTTATTCGCCAAACAGCAACTGGTCCCAACAAACAGCAGGTTTATTTGTTTTTGTTCGTGCAAAAACGTCGGTTTAAGGTGCAAGGGATTTTTTGGGGGGGTTTTCTTTTATTCCCGGAGGCCAAAAGCGTCCATCCGTCGAAAACTGTCCCCCGGTGGAATCGGGCCCGCAAACCCCCTCGACCGCGTCTCGGATAGCGGCGCTACCGCCTCCGTCGCCTCGTAGCCCGGCCCAAGGCGCCAGGCAAGAGATGGGGGGCTGGGTGGGTTGGTTGGTTTGGGGAGGGAAGAGAGAGATCGGGGCCCGGCGATCGAAAGGCCTCAGACCGCGACAGGGGTTGCGGGGGGGAGGCGAAGCGGGTCTCAAAAAAACGAGTTATAGGAGGTGGGGGGGGCGGTGTGGGAGAAGGATAGGGGATGTGGAGAGGGAGGGCACAAAATATTGAAGGCGCTCTTTAAAAAAAGGATTCGAAACAATGAACGATGAGACGTTGTCCGAGGATACGGTGTAGAAATATAATAGAGAGACAGGCAAGGAAGCGAGCGGCAAACTCACCGCCCCGCGCGTGGCCTCGGCTCTGAGTTGGGGGTGGGGGGGGTGGGTGAGGGGGGACACGCCCACTAAGCCTCGCTCAGCCAATGAGAGGGGGCGCGCTCTGGGGTGTGGGGGTGTGAGAGTGCGCCAATTGGTCGTGAAACTGTAGAGGGGGTGGGGGGCTCTGAGTGTGCACGATTCGCCGGTGGGGGGCGGGGGGGGATTATTTAATATATTAATTTGTATTATATTACGCATATATTTTTTTAGCAAATATCTTTACAACCGTACTTTTTTTTAATCGCGTTGACTTTTTTAAAATCGATATTATAATGATAATAGGGGTTTCCCCTTTTTTTCTGGCAAAAAAACAGGTGGTTAAGATAATAATAATTTATTTCTACGTGACTTTACCGAAAGAACCAGAGTAATTCCTGCAGTCACGAAAGCTTTGAATCTAGTTTTAGGTGTTAAGATGTTAAAACACCAAATTGAAACTGTATATTAAAAGGCCTTTTGGCGTCCACAAGTCTAACACCGTTTGAGACGAGGCTCAAAACAAAAGCTGTCTCTGGTGTGGACCAATCAGTTTCAAGGACAATGCATGATATATTATCAGAGTATTTTATTTGTTTGCATTCTGACCACAAGCATTGCGATTAATGCAGACGTGATTCCTTGTAAAAGGTTTCAGTTTGGTGTTTTAACATCTTAACACCTGATTTAAAGCTTTCGTGACTGCAGGGATTTATATTCTTGGTTCTTTCGGTAAAGTCACCGAAAGAACCAAGAATATCTTAACACAACTGTTTTGTTGCCAGAAAAACGGGGAAAACCCTATTATCATATTTTGGTACCTGGCAAAGGAGGTCTCATGATATAAAACTATATTGTTGTGTTTTGTTTTACGATAATATTTTTGTTATTTTATAGCTAGCTTGTTTTTTTACCGCAAACTATCGGTGGGTGGGTGAGTGGGTGAGTGAGGGAGCATGAGTTTGATTTGTTACACCGGGACGATCCGGTTTGCCCGGCTTATCCGACACGGGAAGATCCGTGGTTCCTGAGTTTGTTTCGCCGTTTTTCCGGTTTCGCGCCGTGATCCGACGACGATCTATCGCTGCATCGTCAGCGTCTTGTGCTTTTCATCTTCATCCACGAACATTGACATCTCTCTGCTGTTCGTTATATCTCGCGCGTTTATTTCCTCATGATTCCTCATCAACTCCGACTCAAAGAGTAATGACAACAAGTGCGTTGTATTTCATAGTGATCATTGATTTTTTTTGTTCAAAAGTAGAGCCCACTACCGGCCATCTGTTAAACAGAGCTTCATAGCTCATCGGATTCCTCCAGAATAAATAAATATTCTGATGACTAATGATGTTAACCACCTCGCCTGGTTTACAGGAGGTCGTGCGCTCTGATTTTGTACGGGTTCTTCGCCGGACTGGGCCAGTTTTGCAAAATTCCACTCGTGACGAGTTTCACTTCGAAACCGGAGAACACTCACACTGCATAAGAGAAGACACTGGTCACAACTCGCAGCCTCGCACCTTCTGGAAAGAAGTCCTGGTGGGTCGTGACCAATCTAGGTGAAAAACAAAAACACGCTCCAGGCTGCTAAACTTGTGAGATCTGCTGCTGAGATTTACAGTGTTTTTGTCAGAGGCACAATAATGCTGATCACTTTAATGTTCATGGCCATTCGCAAACTTAACAACACATTCATCTTGATTTGAAGCTTCCGTGACCGCAGGAATCCATACTCTTTGGTTCTTTCGGTAAAGTCACGTAGGTATAAAATAAATCACGACGTTTCGGGCGCAACACAAGCATCCAACAACACATTCTCATAAGGGAAATGCTAAATAGCCGATCTCTGCAATTCCCATGCCTTCTCGAATCACGAAACACATCGCGCAAACCCACACACGTCCATACTGAGAAACAGCAAAATGTATAAAATATAATTTTTTATCGTGGCTCTTGTTTGGATGTGTCAGCTCAGCCCTCTGACCGCTCAGCCACGCGGTTACCTCTTAAGAGTTCTGAAATGTAAAAAAACACTGAGCTGACAATTCTATGTCTACGGCTCCGTGACATATGAAGTTTATTTCGGGCTCGATCATTTGACGTTTTGTTCCACGTTCTTAGGAAATTAAATATCGTGCCGAACCACACACGGAACAGCTCAATAACACATCGGAGAGCCACGTGGCACAACCACGATAACCCAAGGATCAGCGAGCGTAATCGCACAAGGGCAAGGCCCTATTTCACAGCAGGAATAGTTAACTTCACCAACACCCGCGTGCTCCCCTGCCTGCCTGACCGTCCGCCCTGGCCTGACACGGGGGGCAGTGGCGGGCGAGGGAGGCTTCCCGCGGGGGCCGAGCTCCGGGGGGCCCGGGGTCCCCACGGCTCCGTCTTGCGGGAGCGGTCGCTGGACGCCGACGGTGCGGCGTGGCGAACGGAGCGCACGGCGCGCAGCACCTCCATCCTCTCGAGCAGGCACTCCTGCGTTACGCGAAAGAGGCCAACGACAACTTCGGTGGAAGCGGGCAGGTGGGTGGACGCAGAGGGTCAGGCACACTGAGCCGGCGACCGCTGAGATAACCCACGAGCCCAGACACCTTGCTAGAGAAACGATGGTGGCCTGTGAGCAAGAGTAACCAATGAGGGGTAGCCAATGGAGGGAATATTTATCGCCAAAGTGGATGTCCTTACCCCCTTACCGCCCCCGCGGAGATGCAGTGATGAAGTCAGTTTGCACACAAGCTAGACGGAATGTTACATCGCAGGCTCACGAGTAATGGAGTAATGGCGACAACTTGGGGAGGCCTTCATCCAGCAGTGGATTGATCATGGCTGGCAATGATGATGATACTCATCTCCACTGGGGACCTTAGCCAGTGGAGGAAATGCCACGAATAGAAGAGCCCGGGGGTTTTACTGACTGCATTAATTATCATTGAGGGCACAATTAAAATCAACCGCGCGGGTCGTTACGGTATTTTCAAGGATTTCTTTTTTTTACTCCTTCCTACCAGACTTTTGTTTCAGGGCCATGTTATTTTTGCAGAACGCTGCTAAAAACTGTTTTTGTGCCCACGCCCTGATTTAAGGGTTTGGGTCTCGTTAAATAGCGTTTCATAATAACTCCTCCTGGACGGTCATCACGAGCAAAAGCCTGCCGATCTGTCGCATCATCCCGCTGCTGATTATTTTGTTCGTGATTCCTTTTCGAAATCTAAAACGAAGAAAGAAACAACAATGTAATTATAGCTGCATCATGTGACCACACCTGTGTATCGACGTACCTGTAGCTTGTGAGTACACCAGGATCACGTGATCGCATACACACCTGCAATGTTTGCTCAAACGTGTATCATGTGGGCACACACCTGTGTCTAAACACATCTGGATCGCGTGATCACACCTGCACCTCAATACGCCTGCATCGTCCACTCACACACACCTGTGATCGTGTGATCTCACCTGGACCATGTCTAGCTTGGAGAAGGAGTCCATGTCCTGCAATGAGCCATATTGACGTAGGTAGCAGCTCTCCGCCAGGTTATCAATCGCCATCAGCATTGCGCCCAACTCCTGGCCCTATTGTGCAGATCCAGGACGTACATCAGTGTTGATTCTCGACATCAGCATCATCATCATCATCAGCAGTGGAGAGGTCATGCTTGATGGTTGTAGGCAGATCGTCTGCATGGTTTCTGCTGGAGGGGGGCGAGGGGACGCACCTGGGTGTGGTGCTGCTGGCGCAAGGCAAGGAGCCGCTCCTCGGCAGCGCGGCATCGCTCCTGCGCTCGCTCCCTCCGAGAGCGCAGCTCAGACATCTCCCCGTGGATCACCTGCATGAGCGAGAGACAGAGAGAGAGCGAGACGGAGGAAGAGCATGAGTGAGCGAGAGAGATGGTACATTTGTGCGTGACGAGACCCCCACCGTGACGCTACCCTCATCCCACTTTCACAGTCACCCCCACCATGACCCCACCCACATGACCCCACCTCTGTGACCCCACGGTGACCCCACCCACCCATAACCCTCACCCCACTGTGATCCTACCCTCAACCCCACTTTGACCCGCAGTGACCCCACCCCCCGTGACCCCACCATGCTTGTGTGGCTGAAGCCGCGTGTGAGCTGCGCGAGTTGGAGCTGAGCCTGCTCCAGATCACGTCCCAGGTCTCCCAGGCGGCCGAGCAGAGCCACCCTCGCTGCCTCTAGCCCCGTGTGGCGGCGGATGAGGCCGGAGGCGTCGTGGCCATCGCCGCCCGCATCCCCTGCGCCACCACGATGCGGTCAAACAATCAATCAAATCTGTTGTTATATAGTTGTCCTTACCCCTCACCTACGATGAGCATAGTTGACTACGTACGGTGCGAAAGAAGTTCAACATACATATCGCTACTTTCAGAGCAATTTTGGTTGTGGCGGTGAATTCATCTCTATCCCTACTGTCCCAACACACACCCCCCATTAACTACTGGTGAGTGCATACACCGCCCACCTTCCACTCCCACCACTGCCCAAACAAGCTGAAGTCTGTGTCCTGGAGGAAGGGACGGGCCGACACAGAAAGAGGCAGGGCCTAAAGAAGGGGCGGGGCCTAAAAAGGAAAGGTGCCGGAAGAAGGGGGTGGAGCCTAAAGAGAAAAAGGGGCAGGACATAAAGAAGTAGGAGCGGGACCGAGAGAGGCTGAACCCTTTTCATTTAAGGTTACAAAAACACAGAATCAAACATGTGCAGCAGGCAGCAAATCTTTGCTGCCACAGATGTGGCCACGGGCCAACTCGGTTCTAAATTCCATGAATCAATAAACCATTTCATCAACTCGTTCATTTACAAAGCACCCAATCAACCATCGTTCCAGTGACAGGCGGTGGAAATTCCACGTTTATGATGGCAGGGTGGAGTTAATTCCGAACGAGAGCCACTGCAGAAATAATTTGTTGAAAATACTGTATTGCCGTTTCTCAACGTAGCTGGTTGCGTGCTGTTGTGCCGGATGGCCGCGGTGTCCTGAGAAGGCACTGCACAGGGATCGTACACGTTGGTGCGTCGCGTGAGCGAGCGCAACGGGACTCGGTGAAACACGATGCGCCACGAGCACCCACGTTGTCGGTTGGCTCCCATGACGTCACAATGAATAATTCACATGAGCACCTGCCGCCTCCGCCCAGGTGGGCGCTCACCCGCGGGCATTGTGGGCCTGTGAGTAGATGGCGACCGCTTGGCAAAGACCTTCATCCAAAAGTGATCATGGCTGATGACGGTGATGGTGATTATGGTGATGGACATTGGCAGCTGGAGGGGGCTGCAGACCTTCGGGGAAGCGATCGAGAGCATCTCTGAGGAAATCTTCGTACACCTTGCACCTGCCCGTGGCCCTCTGAAGCTTCTGGCACCTGCAACCCGGCGGAGGTAACAGATAAACGTCAACATTTAATCCAGCGGCTCACAGCGCGTGAATCGCCGCTCAGGGGGCACAGAGCTGCAGAATGGGTACCATGCAGGAGAAATTACTAATCAAGGGCTCGGTAGCTTGTAGTTGGGACGTCCCTCTCGAGTCAGTGCCGCTGTTGCAGGTAAAATCAATTCTAGATGAAATAACGCACATGACAGCTGCTGCCACCGCTTGAAATTAGGTTAAAGTGCCTTGTCAATTCGCACGAGCTTGGGGCGGTGTTTGCCTTCGAAAAGTGTTCCCGAGCGTGAGCAGGTGTAAAATTCTGTATTCCTATGCCAGGGGTCGGCCATCCCGCAAGAGCGGCCTTCTGTTGAGCTCCTGCACAGTGGCGTCTCGTCCTGCAAGACGCGCAGAAGGAGGCGACGGAAACAAACAGCGTGCGCATAGGAAGGTCAGGTTTAGGTGTGCGGAGATGCTTTTTTAATTTAGCCAGGTAAAGGCCCACTGAGCTACGTGGCTCTTTTTCAGAAGTGACCTGCCCACGAACGATGGCTCAACGTGGGAATGTATAGCGGACAAATACTCTGAACGCGCTTTGATAATTATAGATGTGGAGGGAAAAACCGGAGGAGCCTGAGAAAAATCCACCTGACCACCAGGGAGAACATGCAAATATACAAGCATCAAGGTCGGGATTGAACCCACGACCTCCAGTATACCAGGTGAGGAAGTTAGCATCTTGCCACCTTGGCGACATGCAGTTGCACTCAGGTTACCGCGTGGACTCTCCCTTGCCCGTTGCTCCTCTCTCACTCGACTGATGCACTCCCCTCCACACACTCCCCACTCCGCCAGCCAAAGATTTCTTCTAGAACCGTGGCTCAATGGGAGGTCGCTCATTGTACTCTTCATCCCCGCCCCCCACCCCCCCCCCCCATCGCATGGACCTCTCTCCCCCCAGTCATCCATGCTGTTGGGTTCCTTCCCTTGTTCAAGTCCAGGCACGAGACTGTCTCTTCCCCAATCGCTATGACTGACCCCCTCCATAAAATAAACATGCCCACTGTTGCTATGCAGTATGGTCAGATGTGGACGCATTCAGACATTGCGATATGAATCCACGTCGTATTGTATCTTTTTTATTCTACATATAAGCGGTCACCTTGACAGGTAGACTTCGGACAAGGGGTCACCTTCATCAGTGGACAGGTAGGCTGGAGGTAAGAGGTCGCCTACAGCTGATGCTTCAGATTAGGGTTCACCTGCAGCAGGAGTCAGATCGGAGGATTCATGGGCTCAGGGGGTCACCACCTGCAGCAGCTGCAGCAGCTGCAGCAGGAGGAGGAGGAGGAGGCGTCACCTGCACTGCAGCTGCATGAGGAGCTCGCGCAGCTGCTCCGCTTCTCCTCGCGCCGCCTCCGTCTCCGCGCGTTCCTTCCGCTGGCGCGCCAGCGCACGCCGCGTGCGCGCGTCCTGCTCACGCAGAACCTGCTGCAGCTGCAGCGCGCGGTCCTCTTCCTGCGCGTGTGCACACACACACGCGCGCACACGCACGCACGCGCACACACGCGCACACGTACACGATGATACGCGCACATACGCGTAGATGCACGTGTGTATACATACCGACAAAGATCCCCGTAGAGCCTTAGCAGACACACACACACATAGGCACACTCCATTTCCTCTTGCCCCACGTCCCACGCGCCTTAATGAAGCCGCATGCCCTCAAAGACCAAAAAAAAAAAAGATCCCCAATGTACCCTTAACAGACTGTTGGGGCAAGTGCAGTTAGTGAGCGCCTATTAAGGCTGGCACGGCCACACAAGGGTGGCGGGTTGGTGAACGCCAAGCTCGGCTACCTTTGTCTTTCCAGTGGTGATAGTTTTGCACACCGCATCAGTTGACCGACGACTAGTTCTGCCGATGTTAAACCACGGCCGGGAATCGAACCCATATTAGCCGGTGTTCGCTGACCTCTCTGCGCCGCTGCTGCAGCTGGCGCCCACGCGCCCCGCACTCCTCCATGCGCCGGCGAAACCTCCCGCGAGCCTCCTCCAGCTCCGCGTCGATGCGCCTCCGTTCCACCTCCCGTCGCAGGAGCAGGGTCTCCTGGGGGGCAGCCCCAGGGGCCTCGAGTAGGCGGGAGGGGCCCTGGGGGGGTAGCGGGGGGGGGTAGAGGGGAGAGAGAAGGGGAGAGGGGGGAGGCAGATGGTGAAAAAACAATGAGAAGTATCGCAACTAAATAACTGATAAGCTGAGCATTAATCAGATCGTGAGTCCACTTGGTATGAAAGCTAAAAGTGATTTCCTGTACAAGAGTTATTTCATGCACAAATAATGCTGTCGGTACTCGCCTGTGCCAATGTAAAGTCCACATTCCTTTGTCGGTAACCAGTATTTCCATAAGCCAACCACAATTGGTGCACCCTTACCATGCGATGCTCATTGTAACTGCCTCATAGAGACGACGATGATGATGTTGAGATGTTGATGATGATGGTGGAGATGATGGAGGTGGATAAGATGATTTTTACCTCCTTGACGACTGGAAATTTTCTGATATTTTCATCTTCATCTCTGCAAAAGAAAACGATCAACATAAATATATTCATAAACAAAGCAAAGATCAACCGTGTAGTTCATAGACTGTTGGAGCAAAGTGATATAAAGGTTGTTTCAAAAAATGTTAACACTTACATGAGACTATCGTTTTTAATGGAGAAAAGAACAATACTATACTGTAACATGATAACAAATGTATGTTATTATAATAATATTTTCCCCTTTTTTCTAGCAACAAAACAGGTGTTAAGATGTTAAAACACCAAACTGAAACCTCTTACAAGGAATCATGTCGTGTTTGATGTTACCGCATGCTAGAAAATAACGTTACATTAACAACTGATAATGTTATCAAATAAGAGATGTTGTTTGTCGAGTCATCACGTGACTGTGTCAATGACGCCGCGGTGGTGAGATGTTAACTACCTTGCCTGCTATACAGGAGGTCATAGGTCTAATCCCGACTCCGATTCCTGTATATTTGGAGTTTGCGTGTCTCTCCCCTTGGTCGTGTAAATTTTTCTCCGGGTCCTCCGGTTTTTCCTTCCACATTTAGAATCAACATCACGCGTTTAAAGTATTTGGCTGATGTATTTGTCCACGTGATAAGCCACTTCATTGGGATATCATATGTTGCCAGGTCATTTCTGACAAGAGAGCTACATAGCTCAGTGCACCTTACCTGGTAAAATAAAAAAATAGTAATAGCTTTAGTAAATGACAGCCTCTCTCATTACGTCATGACGAACGTGATTAATTATAAAGCGTTGCTGCACATACATTCTTCCTCATGGGAAGTCGCGAATAGGAACTTGGTGATTATGTCATTGAATTTAGAAGCCCTCGCGTGTCTATATATGGGCCCCATGTGTCAAGTGAAGGAAGGAAGGAAGGGTTCTGCCGATGATGATGATAACATCCTTATACTGGCTGACAATTTCCACATACGTCCAAAAACTAAAGACAAAAGTCCCCCCCGTGGAGCCTTATAGAGGCAAAGACCCCGCATTCAGGCTTCCAGACCGAGCAAGTGACAAGTGATGTTCGCGAGCACCTATTAAGGCTTGCACACACCACGCGAAGGGGAGAGCGGCGGTCAGAACCACGCACGGTTGCGCCTTTTCCTACCAAGTATCGATGTTCGCACATCGTGCCGGGGTGCTCGTTTAGGGCTGAGTGGGTATAGAGCAGGCACCATAATAGTTTCATACATCGCTTGTCAGGGGCGGTGTGCATCAAACCCAGGAATACGGACAAACGACTGCTCCCCCCAGAACAAAGTGCTGTTAGCGAGCGCCTATTGCCGCTTTGTCCGGATTATAAGACGCCGCAGAAAGTAATTCGCACCACAAACTTGTGCACGGTGTCAATAAAGCCATGTAAATAGGGTAACATATCGATCGGGTGACGTCGTGGACCCTCCCCTCCCCCAACTCTTGCTTTGTGATAACACGGTGGAGGGGGGGGGGGGTGCACGGTACGGCGCACTACAAAGACAAAGATCCCCCGTGGAGCCTTAACAGCATGTTGGGGCAAGTGCTGTTAGCTGAGCACCGACCTCCGCACACAGCACGGTACACGCAACACCAACACGCGCACCTTCCTTCCCCGAGCTGCGTCACGAAGATGTTCCGTTGCTCGAGCCTCCTGATCTGGAATTTCACTGGCTCCACGTCGCTCCTCTTCTCACCCTGCTCTTCCTCCTCGCGTCTCACGGCGTCCATGGCTGCCAGCCCTACGGACGCGGCGCTCCGTGCTCTGCGAGAACACCGGAAAGTAAGACGCACCCCTCCTGCCCGCCCGCCTGCCCGCCCCTCCCAAACGTTTGGGTCAATTTGAAAAAAAAGAACAGGTCCCTGCAGGGTGGGCTGGTAGGACAAGTCTCTGCGCTGTCTATTGCTGATTTTACACCCAACAGCACGAGATTTCACTTCGTTAAAGTATTGAAAGGGGACGGACGGACGGACACATTCATCTATTGCAGGCTGGTACACTCAGTTTACAACTTCGTTCCTACCAGTAAAACATTGCCCTTACGTGTATGCATCTGTTTAATTGCGACGTGGGTAAATGTATAGGGGAACAATGACATCTGTGAAAAAAGAGCTTTGTGGGTCTTCGGATGCATCCAGTATTACTACTATAATAGCTCAGAAATAAATGTGTAATCCGCAGTGACGTCACTCCACACGCTGCATCATCCCCCCCCCCCGTCATTAATAATAAAATAATCATGAGCGAGTGGATTTTCACACTCACGCGGAAGAATGTCGAGCGGAAAGATATTTTTTTCGCAAAGTCGCTTCAAATATGACGTTTCTTTACAGAAAGTGACGGTAAAAAATAAATATACGCAGCACAGTGCTGCATTCGTACGTGACGTCACTGCAAACGAGCCCCTCCCCCCCCCCCCCTCATTAATAATCATGAGCGGGTGGATTTTGATACTCCCCCAGGTCGAGCGGAGACACATTTTTGTTAAGCAAATCCTCTTTAAATGTTACGTTTCTTTCTTGAAATGTTCTCAAATAAATAATTCTACGCAGCAGCAACAAAGTGATTTTCGTGTCTTTATGTATTTCTTCAGCACTTGAAACAAAAGGTAAGTCACATTTTTGCTTTTAAATTATGAACAAACTGAACAAACGCTGGCGAGTTGCTGAACAAGCATTCACTTGACATGTCGCTGGATTATCTACGGCGTCATGACGAAAATGTTGCATTGAACATGGCTCTGCACGACATCAACAAGATTCTCAAACAACATGGACTGAATATTCTTGGTTCTTTCGGTAAAGCCACGTAGAAGGGAAACAATAAAATAATAAAAATATAAAACAATAAAATTTTCACGACGTTTCGACTGCAACACAAGCAATCATCATCAGGTGTGAAAACCACAGCAAGAAAATTTGAAGAAAAAAAATTATTGCTGTGGTTTTCACACCTGATGATGATTGCTAGTGTTGCAGTCGAAACGTCGTGAGAATTTTATTGTTTTATATTTTTATCATTTTATTGTTTCCCTTCTACGTGACTTTACCGAAAGAACCAAGAATATGAATCCCTGCAGTCACGAAAGCTTTAAATCAAAATTTAACATGGACTGTCTTGCGCATCAATTGGTATTCCGCAACCGATAGGACATCCAATCGAAGCTCAGCTATACAACGGAGTACAAGAAGAACAAGAAGCTGAAACGAGAATTTGCTCCCTTAATGGGCAATAGTTTGAAGCTTTCACGGCAATAATGAGAGCTGTCGACGATGAGCATGTCCACAACATACTTCTATACTTAGATAGTCCTGGCGGCTCTGGAAAGAGTTTTTGGTACTCCACGCTGCTCTCATTTGTTCGTGGAAAAGGTCAAATCGCTCTTCCTTTTGCGACCACTGGAATCGCAGCGACTTTACTGAAAGTCGGACGAACTGTGCACAGCGGATTCAAGCTTCCAGTTCCCCTCCTCGAAACATCTTCTTCGTTCATGAGACGAAATGACGATGCTGACAAAGCATGGCCTTCGATGCATCGATCAGCTGTTGCACTATTTCATGCAGATTCTACGGCCGTTTGGTGCAAAAGTCGTCGTAATCGGTGGCGACTTCAGACAGACTTTGCCGGTTGTAGCAAAAGGCACCCGTGTTGATGTCACCGAGTGCTGCATCAAATCCAGCGTATTATGGCAGCTTTTGACCAAATTGACTCTCACGGAAACCCTTCGGAGTGATGGTCAAAATGAGCATAACAATTGGCTGCTGAAAGTTGGATTGGGAACTTTGCCCGAGATATCTGGAGGGCCGTTAGGTTCCATTGAAATTCCACCTCAAATGATAACGGTTGATGATCTGGTCACCGCAATTTACGGTCAGAACTTGCGACACATGCCTGCCGAAGAGCTTGCGAAAAGAGCAATTCTGGCACCTACCAACAAGGGCACTTTCGAAATGAACCGAAACATCATCACACCGCTGTCCGGAGATCTCCGAATTTATTACAGCTCTGACTCGATCGTGTCGGAAGATCCTGCGGATGCATTAAATTACCCTCCAGAATTTCTTCACGATCAAACGCCTTCAGGAATGCCGCCACACACGTTGGCACTGAAGACAGGCGTTATCATCATCATGCTGCTGCTGCGAAATCTGAACCTGAAGAACGGTCTTTGCAATGGAACGCGTTTGATGGTCAAATCATTACAAAATAACTTCATCACCGCAGAGATTGTATCGGAATGCAACCGAGGCGAAATCGTCTTCATCCCGAGACTCGATCTAGCTCCAAGTGACGTCACTCTTCGTTTCGTGCTGAAACGACGACAAATTCCGATAATTCCTGCGTATGCGATGACGATGAACAAGTGCCAGGGTCAGACTTTTGAAAATGTGGGGATTTATCGCAATGGACCCCGCATTTTCCCATGGACAGTTGTACGTGGCTCTGTCCAGATCTAAAAATCCTCAGCGGATCAAAGTGTTCATCAAGGATAGTCATCTGCAGGGAAACCTTTTGAACAGTGATCAGAGATTCACACAAAATATCGTCGACTGAGAAATCTTCCAAAGTCCTTATTTTCATTTTTTTTAAGTTGAGAAAAATGTATTTACGTGCAACAATCACACAGGAACAAGTAAATGCACATCTTTAATATTACAGCTTGCGTCCTAGGACGGGCAAAGGGCTAGTAAATGCATATTCTGATTCTTATTATGACTAATGACGTTAACTACCTCGTCATGGTTTACAGGAGGTTGTGCGTTCGATCCAGACCCTGACTCCTGCATATCTGGAGTTTGCATATTCTTCCCGTGATCGCGTGGAGTGTTCCCCCCCCCCCCCACTCACATTTAGAATCAACGTCCGTTTTCACGATGTGTCTGCTATAGATTTCCACTTGATAGGCCACTTCATTTGTGATGGCCAGGTAGCTTCTGAAAAAGAGCTACCATAGCTCAGTGGGCCTTACCTGGTAAAATAACAAATGCATTAGTTACTATTTTTAGTTTTACTTTTGGCTTCGTGTGGTGAGGAAAATCCGGAGACACCGCACAGAACCCCCACGCACTGCGTACGACGGGAGGTCACACTGAGCACTACTCTCGCAGCCCCACGTCTACACAGCACCCGGCAAAGCTCTGGTGGTGGTGGTGGCGGTAGTAGTGGCCATCCATCCAAGTACTAACCAGGCTAAAAACCTGCTTAGCTTCCGAGATCCGGACACAGTCGTGGAGGTTATTCGGCCATAGCCTCTAGCCCGCAGTGTTCTTCACTGCAAGGCCCGCGAAGATACACAAATGTGAAAACACCCCCCGTCGTCATCATCATCATCATCGTGCTGTCAAACCTCCAATGGTTTTGAAATGCGTGGCGGCCCTCACACACTGATGATGTCTTATCGGCGAAAGTGCCCGCTCCCCCCTCCCACCCTCTAAAAATGAGTGACGAACGCTGCCACAGCCCCATATATCTTCACAACGAGCCTCAAAACAGCACTAAAGTCTACCCTGAATCAACAGCAGTTAAAGGCGCCGTTGCCTCTATGGAGTTGAACCCGTGCGTCTCGGACGCGTTCTGTACAACTGCGCACGCGAGTCCGTGGCATACACGGAGAACGCTGTCGAGAAGATAGCACGCAAGCTCCGCAACAGATGGATTCAAGAATCCAAATCAGCACTTCCATCTCCTGGCCATACACCTCTTATAATCTGGGGGATACGGTAACTGATGTCGCGATACGAATGATGGAGTTTGTGTGTGTGTGTAGAGCCGTAGTCGTAGCGGTTCGTGTGCTGTGCGCTACGAACCCTGGCGACCCGAGTTCGATTCCCGCTCACGGCAAACACGAGTGACGATTATCCAAACCGGTCCTGGGCCGCCCCTAGGTTGACTCGGCCTCAAATGTGTACGTGGGACCCCCCTCCCTCCCTCGTGTGCTCGTTAACAGCAACTTTCCCAGCAAGTCTGCTCAGGCTATCCGGGGTATCTATGTCCTGTGTCCGGCAGCCGGTGCCTTGTTCTTGATGATTTAATTCATTAATGCGCAGTCGACGCCGCCGCACGTCTCGTACCCTCGCGTGCCGTGAGCGGTTCTCGCGACGCGAACAAACAACAACAAAAAACAACAACAACAAACGCTGCCAGTGGGTCTGCGGGCCGACGATGCTGCTGTTTGACAACCTGCTGGGGTCGTTTTGTCTTCTGCTCGCCTCTCCTCCTCTCTCGCTCCCGTGTGCCCCGCGTCCTCCCGTTGTTGGCGGTTGGTATGGGAGCGGTGTGGCTCGGGTTGGTATGGGAGCGCTGTCACTCCGAGGCCAATGGCAGCCGCGCTTACCAACAACCACGAGACGACCTCCACTGGGCGGAGCGCGGCATCGCTCAACACGCACGCAAGGCGCACTGCAGCTCGCTCGCTCGCCCGCCCACCCACTCACTCATCCACTCACTCATCCACTCACTTCAACCACTCACCCATCCATGTCACTCTCTCACTCACCCACCCAAGTCACTCTCCAGCTCCCCCACCCACTCACTCACCCACTCACCCACCCACTCACCCACCCATGTCACTCTCCCACTCACTCACCCACCCACCCACTCACCCACCCAAGTCACTCTCCAGCTCCCCCACCCACTCACTCACCCACTCACCCACCCACCCACTCACCCACCCATGTCACTCTCTCACTCACCCACCCAAGTCACTCTCCCGCTCTCCCACCCACTCACTCACCCACTTACCCACCCACTCACCCACCCATGTCACTCTCTCACTCACCCACCCAAGTCACTCTCCAGCTCCCCCACCCACTCACTCACCCACTCACCCACCCACTCACCCACCCACTCACCCACCCATGTCACTCTCCCACTCACTCACCCACCCACCCACTCACCCACCCAAGTCACTCTCCAGCTCCCCCACCCACTCACTCACCCACTCACCCACCCACCCACTCACCCACCCATGTCACTCTCTCACTCACCCACCCAAGTCACTCTCCCGCTCTCCCACCCACTCACTCACCCACTTACCCACCCACTCACCCACCCATGTCACTCTCTCACTCACCCACCCACTCACCCACCCACCCAAGTCACTCTTCCACCCACCCACTCACCCATCCACTCACCCACCCACCCAAGTCACTCTTCCACCCACCCACTCACCCACCCAAGTCACTCTTCCACCCACCCACTCACCCACCCACTCACCCACCCAAGCCACTCTTCCACCCACCCACCCACTCACCCACCCAAGTCACTCTTCCACCCACCCACTCACCCACCCACCCAAGTCACTCTTCCACCCACCCACTCACCCACCCACCCAAGTCACTCTTCCACCCACCCACTCACCCACCCACCCAAGTCACTCTTCCACCCACCCACTCACCCACCCACCCAAGTAACTCTTCCACCCACCCACCCACCCAAGTCACTCTTCCACCTACCCACCCACTCACCCACCCACCCACCCAAGTCACTCACCCACCCACTCTATTCTTGCCGCATAATGGCAGTAACGTGTTCAGGAGCCAAATTCCAATGTCGAGGTCTGATGGCCACGAGAGGACTTCGGGAAAGAGTTCGTGTCGTTTTGCTATTCCTCCGTTGAAGGAGCGCAGACTAAAGTGGGTTTCTCTATAGTTTACATTACTGCATATCGTTACTCCCTAATACTGTTCACACGATCCAGACCTAACATCCGTGGTTCGAGAGGCGCGAGCAAAACTAAGCGAAAGCTTCGGGCCCAATACGGTCAGTGGCCCTGGGGGTGCACCAAATATTAGCTCAAAATAAAATCATGCGATATGCCTATAATCGTGACAATATAATTACGACAACAAACCGATCGCAATCTCTCCTCGTCTTAATCATGCCCGACGCGTCGCTCCCTATCTCTCTGGCTGCTCTGTGCTTCCAGTGTCCAGGGGCCTGCTGAAGGCGCGGCTCCGGCTGGAGCACGCATACCACACACATGTCGGTGATGTGCACGTCTTCTTCGAACGCTGGGGAGCCGGACAAGCCCCTCTCTGTACCAGCGTGGACGGCACCCTCGTGTTCACCTTCTGAAGCGGTCGCTCGTCACCGTGGCGTGCGCGATGACCACCACCACGTGACTTTTATTTCGTGTTGTGCGCGCTGCATTTAGCGCCACAGCGCGTGGATTTGTAGCGATTATTTGTATGTTTGCTGGTGACTGTGTATTTCATATCGGAATCGCCTCCAGTGCTGTTGCTGCTGGCGGCAATTAAAGTTGTTTAAAAGTCAACAGTCTCTCTCCTCTCTCGAACTGCATCCCTGTATGTAACGTGGCACTTCACACGCACCGTACCTAGGGTGCCTGCTCATCTCAAGCACACTCCATCTCGCTCGCATCTGCATCACCGCACGGCTCTGTCGTTACCGTCCTCACGACTACATGTGCGTCTACTCCTCTCTATCTATGCTGTCGTCTCACGAGGCATTTACACAATTACACGTGAATCCAAAGTTTGCGGGAGGGTGCGGTGTAGATATGAGCATTGGAGAGAGACAAAGACGGCCGGGGAGCTATTCCGGCCACGCCACCCCGTCGTCGTGTGCCCGTACCGACCGTCGTAGGTGCTCGCTAACAGCACTTACACCCAATATTCTGTTAATAAAGGCTATCCGGGAGGTTCTTTGTCTTCTTTCTGTATATATATAGATGGTCGCACCGAGCCATATATAGCGCACAACCAGGTTTGTAACGCGCAGCCTAGAGGACGGACTGATTCTCCCTTTGTGAGGCTTCGCACACAGACACAAAGACAAAAGAGTCACCGTAGAGCCTTAAACAGTGAGTAGCACCCATGAAAGCCGACAACGGCAACACGAGGCGGTGGGTGGCCAGCACCACGCACGGCCGCCTTTGTCTCCCGAGTGGCGATGTTAATGCACCGCTCCAGGTACTCATTTGAGGCTGAGGCGACCCTAGGAGAGACCCGTGACATCGTTCAGATATTTCGTCACAGATGTTGGTCAAGTGCGGAAATCGGAACGCGGGTTGCCGGGTCCGCAACGCCGCGCGCTAACCATTGCGCCACCGCTCCCCCGACACACACACGCAGACGCGCTCACACATACACACGCGCTCACTCACACACACTCGCTCGCTGCCTTTATATGGAAACTGAAATCCGTGACGCGCTACAATACCTCGAAGCGCCTGTCGGCATGAACCAGCTTGCGCTGAGCCAAAAATACACAGAGAGAGAGATGCACACGCACGCAGATAGCGTAATAATAGATGGAGAGAAATACACGCACACATACAGAGATACAGAGACACGCGCGGAGATATACACACACATGCAGACACGCATATAGATACAAAGACACATACAGAGACCCACGCACACATAGACACAAAGAGAAATACACAGTCACACACGCATAGAGAGACAGAGAGGCAGAGAGACAGATACACAAATAAAGACACACACACGCAAGCAAAGCGACAGACACACAAATAAAGACAGCCCGATACAAAGACAAAGGCAGGTACACAGACACACACCGAGGCAGCTACACGGACACAAAGACACACATCGACTGCCACCGTCATCAATCCTTCTGCGCTCCCACCCTACTTGTCGGGACGTCGCATCTCCCGACTCCCGCCTATAGGCGATGCGCCCTGCGCCCCGCATGAGCGGCATGACTTACACTCACTACCTCGCGCTCATCCGCCGCTCATCGGGAGCGAACCCAGGGAGCCGAGGACAGGGTAACTCTGCCGACGACGACGACGGCGGCGAGGCTCATCCTTCGGCCGCTGCGACGGTGACGGACAGCGAGGAGCGACGATCTGTCAGGGGACGCGAGGAGGAGGAGATGGTGATCAACGGAAGGATGAAGGTTGCCTTCCCAAGCGACAAGGCGAATGAATGTACCTCGCCCGCATCGGCCGAGTCTTGCGGGTGAGTGAAAAATCGGCGTTGTTGCTCCCCCCCCCCCACCAGAATGTGCTTTTGTCGGTTGCACCGCGTGATGTTCGGCATGATGTCCGACGCTCCGCGCCACGAGCTCCACGTGAGCGTCTTTAAGGGACTGTATTGAGCAAGCAGCGTTGTATAACGCGTTGCTGGCTGCTGCTGATGTCTGATGTTGTTGCCGGCCGATGTTTTTGATATGTGCTTTGGTCCTCGAGTAAGACCGGAGTGCCGCGCAGAAAGCTCAACACTCGTTGCATGCGAGAGGCATTTGGATGAACAAGCTCACCAAACTATGCACACGCCGTGAATCCCTCGAGCGCAGAGGAGGCGGGCAAGCGCGCTGCACTACGAACCCCTGGGTCCTGAGTTCGATTCCCGCTCGAGGCCACCACCAACACCAGCGACAGTTATCCGAATCGGTTCCCAGCGCTCCCCTAGGTCTACCCAGCCTCAAACTAGTAGCTGCTACGATTGTGTGAACATTGCCATTAGGTGTACAAAAGGCGGGCGGGCGTAAGTGTTGGCCCGCTCGCCCTTCCGTGTGCAGTGTCGGCTTTCAAAGGTGCTCGCTTACAGCACTTACCCCAACAGTCTGTTAAAAGCTACATCAGGGGATATGTTTGTCACGCCGTTATCGACGGGCACGTAACGCGTGACGTTTTCAGGCCCATTATGTAATTCGATTGTTGTGTACGCGCCCATACACAACGGGCCTGTGCGACGTGACATACACACGCGGGTCCCCTGCACGCCTGGGTCACGTGGTGCCTCGCATCGGCATTCCCTGTTTGCAAATCACCAAAATGAAGGCAGCAAGCAAGGGTTGGTGGACCACCGCACGGTGATGTCGCGGAATTCTCTTCCCGTGCGGGAGCGTCGATGAGGAGCCGTAACCCTGGGCTCGCCGTGAGACGGCAGCACAGCCAAATGCGGGCTCCACCTGTTCGCTCTGTTCTGGGATAACGCGTTTCACCCTCGCACGCGTGGGTTTTTTTTTCTTTCTCCGGGTGACCCGGTTTCCTCCCACGTGTGAGCACTCCCTCCACCCCTCTGAGTCGTCCTCTCCCTCCACCCCTCTGAGTCGTCCTCTCCCTCCACCCCTCTGAGTCGTCCTCTCCCTCCACCCCTCTGAGTTGTCCTCTCCCTCCACCCTTCTGAGTCGTCCTCTCCCTCCACCCCTTTGAGTCGTCCTCTCCCTCCACCCCTCTCCGAGAGCGAGCGAATATCGAGGCGGCGGCGTGTTACAAGTTGACATCATGAGTGCAGCATTGTTTCTCAAGTAGGGAGAAAATATTTCGCCGTTGCGTATCATCGTTGGCCATCATCTATAGCCACTTCTGGATGAAGGCCTTTTTCCCTCCAGGCCGACGTCATGCCGTACGAGTCTCACGATGCCACACTCCGTCTCGCGCGCGCGCGCATGACCGAATCAATGCCAATCCCTAGTTTCTGGACAATGGAGATCTCGGGGGTTGTCAAGAATGTCCATGCCGCCCCCTCAATTAAAACAATTCATAATGATTGAGTGACAGTCGCAGCTGAAAGGCGCTTGCTCTCTTCTTCATCGCGAACCCTGCAACACCGAGCGCGCCGGTGTGTGTGTACGCTCACATCTCAGCACGTTCGTCAATAACACTGTGGCCCTTAAAAGGAAACAAATATATACACATGTAAAATATATATATATATTTATACAGTGTATATTTAAGATAAATAATAATAGGCGACGTTTTGCGCAATGGCCCTTCTTCAAAACAAATGTGCTAAGGGAAGAATAAGCATATGTGCTATGAAGAAGGGCCATTGCCCGAAACGTCGACTTTTTATTACATGTTTACTTTTTTTAGGATTAAAGTGTTATTGACGAGTGTTTTGAGTGTTGTTGTTAGCGCAGCAGCAGCAGGAGCAGCAGCGTCAACTAACGCGTGTTAATTTATAGCAGAAGCCATCGGTGCATATCACGGCATATAAATGATAGAGAACTTATAACATAGTCCGTAGGCATATTGGCCATCCGAACTGTGGACCGCCGTGCTAGATATCGGTTCGGAGAGCCCAGGCGAGGCCGGTGGACCAAAGCTCTACATTCGGTTTATTTATTTTTTCAAAATAGAGAAGGGGCTTATAGGCTTCTAATGAATGCTTCCATGTGGCATTCGAATTAGTTGCGACGTTTGATGTTTGAACGTTATGTAAAGAATCAAACATGGCGACAAAACACAGTGCCATGTACCATACACTTGCTTTGCATTTGAAAGGCGAAAGCCACCGACGAGGCGAGGGTGACGCCGCTGTTACTGCTGCAGCTGCCGCTGCTGCATTTTTAAATTAAACAATACATCCTCGGCGTGTTCTGGTTGAGATGACATCTCCACCAGCTGATCCCCCTCTCCCGAGAGGATGTGTGACCCCGAGTGACCCCCCTCCACTTATTCTGTCGAGCCCCCCCCCCCCGCCCGCACACAAAGACAAGGATCCCCCGTATAGCCTTTAACAGACTGTTGAGACAAGTGCTGTTAGCGAGCACCTATGAAGGCCGCCATGGCACACGAGGGAGTAAGTGTCCAGCACCCTACGCTTGTGTAGCATGATGGGTAGAAGCGTATGTGTGTAAAATATATAAGCAAGAACTTGGAGTCCTTGATAAGGCTCCCAGGGCGTGCAGCGAAACGTCGGGACATCGTGCAAACCCGAAAACACATCTTAGAGCAATACAGCACAACCCCGAACACCCACGGAGTGCCAAACGACTCCCCATATAACGTGAATGGGAGTGCCGCATTGTACGATGTGTGTTGCTATGTTTGATGCTTTATACACGTTCAAACATCGACAACATATTAAATAACTGTATTACTACGTCCTCCTTTGTCGGCAACACATTCAGTCATTTTCAAGAATTGAAAATAATACTTTTGTTAGTAAATATATTGTCGATTTTTGAACGTACGATATATAAACAAAACTAATACCATGCCATAGTAATCTGGACAAGATTTCGTTGGGGTGATGTAAGCGTGACAATGGCACTGTGTGTGCGTGAGTGATGTGTGTGCATGAATTGTGTGTGTGTGCGTGAGTGATGTGTGTGTGTGTGCGTGAGTGATGTGTGTGTGCATGAATTATGTGTGTGTGGGTGAGTGATGTGTGTGTGTGCGCGATGTGTGTGTGGGTGAGTGATGTGTGTGTGTGCGTGAGTGATGTGTGTGTGTATGAGTGATGTGTGTGTGCGTGAGTGAGTGATATGTGTGTGTGTATGAGTGATGTGTGTGTGTGTGCGTGAGTGATATGTGTGTGTGTGCGTGAGTGATGTGTGTGTGTGCGTGAGTGATATGTGTGTGTGTGTGCGTGAGTGATATGTGTGTGTGTGTGCATGAATTATGTGTGTGTGTGTGCGTGAGTGATGTGTGTGTGTGTGTGTGCGTGAGTGATGTGTGTGTGTGTGCGTGAGTGGTGTGTGTGCGTGAGTGATGTGTGTGTGTGGGTGAGTGATGTGTGTGTGTGCGTGAATTATGTGTGTGTGTGTGTGCGTGAGTGATGTGTGTGTGAGCACGTGGGCGATGAGTGTGAGGACCGGTAACGTGGCGGTTAGCGCGCGCTGCGCCTCGAAGCCGGCGACTCGAGTTCGAATCCCGCTCACGATCAACACCAGTGACGATTATCTGAATCGGTAGTGGACCTCCCCTAGGTAGACTCGGCCTCAAATGAGTACCTGGTGTGTAAACATCACCACCGGGGAGACAAAGGCGGCCAGGCGTAGTGTTGGCCACCCACCCCCTCGTGTGCCGTGCCGGCCTTCATAGGTGCTCGCTAACAGCGCTTGTCCCAACAATCTGTTAAGGCTATACGGGGGATCTTTGTCTTTATCTTGCCTTTGAGGGCACGTGGCTTCATTGCCACGTGGGGCAAGAGGAAATGGAGCGTGTCTGTGTGTGTCTGTGTGTGTGTGTCTGTGTGTGTGTGTCTGTCTGTGTGTGTGTCTGTTTCCCTCTGCACTTCTCTATATCTCGGTGGCACATCGATGCACGTCAAACGCACACACACACACAAAGAAACAACGCCACGAGCGGGCTCCATGTCTGTGTATTTGTGTACAGAGCACCGGGGGGTGACGTGGGATACACGATGTAGCAACAGACGTCACCACTGTGACATTCATCCAAACACGCATGTGCATTCCAGTGGATTCCCGTGTTTACCATTGGGATGTAAACATTTGACCATTGGCGCTGTGAGCGACCCCCTACACCACAAATAACCCCCGTACAGCCTCGACAGACTGTCGGAGAAAGTGCTGTTAGCACCTATGAAGGCCGGTACGGCGCACGAGGGGGTGGGTGGCCGGCACCACGCCCGGCCGTCTTTGCCTCCCCCTGTTGCTGATGCTTACACACCGCACCAGGTGCTTATTTAAGGTGAGTCCCCCTCGGGGATGCCAAAGGATCGGTTCAGATCATCGTCATTGGTGCTGGTGGCCATGAGCGGGAACCGAACTCGGGTTGCCAGGTTCATAGCACAGTGCACTAAACACCACGCTACCGCTGCACCCTAATGCATCCAGAACACACGCACCTGCCTTCATCCAGCAGTGGATGGATCATGACTACTAATGATTATGATAAGCTCCTTAAACCGCTATGCCTGCCACATGACCGCACCCCTGTGTAGCTCTGCTGGGCGTGACTTGTTGGGGGTTTTCCGCATTCGGAGGTAGGATGTCCGTGTGTCCCCCCATCTTTAAAGGGGGGGGGGGGCGTCTACGTAATCGATGACAGATATAGTTGCAATTCCTCGTCGATTATTTGACTTCATCCACACATCCTCCGAGCTCTGGTGGGGACCGTGCCTAGAGCCAGTGCCGTGTTAACCTGACCTCACTACCCGCTGCGGCTGCAGGCGCAGTGACCCTCTCCTGCTCGCGATAGAGGCGGGAGACGCTGAGGCCCTGAGAGGACTGCTCAGGGTGGAGAGGGACCTGGGCCGAGACCTGGAACCGAACCTAGGCAGCAAGGACCAGGGGCCAGAGAAGGCCTCAGGCTGGATGAGTCTTCACGTGGCGTCGTGGCGAGGGGAGACTCAATGCCTACGACTGCTCCTCAAAGGTAACGGAACAGAAAACAAAAAAAAATTGTCGGCTCGTACCTCTTTTTCCACTGCGCAACCGAGCCACGCTGCAGCTATGCCGAGCCAGGCCGGTGCGGCTCAAGACGCGCCGGGTTGATTTTTCCATTGCAGAAGCTGAACCGTGCCGCTGCCATTGCGCGCGATGAACGAGTCGCGTCACGGTGACCTCGCGCCCCCTGGCCCTGATCTGGCCCCGAGCCAGATTAATATATTTTGCGAGGCCAGTAAAGTAAATCACGGTTTGGTGTACGATCAGCATTGAAAGGAGCCAGCAGGGAAAAAAAACGCTCCTATTGTTGGCTCGGGTCAGGGTGCGCTCGTGTTAATGGGGTATCACTGATTCCGTAAACACAAGTCAACATGAACAACAATAGTGATGACCTTGGTCCTGGAAACACTCACGAAGTCTCAAGGCTCTTATTTGACCGGTCCTGCTATGTTGGGATGTTTTTTTTTTTATTTTCATTCACGAGTGATGCGTGCGTGTGTGCGGGAGGAAGCATATACGAGGGGGGGGGGGTGGTAAAGCACTCAAAATATCCGCACAGATGGATTTAAGGAAATGGATCAATTAGCTCAGCTCGTGTGCAGGTGTGCTGGGTGGATCAGTATGACATCGCAGCATTGGACTGACCAGGGCTGCCACTGCTGATAATTATAATGATAATAATGAAAGATGCGCAAATTCTAACACACGTTTTGCGTCAATTATGAAAAATTCCATGAGCCAGAGAAGTCCACGCGGCGGGGAGTGAGGAAGCCGCTGTTGTGGGCTCCCATGATCGGTTCTCCCAGCCTTGCGTTGTCCTGTGACGTCCCCAACTGCATGCTGAACACACTCTAAACTAAACTTTTCTTTTTATTTACCAGCTAAGGCCCACTGAGCTATATAGTTGTTGTTTTATCATAATAGACCTGGCCACAAAATTATAGCTCAAGCAAGTGTATATATCATCACTTGGGCATTTATAGCAACCAAAATATACTCTAAATGTGGAGGGAAAAAATGGAGGATCGCACTCAGCCCCCCTATCTATGGGACCTTTTTTTCCACTGTCAAAATAATTATAGAAAAAAACATAAGAATATGCTGTACCCTCTCTTACAATAAGACGGGTATTCACAAGTCAGAATTAATACAAATTGTAATGATGCATATATAATATTATACGCATCATTTCATATCATGTATGATGCAGTACCAGGTTCAGATTGCATCATTCATTGTTTTGCTCAAAAATAAGCAAGCACTCATAGATTTATTCATAGATCCAGTCAAAGATGTATTTCAGTAATTTCTGGTTTAAATTGAGATCCCTTCCCTTTATAACTCACTTATCCTCCGCCATTCCCAAGTCAAGGGTCGTACATACTGACCCAGTGGCATATCTTGAAAACTAGAGGCAATCAGAATTAGTCAAGACGAACTACGTTTATTTCGGAAGCATTTTGGCTATAGGCCAGTGTTATCAGAGCATGTTTGTTTGCATGTTTTGCCACGAGTACGTGTGGTCAATGCAGACTTGGCGCCCTGCAGTAGTTATCTATTTGGTGTTTGAACATCTTAACAGCTTCTGCTTGATTGTTAGCAAGGGTGAAACCAATTATTATTATTTTTTGCACTCGGCCCTGCTTTAATTATCATTCTTAAATATGTCCGTGCCAATTTGAATGTTGGTCACGAACACCTTGTTCTGTGCATTCTCCAGTCGCCTGGGTGAACAGTGAGCTCGGGTTTGGCACAATCCTGGCCAGATGGCTCAACAAACTTCATCAACTAACTAGGGCTCACGCTTGCCTAGAAGAGGGTGGTGCGACTCGCGTATCACTCCGCACATTAATTTCGCTGCAATCAAAACACCACCAATGCCCCCCCCCCGTGCAACTCGCCCGTTCCCCTCCTCTGCACCTCCCCCTTCCCACTCCCCTTTCCCAGAGTTCCCAGGCTGGGTGGATCGCCGCACCCTGAACGAGGAGACGGGACTCTTGCTCGCCACTCGCCGAGGTCACGTGGCCTGCATGCGCCTGCTGCTGGAGGAGGGGGGCGCGAACCCAGACATCTGCGCTAACAACCGGGAGACTCCGCTCTACTCGGGTGTGTAGGGGAGGGTGGGGGTGCGAAGAGGGGGTGGGGTAAGCGAGGGCAGGGTGAGGAGGCGGGGGGGGGGGTAAGGTTTGACTGCCATGCAACGAACATTACTCCCTGTGTGGCAGAGTGGCTGGGGAAGTGCTGCCCTCTACGGCGTGGATTCAGACGTCGCTTACAAAGGGATCTCGGAAGCAGTTCTGGGATGCCCGCTTCTGCGCGCGCCGTTCTCTCACGCGGGAAGGTGGTTGGAGCTGCTCTCTCAAAGTTTCTTAATGGATTTATCACCTCGTCCCATGACAACGATAGATGTGCAATCCAGGGTAACATTGAGGGTGGGGACATCACACAATGGCTGGGTTGCCGAATCAATGTCTGAGCCTCATTAGGTCAGACTAAGGTGCCGCTAGGATGAAAGGACTCCGCCTGGTTATTGCTAAAGGGTCTACAGTTATATATTTCGTTATTAACCAGGTGATAACCGAATGAAACTGGACGTCTGTCCAAAGTGGTGTCCGTAAGGTAGGTGTCTCACGTTGCGTGTGCTGCGTTTTGTTGCCGCAAAGCACCGCTGATGTCCCAAGTTTGTCCTGCACGGTATCCACGCCCCAACCTGCACCCCCCCCCCGCCACCCCCCCCCCCGCCACCCCCCTCCGCTTCCTCCACCGCACCGAACGAGCTAAACCAGACATGGGCAAAGTACGGCCCCCGGGCCGTATACGGCCCGGGGGCCGTATACGGCCCCGGGCCGTATACGGCCCGTTGGGCTTTTTAATCCGGCCCACCGAACTTGTCCAAATATTATTATTATTAAATTAAATGTTTACCTTTCTCCTGTAATGCCCCCATTTCCCCATTAGATGGCGCACTTTGACCGGCAGTTACGACATGTTTTTGTATTGTTCATGTTCGTGCAATTGGTTAAATTGCCTTGCAAATAAATGCTTTGCTACCTGTTAAAGGCCAAATCCTTTCATGTAATGATTTTTAACACGTCATTTATATTAAGTTCACACAAACACTCCATCCATCTGTTCCTGGCCCGGCCCCTCTGTCACATTTTAGAACCCACTGTGGCCCGCGAGTCCAAAAAATGTGCCCACCCCTGAGCTAAACCGCGGCGCACACACGCGCGCGTGTCGTGTGCCCGCGCGAGCACAGCGTGCGAGCGCGGGGACCTCGCCGCCGCGTCGCTGCTCCTCCAGTTTGGCGCCGACCCGGCCCAGCGCTGCGCGCGCGGCTCCACCGCGCTCCACGCCGCGTCGGCACGCGGCTCCGTGGAGCTCCTCGCCCTCCTCCTTCAGCTCCAGCCCCAGCCAAGGCCGGGTCCCGGGTCCCGCGCGCCGCTGCTGGCCTCCGGCTGCTGCCGCGGCCTCACCGCGCTGCACTACGCCGCGCAGCGCGGCCACGCGGACGCGGTGCGGTGTCTCATCGACGCCGGTGGGTTGGACCTGACGAAGTTGAGTCCGTGAGCCTGGCGGCCAGATTGCAAAGCACTACGTCGGTGGCCACCAGGAGGCGACGGAACGACAGCGGATCCGTTGTCTTTTTCATTTCACGCGACAAATAGCGGTGGCGTTTGTGATCAATCACACGTTTTTAATATTCGAATTATTTTTTCAATCGCGGATTTAAACTAAGCTATGTTGTTTTACGAGGTAAGGCCCGTTTCGCTTCATAGCTCTTTTCAGAAGCGACCCGGCCACAAATGATAGCTCAACGAAGTGGCTTCTAACGTGAAAATGTACAGCAGGCAAAATTTCGAAACGAATGTATCTGAATGTGGAGGTAACATCCGGAGAAAATTCCACACGACCACGGGGAGAACATGCAAAATACAAATATACAGGCGTCAGGGTCGGGATCGAAACCACGACCATCCTGTAAATCAGGCGAGGTAGTTAACATCTCGCCACTTTGCCATCAGCCTTAACGCCTGCTGATGTTCGAGGCGTTAGGTCTGGTCTGTCCTGCGCGATCCCACTCTCCCACACGCAACTGGAAAACCGACTCGGCCGAAACGAAATCGGTAGCCGACTCAATCCGGAGTCACGAGGAGTGGCTCGCCACTGAGAGTTGACAGGAGCTGGATCCTTGTTCCCCCAGAACGTCGCCTCCCCCTCACCTCCTCTTCAGCCTCAAGACTAACTGCCGTCTCTCCCCTTCTGTTTCCTGCAAATAAATATGCCCGCTGTTTCTGTAGAGTGTCTACAGATGCGCTCGCGTGGAGACGCTATGTAGATGCCCATGTTGTATTTCGAACTAGAGGCCATGCAGAGTTTATGCAGGAACGTTTGCGAACCTGAGTTTTGAGTTCCATTCTCGGTCACCGCCAATATCACCATTGAAGATGTCTCTGCCGCTGCTGCTACTGACGGTGTTTCTGCTGCTGATGATGATAATACTGGTAGAAACCTCTGGTTACCCCAGCCCACAGGGGATTATTGTGTCCGTCCGTCGTGCACCCAAAAATGGGAGGGGTGCGGCTGGGTGGAGAGGGGAGGGTGGGGAGGGGCTGGGTGGGGAGGGAGGGGCTGGGTGGGGAGGGTGGAGAGGGGCTGGGTAGGGAGGGTGGGGAGGGGCTGGGTGGGGAGGGTGGGGCTGGGTGGGGGGTTGGAGGGGTGGGGCTGGGTGGGGAGGGGCTGGTCACCCCGTGGTGCCCTTATAAAACTCAACGTTTAACCTACTCACGCCGGGTTGTGCTCGTCCTCACAGTCGGGGATATTTGCGGAATACACCACGTGGTGGCGCCGTTGACCCTGGCCATTGACCGAGCAACCCAACGTCCCTACCAGCTCCCTCCGCAGGAATGTGTTATTTCCACCACTGCCCCTCCCACTGCTCTTGCTTCTCCTGATAATGACTAATGATGACATTTCATGACGTTGTTTCCTCTGCTGCCACTGATACTGCTTTGACTGACGACAATGATGCTTGATTGATGATGATGATGACGATGTTTCTGATACTGCCTTGTGCTGCTGCTCCTACTTCTTCCACTGCCACTGGCGACACCAAAGACAACGATCCCCCTTATAGCCTTAACAGACTGTTGGGGCAAGTGCTGTTAGCGAGCACCTATGAAGGCCAACACGGCACACGAGGGGGTGGGTGGCCAGCACCACGCCGGCCGCCTTTGTCTCCCCAGTGGCGATATTTACACACCGCACCGGGTACTCATTTGAGGCTGAGTCAACCTAGGGGAGGCCCACGACCGGTTCAAATATTCGTCCCCGGTGTTGGCCATGAGCGGGAATTCAACTCGGGTGGCTGTAATAGTAGCGCCGCGAGCTAACCGCTGCGCCACCACCACCGCCCTCCTCCTCTGCGTGGTGGTCACAGGCTCTGCCGTGAACGCGCAGGCCAGCGACGGGGGCACCCCGCTGCTCGAGGCCGTTCGCGGAGGCCACGTGGCTGCTGCCCGGATGCTGCTGATCCGCGGAGAGGCCGACGCTAACATCCCCGCGGAAGTCCGGGCCCCGGCACGGGAACGTGGAGTGGGCGCAGCCGGCAAAGACGCCCCGCAGCGCGTCTTGCCCCTGCACGAAGCGGCCGGGCAGGGCTGCGTCGAGTGAGTGGAGATTGAAACGTGGCGCTGTTACGATCATACTTCACGATGCCGGAGAGTGCCGGCAGTGCGTCGGAATCACAACCGGGCTGCCGCGGTTGCCCATCGCTCCACCTCTGCCGAGGTTGATGAAAACGACGCAATGCTCGTGTGCCGACATCATGGACGGATCGTTAAAGCGCAAGGCCGTGGTGAGAGATGGCAACTTTCTGGGCAGGTCTTCATCCAGCAGTGGATATCTCATGGCCGATAATAATGACGATGATAAACTCAAATGTTGGGAGTATTGAGCCTGACTGATAATGCCCTGGGTGTTGCAACTGCTGCTGATGGTGATTGTGACGATTCTGCTGCTAAGAATGATGCTGCTGCTGCCTGATTATTCTTCTTCAGCTGCTGCTGCTAATGATGGCGATGAATGTCCTCCATGTCCGCCCAGGCTGCTGGACCTGCTGCTGCCCGCCACGTCGCGAGCGTGCGTGCGCCGGACCCCCTCGAGCCCCCTGCTCCCCGCGGCCCTGGGGGGGCACGCGGGGGCCCTGCGCCGGCTCCTCTCCGCCGGCTACTGCCCCAACGGCAACGGCCAGGCCGGGGGGCCAGGGAACGGGGCCGGCGGAAACGGTGGGGGGGCGACGGCTCGGAGCCCCCTGCACGCCGCCGTCTCCGCCCGGCGCGAGGACTGCGTCCGGCTGCTGCTGGCCGGCGGGGCGGACCCCGACGGAGACCCCCGCGGAGACCCCGAGCCGCCCGTCGTGACGGCCGCGCGTCTCGGCGACGCCGGTGCCGTGCGGCTGCTGTTGGATGGCGGCGCGGACTGGGGGGCCGGGGCTCGAGCGGGGGGTTGCGGGCGTGGAGGAGGTGGAGGTTCCTGCGCCTTCCCGGCGGTGGTGGCGCTGGCGAGAGGCCACCCGGCCATGCTCAAGGTACGTGCGGTGAGAAGGTCCCGCTGGAAGTGAAGGTGGAGAGGCTCAGCTGATCCGAGCCTCCCCCCCCCCCCCCCCCGCGTTCACTAAAACAGCGGCTCGGCGTGGCTGGCACGGGCCCTGGTGCTAGGTATTCAGTCCTCCCCCCAAAAAAAATCCATCCCCCTACCCCACCTTTCTCCGTCCGCCTTGTCCAGTTTCAGCCCTCTTCATAGCCAGTCCAGTCAGGCGCCCCCCCCCCCCCCCCCAGTATTTGTGCAATTGCACACTCAATAGCGACGCCACTGCACTGACTCATTCCGACCACCCTCTCGCATTTGTCATCCGGTCGCCTCCGAGTGGCTCATGAATCGCTACTTCCCCTGCCTGCTATTGGCGCTCGCGAACTTCACGTCGTGTTTGCCTCTGCCCATGTCAAGGACGGATTCCACCGCTGCGTTCCGTCTCGAACACCGCGGAACGCAACGGCGCTCTCCCTCTCCTGCTGCTCCTGCCCCACCGTCGTCTCTTGCTCTAAAGTTCCCCAGCTGTCATCAGCGGTTCTCCGTTGCTGGCTTTCGAACTCCTCAATCCCCCCATCTCTACCCCATGTGTCTACAGTGACGTTTAATTCAAGACACACGTGGTTGGATCTTCTCTGCTGTCGCCGTGAGTGAATACCCATGGGCTTAATAACTCATGGAATATTGTAACAGACTCTCCCCCACAAAACCCCTAACTCCCCCTCCCCTCCACTCTCTACTTATTTTAGAAATTAGCAGTGGAGAGGGTGGGCTTGGTAAGGGCATATGTTCTTGAGCTCCGGTTGAAAATCCATCCTGAGAATGATCGAACGTGGATCGTCGTGTGCCGCGCAGATGTTCCTGGATGCCGGATGCGACGCCGCCGCTTGCTTCAGGTGCCGCCTGGAGCCGGGCGCGAACCCCCGCAGTGGAGAGGCGCGACCCCTGCAGGTGACCCCAGTGGACGCGCTGGGGCCTCCCACCCCTTCTTCACCCCCGCCCCCCACCCCCGAACCGTCTCAGTAATTGAATCCACATTTTATATTTTAGCAACAGACTTAGTGGTCGACAACCCGTGGAGTTTCCGTCGAGTCCCAGCCTTTGGATGTCATTGATTCCCTCTCGCAGTCAGTTTAGTCGGCCTGATATTAAAGTACAGGCAGTCCCCGCTTTTACGACGTTACAATGAGTTATTGGACACCGCGTCGTAGTAAAATGTGTCCTCGTCGTTTGTTCCTTTTATCGGCCGCATTGAACAGGGTTTCATCGGTGAACATCCACAAAAAATACTCGAGAATAATCAAAAGATCCACGCCAAAGTCACGTCGTGAACCAGACCGACCCCATTGGAATTGCGTTCAGAGTCGTGACGGAACACGCATCGTAAATGGAGTCTCTGCGTCGTGAGTTGATGACGCTGTCGATAGAATTTCCATCGCTAATTTCGTTCACAAAATCCATACTGTGGCGTTGTCCACGTGAATGCTAAATTGTCGTCGTCACCGTCACTGTCGGTGTCTCCGCCGCCGCCGCCGACGACGCTGTCGCTGCCCCCAGTTCTGCGAGCTGTTCTCTGGCGGGGGCGAGGGAGCGAGTGAGGGGGCCTCGGTCGTGGCCGCCCTGCTCGACTACGTGGGCAGCGTCCGCCTCTGCCACCACCTCCGCAAGTCTCTGAGCGATAGGGCCGAGTGGGCGAGCATCGGCCAGGCTACGGGTGAGGTCCCCTGCCCGCGGTGCGGCTCCACTCGCTGCCCCTCCCAAGCCGTCGCCGGCAGTACACTTTCGGTGCCGTGGCATCCATCCAGCACAGAAATGTGGTTTTCGTCATTCGTCATCACCACCACCATCATAATCGTCAACCGTGATCTACAGCTGAATGAAGGCCTCCCCAAGCCTTATTGGTTGTTTGACACCGGTGATATGCTTCTGCTGATAATGATAATTATGATACGAGTGGTTGGTAATATTGATAGTACTGCTGCTGCTTCTGTTGTTGAAAATTACGCGTCTACTTCCGCTAATTTCTCGATTAGCACGGTTGGCTACGTACAGTGCGAAATAAGTTCGACATACATACATACATGGTGATACAGTGCTCGTGATTGGTAGTGCCGACGGCTTCAGCTCTTGGCAATGATTACGATGACGCTTCTACTCATGGCAATTCTGCTGATGGCAATTCTTCTGCTGCCAATGATGATGCTGATGCTGCTGCTGATGACGACAATGATCACAGTCTCGCTGAACTTCCTCTCGTTTCAGACAACCCGCGCACCCTCGCTCACCTGTGCCGTGTGAGCGTGCGAGCCTCCGTCGGCTCTCCCCGTCTGCGCCAGCTGCGCACGCTACCCCTGCCGCGGAGGCTGCTCGACTACATCCTCCACGCTCACCCCTAATTCGTCGAAAGCGCGAGTTCCACTCCGGGCCCAGGGCTTAATTTCAGCCGGTGCGTGGCCTGTATATCTCCCCACTGTGGCTGTGGTGATACGTCCCCTACCAGTCCCATGACTACTTCGTTCTACCAGGAAAACTGGAAATTATTTATTGAAGAAACTGAGTTTCTGATGTGGTCCGTGTCTCTTCATCAGCCATGGTCATCTTGGCGAGGTGTCCCTCGTAGGGCCTGACCCATTTTTCCACCGCAGCATTGTCCTCTCTTATTCTTGGTTCTTCCGGTAAAGTCACGTTGAAGGGAAACAATAAAATAATAAAATATATATAAAACAATAAAATTCTCTCGACTGTAACACAAACAGTCATCATCAGGTGTCCTCTCACTCAAGCTGGCCTTGATTGCTTAAGATCGGCGACGGTTCAATTTGGCGCGATATTTAATCAGTGGGCATGCGACGGCGCCTTTACCAACGGGAAGTGACCGGCGTGGAGAAGTATGGCCGAAAAACTCATTTGCCCGACACGGCACAGGGGGGGGAGGGAGGAGCCTTCTTCATCCAGCAGTGGATTAACACATTTGCTGTAAACACAGGGTGCTTAAAAAAATTGTTAACACTTCCGAGAATTTGCAACAATGCAAGAAATGTGCCTCCGGGCTCTGGGAAACCACCTGGAGAAGATCCCAGGCACGTCTTGACAATGATGGCGAACAAGTGGAGACACTTTGACTTCTTGAAGCTATTAACATTACATTTTTTAAAATCATGTTACAGTGTATTATTATCCTTTCTTGTGCCATTAAAAACGATCGCCCCATGTTAAGTGTTAACATATTTTTGAAGCACCCTGCATATTGTTACTACAACGATGCATCTGTGGGAAGGTCATGATCGATCGATAATTATCAAGCTCGTGATACGTGCGCGCATCGAGCTGTGCTCTGCAAGGATCGACCACGTGCGGTTTATGCAAATGAGATGCAACTGACAAATGGCGTGAAATGTTAACGCGGAGGATGGCGGAGCGAACGGAATTCTTCATGCGACGCCTGCAGCCAATGGGAAACAATGCAAACGGGGAGGTTAAAACGACACGAAAAATGTTCGGTTATTTTACTCACGCGCCATTCCGAATCTAAAGGTATAATTTCCCATAGCTCTGATTAGCACAGTTGTTGCAAAAGGCGTTCAGCATACATACATACATTGATAAACGGAAAGTCCATAAGCCGCATATGTATTTCTCTTTGAAAGATTTTCCACGCGAGCTTAATTGGAACACTTTACAATCAACTTTTTACCGCATACATATAAAGTTTTTATTCGGGGATCTCTCCACATATCACGGCACAATGAACTTAACAATTCTCTCGCATCACCCCTTCATCCGACTGCCACTCATCAAAAGCCGACTGCGTTCTGGGCGGTGGCGGTGGCTATGCTGCTGCTGCTGCTGCACGCGACTGCTGCCTGCGAACCACCGTTGTGGAGGCAGCAGTGAGGGGTTGGTGGATCACCGCACACAGACGCTGTGGTGGGGTGGAGGTGTGAATCATCACACATGCCCAATGTATAATAGTGCCACGTTTCTGTTGAACAGACCTGGTGTTGGGAGTTGCAGTGACGCATTACACCGCACGCGCACGCTTAAAATAAAAACATACGAGGTTTTCAGAATTAGAATCTTTATTTATACTGGATGAATTCGATGAGCTATAAAGCTCTTTTTCAGAGATGTCCAGTTGGGGTGGGACGGAAAGTCACAAGAGCAAACAGTACAAAAACACGATAGTGCAGTGCATCGAAAAACAAAAAACGAAACAATTTTTTTATTTTTACCAGGCAAACCCCACCGAGCGATTAGCTTGATTCTCATAAGTGACGTGGTCACAAATGATAGCTCAACGAAGTGGCTCATCACGTGGAAATTTATAGCAGCCAAACAGAGGTCAAGCTTCCATCAGACGCAATTATAATGACACAATTAACTTCAAATCGCTACGTAATTCCGTGCCGTAAACCCCCTATTCAGTAATAAATGGGTCGTTTATTCACCACGTGATAACTTTATTAATTGGCTGTGTCAGATGGAGGAGGGTTTACGACGCAACATTTTACATACGCGGCGAACTGACCCAAAAAACAATTATGAATCGTAACAGCGATTGTGAAATCCGCACACGCGACGTGCACTGTGGAGTGTTCCTGTGGTTCAGGTTGTGCGAGCCTCCTCCACCGTGGAGCCGCAGATGCGACTCTGCGGGAAGAGACAGCGAGCGGTGAATTAAACGTATAAAATATACTTTCAGAGGTGCGCACGATCTCTCAGCGAGAAAACAGTGCGAATAGGACCGCAGTAGAATATTGATCGGAGACTACCCGATGTCAGCGCCACGTCGCATTTACTTAAGTTAATGCCACCGCTTGTCGTCTCTTCCAATGGAGCGGCGCTTTTTGCGGCCGTCTGGAACGCTTTTCATTCCGATTGTAGGAAGCCACTGGAGCTATGCACTTTTAAATCATCTAGATGGAAACCTCATTTCTTTAGAACTGTGTTTTGTGTGTGTTTACTTTGTTATCTTTCCGCCGCACCTCCGATTAGCACGGTTGGCTACGTACGGTATTAAAAGAAGTTCAATGTACATCCATACGTACATCTCTTGCTCCACAGTGGAGGAAGGACGGTCACTAAACCTGACACGGTGAACGCGCCACCTTACAGCTTGCGCCCGAATAGCTTGACCGGCATTACGCACGCGTCCAATGGCTCGAGCCCGGTGAAGTCCTTTAACGTGATGTTTCGTGTTGTCACAGTGGGAGAGATTCCCCTGTAAACTATTTGTTTTTATTTAACCAGGTGAGGCCACACTGAGCTATATAGCTCTTTTTCAGAAGCGACCGCAAATGATAGCTCAATGAAGCGGCTTATCGCTTGGTAGTTTATAGCGGCCAAATACTCCAAACTCGCGCTGATTCTAAAGGTGGAGGGGGAAACCGAAGGACCCGGAGAAAAATCCAAGAGGTCACGGGGAGAACATTCAATAACTCCCAATTTACAACAGGCCTCAGGGTTGGGATGGAACCCACGACCTCCTGTATACCAGGCGAGGCAGTGAACATCTCCTCGCCACCGTGACACCACCTTGATGCCGGTGTCTCGAGATGGAGACGCGTAACCACGTGAACCCGAATCGCACTTCGCCCGGTGCCCGCTTCGTTTGGTGTGAAGGATTAACGTTATACGCTTTAATTAATGTTTTATCACTGTTAATTGAAGGAGTATTTTTTTTTACATTACCATTTGCCCGTACTGGGCATCACACAGTCATGTAATTACTCTCCGCACAGTCTGTGTACGTACAATCAGATATATATCTCGACAGATGTGTACGTACAATCAGATATATATCTCTCTCGACAGATGTGTACGTACAATCAGATATATCTCTCTCTCGACAGTCTCTGTACGTACAATCAGATATATATCTCGACAGTCTCTGTACGTACAATCAGATATATCTCTGTCGCGACAGTATTGCTCTGTTGGAATGTGCTTATTTACGAAGGAGTATTTTGTTTTTACCATTAAATTAAACACGCATTTGTGCACACGAATAAGAAAGGGACGTGTTTTAATTGTCATTTCGTTATTTGTATTATTTACTGCTCTCCTTGTTAGCCCAGGAGAGCCTGACCGAGTCTCAATTCTTTTTCAGGAGGGTCCCGCCCAGTTTCACAGTAGGTGGCGATGTTGCAACGTCTGATCCCAATTCAGTCATTTGCAGGGAACCATTCAGCATCGAGATGTTTTTTTATGGCCAATAACGAGCTGCACTCTGTTTTTTGTTATTTTTCGCTACATTATTTAATAACATCGTCGTCTTAAAATTATACACTGCATTTGACGTTTCGGGTAATGGTCCTACATCACACATCTGGCCGGGCGGTGTTGGCTAAGCACGTGGCCTGTTATCCGGCTCAGTGATGGGAACGAAGGTTGATGGATCGCTCACACAGATGTTGTGAAACTCCCTTCGCGTGGGAATAGTGTGTTGCCCCCTCGCATGCGTAGGTTTCCTCCAGGCGCTCCGGATCCCTTCCACATGTAGAAACGCGAATTGGCTGAAAACATCTTAATATATGGAGAACTTCAGAGCTATTTCTGGCGCCAGCTCAGCGGCTGGAAGCCTTCTAACTCGGTCTGTGGTTCCTCAGCGATTGTGAGGTGCAATTTGCATGAACGACTCAAGGCTATATATATAATTATTATTATTTGTATATATAAGATGCGGCAACAGGCCATTGTGGAACCCCCCCCCCCCCCCCTGTGGATTACAAAACTTTCCACATATTTTCACCCACTCATCAACTGCAAAGGCTACAACGACAGGGCGGGCGGGTAGAGCTGTGGCAGCAACTCAACCGCCGCGCTGCACCCTTCACTTGAGCCACCGCGCCACCCAGATGTCGCGCAGCTCGCGGTGCCACGCGTCTTGGGACGCCTCCTGGTGGTCGGCCAAGAGGTGCAGGAAGTGGTCCCGGAAGGTGGCCCAGTCGCCCAGCGCCTCCATCCCCAGCGCCCTCCTGACCTCCTCCTCCGTGCCGTGCAGCAGAGCGCGGCCGCTCACGCCGTGCTCCACTGCGCGGCTCTGGTAGCCGGCCAGCCGCTCCGAGCTCAGCTCCAGCGCCCCCATCTGCGGGCGGGGGACGATGTTGCCCGATTACGGTCGGAATGTGCAAATATTCACCCCCCCTTCGAGGGTATTGCAGAATCAACGCGTGACAACCGTTTACGTGTTACACAAACAGACAACCTACGTGTTAAACAAAAAAATATTATTTCTCTGTCTCATTAACACGGCTGCAACGCTCAAATCAGATAGCCTGGGAGACGTTAGCCGGGCTTGGTGGATATTCTGGCGCGTGGTTGCCTGTGGTCCGATGTTGTGCGAACAGCAGCAAGGGTTGCTGGATCACCGGACAGATGTTGCAAAACTCCTTTCCCGTGGGCGTCGAGGAGGTGCCGTACCCTGGCTCGCCAGGAGAAGGCGGTGAAGTGCACTAATGTTTCCCCTTTTGTACGGGGATAGAGCGTTGCACCCTCGCTCGCGTGGGTTTTCTCCGGGTGCTCCGGTTTCCTCCCACTTGTATAAACACGCATTAATTAGCTGAATACATTTTAAAATAAAATAAACCCAATGCAGGAACCTCCTGAAAAAAGAGTAATTCGTCTCAGTGTGGTTCTCCTAGATAGCTAAGGGGCCGTCCATAAATGACGTCACGCGATTTTGGACAATTTTTGACCCCCCACCCCACCCCATCGTCACACGGCGTCACAAAAAGTCAGACCCCCCCCCTCAAATATGACGTCACAAAGCTCTGCCCCCCCCCCCCAAAAAAAAGACATGCTTCAAATCGCTTTAAACTATTGTCATTGCAGTGCGTATTTAATGTGGCGCTGCACTCTGATGTTGTAGGAGATAACATTTATCAAAAAAGTATATTTAATTAAGTAGAACGTGTTGTCTATATTTATTTAAAGTTGCGCATTTTGATGTGACATCACATTTCTCAAACCCCCCCCCCCCCCTCGTCACACATCGTCACAAATGTCTGACCCCCACCCCTAGGTGCGTGACGTCATTTATGGACCAAGAATATAAGATAAAAGGTGTTCATTTGTTTTGGTCGTGTCTTACAGTAGCTGTTGTCAACTTGTCACACTATTGTAACCACAGCTTGGGTCAGACCGTTTCTACGGGCACCCCAATCGGGTCGAACTGATGAGGCTGCCGCAAGTATCCAGGCGGAGCCCACCTACCAATTACAGACCAACTTACTTCCCAATGGTCATGCTGCTATAAATGTCCACATGATAAGCCACTTCGTGGAGCGATCAATTGTAGCCAGGTCGCTTCTGAAGACAAAGATAAAAGCTCAGTGGGCTTTAGCTCGTGAGATAAACTAAAATAGTTTAGTTTTATTTGTATATATATATCAAGTTATTTGTTTATCATCGCTATACTGTGCACGCCTGTCGTGTTTTTCGTATAGTTCGTTGTTGTAACGTCCTGACCCCGTGCCGCCTTCTGGACATCTTTGTAAAAAAAAAAGCTCTACAGCTCATCGGATTCCTCCAGTATAAATAAATAATCCGATTCCGATCAGAGACACCGCACTGACGGCGGAGGGCCCTTTCAGCTGTGCCGACTCACCTCCTTGCACACGCCCTCGGGGCTCATGCTGTAGATCCGCGTGAATTCGGAGACCAGTCGTCCCATCTGCCTGGACTCTGCTCCCTTCGTATTACGGTGCATTTTGATGCTGTAATTCCCACGCAGCAGCTCCATCTTCCGTTGCAGCGATCTGTCCAGATTGATGGTGCAGATGTTCAGACTTCGAAAATCGCCCACGGTGAAGCGATAATCCTTGGACAGGAATTTCTCAAACTGATCGGGGTCACCGTCCATCTTCAGGAGATGCTCCATCTGGCTCAGGAGGTCGCACATCTCGTGCAGAGAGTCCTCAAAGATGTCCCAAAGAGGGGTCGCATCTGTGATTCTGCATGGACTTTGCGGCGTCTCTCCATCTGAAGATTGCGCCTTCTTGACGATTCCCTGCTCATCAATGTCCTGCCTGTCCTCTTTATCGTCCAGACATTGTATTAGCCAGCTGAACCTCCCAGGCCACTGGGTGGACAGCACAGTCCAAGCCGCCAGCTTCTCAGGAGTTATGTTTGTTCCGATGGTGACCTGGTTGGCCAAGAGTAGGTTAATAAACACGGGAACCGTGTTTATGATCCGGCGCATTGTGAAAACGTTCTCGTCCACGTAATTGCAAAGGTTACCAGTCGGCGCGCGGAGGGCACTGTGCGCCTCTTCAATGGTCTCTTTAGTCTGGCTCCGGAACTGCGTGAATGTGCTGCCCATGGCGCTGCCGACCTTTCTGAGAGGTGCCAACTCTTCCATCTTGATTGTCACATCCGTCTCGTCGTCGACGCAAACGACCTTCTCCGGGCCCCTCATCATCACGCTCGCGCTGGTGCTCTTTATCAAGTGGTCCAGGAGCTTTGACTTCATCCCCTTATTGATTGACGGCATGCTGAATGGCAGATCCACGAAGCGGTTCAGCAGCTCGTAGCCGTTGGAGTCCTTGGCGCCGCCCTTGGTACGAATTTGCTCCACGGATTCCACGACGACGCTCGGGTCCACGGAGAGGATGGAGATGAAGCGAGCCTCCTTGTCGGACAGGAGGATGCTCATGGCCTCCAGCACTTCGACGATCTTCTCTGGATCGCAGCGGTCCAGGTCTTGCACATTCAGCACCACGCGGATCTTGCTGCGTTCGAACACCTCCATGAAGCGAAGAAAATTGGTGATGATGTTGACTTCCTGTTTCACGTTGTTCATGAAGCCGAGCTCGGCACTGAAATCCTTCTTGTCCATGAGCCTCTCCACCTGATCTTTCTGCGTCCAGAACAGGTTGCGCACTACCATCATGAAGCTCTTGAGGAAGAACAACGTGGAGATGCCCAGCATGCTTCCTGCTATGCCCTCGATGGCCGACACCAAGTCACCCCCGTAGTGGCTGGGAAACCCAATGCCCACGATGACGACGATGAACGCCACGAGCATCATTACAAAGACGATAGTGATCGCCCACAGAGGGAGGCACAGGAACATTTTGGGATTCCAATCTTTGTCCTTATCGTCCAATCGCGGCACCGTCTTCCTGCCGAGAGCGCGGTAGATGCTCGTGGGCAGCGGGCGAAATTGGCTTCGCACCTGCTCGCACAGGGCCGTCACCAGACCGGCCCACAGCCGGTTGCTCCCCGCGAACTCCCAGGCGTTGAAGGAGACGAAGATGAAGCGGACGTTGAGCTGTTCCCGCTGGCGCTGACTCACGACGGGAATGAAGAACAGCAGGCGGAAGACGAGGGCGAGGAGGCCGCACGGCCCGTTCGCGGAGCGCGGCTGCGTCTGTGTGCGCCTGAATTCCTTTTCCGCGATCCGCTGAGAGCCCTTTATCAAGCAGTCTGAGCGACAGTAATGAAGAGGGTTCAATCATTGTTGTTGTTGTTGTTATTTACGAGGCATAGGCAGTGCTCCTGATAACGTTTTAGGTCTTTTGAGTAATTTACACTCCCATTTTCGATGCAATGCGCATAAAGTTTACTTTCAGGGTGTATAATGAAACAAAACCCTTGAAGCCAGGAATAGTCTCGATATGAGTAAACATATAACTTATGGGGTATCGATCAACCAGAAGCTTAGTTTTCTTTTTTACCGCGAAGTTACTCTGAACCATTCAACAACAAAAAGTTGATCATAATAATAATAGGGTTTTACCCTATTTTTTGGCAACCAAACTGAAACCTTTTTTTACAAGGATTCATGTCTGCATTAACCACAATACTTGCAGTCAAAATGCAAACAAAAAACACACTCTGATAATATATGCATTGTCCTATAATAATATAGTAACCCTATTATTATATTTTGGTACTGGCAAAGGAGGTCCAATGATGTAGATGCTTACCCCGAGCCCTCATTACTTTGATAGTGCATTGTCTGTGAGCTGAACGCCTTTTTGCGTCATGTGGTCAAGCACCAATTGAGGCCAGGCTCTAAAGAAAGCTGTCTCTGGTGTGGACCAATCAGTTTCAAGGACAATGCATCATATACTATCACAGTATGTTTTCTGTTTGCATTTTGACTGCAAGTATTGTGGTTAATGCAGACATGAATCCCTGTAAAAAAAAAAGGTGAACAAACCTTTTACGATATTTTGGCACTTGCAAAGGAGGTCCAATTAAAACAAAAACTAGGTATTATCGTGCCAAAAACAAACATCACGCACACACTTTACTCTGACGCGCCCGAGAAAATGTCTCAATGAGAATCGTTCAGAGGAGGTTACCCTTCCACGCGTCATCGTGCTATCTCGAGCCCGGGGTCAGCGTAGCTACTTTACTGGACATCTGTGAAAAAGATCTGCATAGCCCAACGGACTCCTCCGGTATAAATACAAACTGTGATTGTGTGTAAAAGAAAATGATATTTTACGCTGCGACATGCGAACGTGCACACGCCTCAATTGCACCGCGTAGGACAAAAAGCATCCAGTGCACAGCTCATCTAGAGCGTTGGTTCAAAAGAAAGCAACGTCATTATTCTGCTGTATGTATGTTGAACTTCTTTCGCACCGACTGTACATCACCATCCGTGCCAATCGGAGGTGCCGGAGGAAGGGCGACAACACATCCGTGAGTGCGATGATGGCAGCGGCAATCAGTTCAAGAGCTCGATGCCAATGTCAAGGTCTGGCAACGACGATGATCGCTTCAGGAGAGAGTTCGTGTCGTCGTTCTATTCCTCCGGTGAAGGAGCGCAGGCGACAGTGGTTGTCTCTGTAGGTCACTATACAGTGTCGTAGCTCCCCTACCGTTAACACTAAAAGCCGTGGTTCGAGATGCATGAGCAAAACTAAGCAGTGGCTTTGTCTTCAGTGTATCTCTGTGGGTCTTTGTGTATCTCTGGGTGTCTCTGGGTTTATTACACGGTCCGCAGTTTGAGTTACTATAATAATTTAATTTCATATAGCGTCATTCGTGCAATTGTATCCCAGAACGCTTACATGGCCGCAATCCCACTTACGTGGCTTGTGTCTTTAATGTTATATTGGGTGGGAGACTGTAATAGCGTTGCTGGTCACGAGGTGCAAAAATGTACCTCGTTAATGCATGTACGTTCATCTTCTTTCGCACCGTGCGTAGCCAACCCTGCCAATCATATCTGCTAATCCAGATACGGTCAGCGTCATTTACGCGAGTACAGGTGGACGCACGCCCGTCACTCGTCCATTCAAAATCATCATCATCATCGTCAACCATCGTCCACTACCATGCTCATCCACAACAGAGTTTATTTTTAAGTTAGATCGCGTAAATATATAAATATGATCTAGATTTGAAGCTTTCGTGACTGCAAGGATTCATGCTCTTTGTTTTTTTCGGTAAAATCACGTAGGTAAAAAATCAATCAAATAAAATAAATGGAATAAATTTATATTCTTGGTTCTTTCGGTAAAGTCACGTTGAAGGGAAACAATAAAATAATATATATATACAATAATATATTTTATTATTTTATTGTTTCCCTTCAACGTGACTTTATCGAAAGAACCAAGAATATGAATCACTGCAGTCACGAAAGCTTTAAATCAAGAAATAAATTTAGTTGTTTTCATTTATTTTATTGATTTTTGACCTACGTGACTTTACCGGAAAAAAAACAAACAGTATATAAATGTGTCTTTAAAACCAGCCACCACCCGACAGCCCACTGGTAATGCTTGTCGCGTAAACAGAACGTGGCCAATTCGTCACCCGTACTGCAACACCGGTGTGTTGGTGAGCCAAGCCACAACACTTACAGTCTGAGTACGACGCTCACCTTGAATTTTTTTCAGCATCTGCCCTCCGCCGCTGCCCCAGGGCGCGTACAGCCCCACGGTGATGGGAGTGGCCGCGTAGCAGAGCGCCTTGGCCAGGCACTGCGCGTACTGATTGTACTCATCCAGCTCTGCGCCGGGACGAAGGATATTGTTAGCGAGCGCCAATTGCGCGTGTCGATGAGACACAGCGCAATCACCCTCGTGAGATCGTCGCCGTCATCGTCGTCATCGTCAGCAGCATCCAGCAGCATCGGCTGCAGCATTCGGTGCGTCACCAAAGGTGGCGTCGTCTCTCTTCTCTTGTGTGTGTCTGCGTGTGAGCCATGCCCTTTCTTAAAGACGTCGGCGATCGTGTGAGCCCAATCCCCCCCCGTTCCTCTTAACTCATAAGCACAGCGTTTTGGACTCATGATGTCCCCGTAGTTGCTGTACGCCCCCCCCCCCCCACGTCACGGCTTGTGATCTGTATCGAGCTCTTTCTGGCATGTCATTAAAAACATTTTAATTAGCTCGGTCCGTGATATTTACTCAAGAACTCTGCATCGGATACTCCATCCAATTGTTAAAATTGCTCGTGGTGGAACCGAATTCGTTCTCTCCCCCGGATTCCTCATCATCAAACGTATAATCATCGTCATTCCATTCAGCATCTCTGCGTCACCATGAACCAATATCAATTTGAAAAACAGATCAGAACCAGCACCGTGGAAAGCCCACACTGATCAGTGGTGAACACTTTACAATCGTTATGGAGGTGAGTGCCAGCCCAGCATATACAGGCCCCTATTGACCTCCTGTTACCTTTACGAACTCATTCAAATATTTTACTGTCACAGGTAAATTATCAAGACGAATCTATTGCTTTACAGGGTGTTTCGAAAAAGATGGACCCGATTTAAAATCGCTATATCTCTGCAACCACAAACCGCCCATGAATGAAACTCGTACCACTTGAGAGGGCGGGGCGTAGAGAGGGCGGGGCATAGAGAGCGCGGGGCACAGAGTTTCAAATGATTACCGCTCGATGCCTCTCCCAGTGCACAAACAGCCCCTAGCCTCAGTCATTCGCAAGACAACACCGCCTCAACGTTGGATAGGTCGCAGGGGACCCCAAGATTGGCGCTACACTCTTGGCCCCCAAGATCACTCCCAGACATCACCACAGCCTGCGACTTGTTCTTGTGGTGATACGTCAAAGACCCGTGGTGTTTTTGTGCCACCGTTAGCGACTAATCTGGATGAGCTCAAAAACAGAATCACGGTAGCGGTGACTTCAGTGGAAGAAGACACTTTGAGAGGCGTTTGGGACGAATTCAACTATCGTCTCGATGTTCTCCGTACAGCAGGTGGAGGGCACATAGAGCATTTATTAAATGGTTAGTAAAACTTGATCACTCATTAAACCGTTTGTAACTTTCTGTCTAATTGTAACATGTTGCCATCGTGAAATATACTGCTTTGAAATTGGGTCAATCTTTTTAAAACACCCTGTATTTAAGGCTGTCTTGAAAACTCACATCTTTAAACTGGTCTTTACCAACAAGTTCTGGCCGTTTTCCCTACAGGTTATGTTTATTTCCTGCTCACCATACACGACTCAAAAGGATCTATGGATGAAATGCGCCTCACAAATGGTTATATTATTATTACTCTTGAAGTTTTTACTGCTAACTTGTGCAGGCCTACCGCAAAAAAAAAGTCTTCCCTGAAGGAAAACGTTGATGCTTTGGACCCGAGTGTAAATGTTACGCCGGTGCCTTCCTCTGTCAACAGACTACTACTAGCTACACGCCTTTTGGATTTGACCGGGGGATGGGGGATGACAATAACCGTGACGGCATTCTGTGTGTACACGCTGACCGGGTGCTACGTGGACATTGTCTCCTTGTGTAGCCTTCTGATCTGCCGTAACAGTGACCTTTTCTCATTTCCCGAATTGTTCATCGCGAGAATGCACACTGCTCCGTTTCATCAAACAGGTTGCTATTGTAACTGTCGGTTTTCTTGAAATATAATTGAGAAAAAAAAGTATTCGTACACACAAATGATTAGTACAGCGTATCATGCAGTGCCGGATTATCCTAGTAGCTTTCAAGCTACAGGTGAGTGCGGTGTTACAGGTGAGTGAGGTGTTACAAGTGAGTGTGGTGTTACAGGTGAGTGTAGTGTTGCAGGTGAGTGCGGTGTCCAGGCAAGTGCAGTGTCCAGGTGAGTGCGGTGTTACAGGTGAGTGTGGTGTTACAGGTGAGTGTGGTGTTACAGGTGAGTGTAGTGTTACAGGTGAATGTGGTGTTACAGGTGAGTGTAGTGTTACAGGTGAGTGCGGTGTCCAGGTGAGTGCGGTGTTACAGGTGAGTGCAGTGTTACAGGTGAGTGTAGTGTTACAGGTGAGTGCAGTGTTACAAGTGAGTGTGGTGTTACAGGTGAGTGTAGTGTTGCAGGTGAGTGCGGTGTCCAGGCAAGTGCAGTGTCCAGGTGAGTGCGGTGTTACAGGTGAGTGAGGTGTTACAGGTGAGTGTAGTGTTACAGGTGAGTGTGGTGTTACAGGTGAGTGTAGTGTTACAGGTGAGTGTAGTGTTACAGGTGAGTGCGGTGTAGTGTTACAGGTGAGTGCGGTGTCCAGGTGAGTGCGGTTTTAGAGGTGAGTGTGGTGTTACAGGTGAGTGTGGTGTTACAGGCGAGTGTGGTGTTACAGTTGAGTGTAGTGTTACAGGTGAGTGTAGTGTTACAGGTGAGTGCAGTGTTACAGGTGAGCGTGGTGTTACAGGTGAGTGCAGTGTTACAGGTGAGCGTGGTGTTACAGGTGAGTGCAGTGTTACAGGTGAATGCGGTGTTACAGATGAGTAAGGTGTTACAGGTGAGTATGGTGTTACAGGTGAGTGTGGTGTTACAGGTGAGTATGGTGTTACAGGTGAGTGTGGTGTTACAGGTGAGTGCAGTGTTACAGGTGAATGTGGTGTTACAGGTGAGTGTGGTGTTACAGGTGAGTGAGTGCGGTGTTACAGGTGAGTGCGGTGTTACAGGTGAGTATGGTGTTACAGGTGAGTGTGGTGTTACAGGTGAGTGTGGTGTTACAGGTGAGTGCGGTGTTACAGGTGAGTGTAGTGTTACAGGTGAGTGCAGTGTTACAGGTGAGTGTAGTGTTACAGGTGAGCGTGGTGTTACAGGTGAGTGCAGTGTTACAGGTGAATGCGGTGTTACAGGTGAGTAAGGTGTTACAGGTGAGTATGGTGTTACAGGTGAGTGTGGTGTTACAGGTGAGTATGGTGTTACAGGTGAGCGTGGTGTTACAGGTGAATGTGGTGTTACAGGTGAGTGAGTGCGGTGTTACAGGTGAGTGTGGTGTTACAGGTGAGTGTGGTGTACAGGTGAATGTGGTGTTACAGGTGAGTGTGGTGTTACAGGTGAGTAAGGTGTTACAGGCGAGAGCGGTGTTACAGGTGAGTGTGGTGTTACAGGTGAGTAAGGTGTTACAGGCGAGAGCGGTGTTACAGGTGAGTGTGGTGTTACAGGTGAGTAAGGTGTTACAGGCGAGAGCGGTGTTACAGGTGAGTGTGGTGTTACAGGTGAGTACAGTGTTACAGGTGATTGCGGTGTTACAGGTGAGTATTGTGTTACAGGTGAGTGTAGTGTTACAGGTGAGTGCAGTGTTCAGGTGAGTGTGGTGTTACAGGTGAGTGTAGTGTTACAGGTGAGTGCGGTGTTACAGGTGAGTGTAGTGTTACAGGTGAGTGTGGTGTTACAGGTGAGTGCAGTGTTCAGGTGAATGCGGTGTTACAGGTGAGTAAGGTGTTACAGGTGAGTATGGTGTTACAGGTGAGTGTGGTGTTACAGGTGAGTATGGTGTTACAGGTGAGTGTGGTGTTACAGGTGAGTGCAGTGTTACAGGTGAATGTGGTGTTACAGGTGAGTGAGTGCGGTGTTACAGGTGAGTGTAGTGTTACAGGTGAGTGCGGTGTTACAGGTGAGTGTGGTGTTACAGGTGAGTGTGGTGTACAGGTGAATGTGGTGTTACAGGTGAGTGTGGTGTTACAGGTGAGTAAGGTGTTACAGGTGAGTGCGGTGTTACAGGTGAGTGTGGTGTTACAGGTGAGTGTGGTGTTACAGGTGAGTAAGGTGTTACAGGCGAGAGCGGTGTTACAGGTGAGTGTGGTGTTACAGGTGAGTAAGGTGTTACAGGCGAGAGCGGTGTTACAGGTGAGTGTGGTGTTACAGGTGAGTAAGGTGTTACAGGCGAGAGCGGTGTTACAGGTGAGTGTGGTGTTACAGGTGAGTACAGTGTTACAGGTGATTGCGGTGTTACAGGTGAGTATTGTGTTACAGGTGAGTGTAGTGTTACAGGTGAGTGCAGTGTTCAGGTGAGTGTGGTGTTACAGGTGAGTGTGGTGTTACAGGTGAGTGCGGTGTTACAGGTGAGTAAGGTGTTACAGGCGAGAGCGGTGTTACAGGTGAGTGTGGTGTTACAGGTGAGTAAGGTGTTACAGGCGAGAGCGGTGTTACAGGTGAGTGTGGTGTTACAGGTGAGTACAGTGTTACAGGTGATTGCGGTGTTACAGGTGAGTATTGTGTTACAGGTGAGTGTAGTGTTACAGGTGAGTGCAGTGTTCAGGTGAGTGTGGTGTTACAGGTGAGTGTAGTGTTACAGGTGAGTGCGGTGTTACAGGTGAGTGTAGTGTTACAGGTGAGTGTGGTATTACAGGTGAGTGCAGTGTTCAGGTGAGTGTAGTGTTACAGGTGAGTGTGGTGTTACAGGTGAGTGTAGTGTTACAGGTGAGTGCGGTGTTACAGGTGAGTGCGGTGTTACAGGTGAGTGTGGTGTTACAGGTGAGTACAGTGTTACAGGTGAGCGTGGTGTTACAGGTGAGTGCAGTGTTACAGGTGAATGCGGTGTTACAGGTGAGTATGGTGTTACAGGTGAGTGTGGTGTTACAGGTGAGTATGGTGTTACAGGTGAGTGTGGTGTTACAGGTGAATGTGGTGTTACAGGTGAGTGAGTGCGGTGTTACAGGTGAGTGTGGTGTTACAGGTGAGTGTGGTGTACAGGTGAATGTGGTGTTACAGGTGAGTAAGGTGTTACAGGCGAGAGCGGTGTTACAGGTGAGTGTGGTGTTACAGGTGAGTAAGGTGTTACAGGCGAGAGCGGTGTTACAGGTGAGTGTGGTGTTACAGGTGAGTACAGTGTTACAGGTGATTGCGGTGTTACAGGTGAGTATTGTGTTACAGGTGAGTGTAGTGTTACAGGTGAGTGCAGTGTTCAGGTGAGTGTGGTGTTACAGGTGAGTGTAGTGTTACAGGTGAGTGCGGTGTTACAGGTGAGTGTGGTGTTACAGGTGAGTGTAGTGTTACAGGTGAGTGTGGTGTTACAGGTGAGTGCAGTGTTCAGGTGAATGCGGTGTTACAGGTGAGTAAGGTGTTACAGGTGAGTATGGTGTTACAGGTGAGTGTGGTGTTACAGGTGAGTATGGTGTTACAGGTGAGTGTGGTGTTACAGGTGAGTGCAGTGTTACAGGTGAATGTGGTGTTACAGGTGAGTGAGTGCGGTGTTACAGGTGAGTGTAGTGTTACAGGTGAGTGCGGTGTTACAGGTGAGTGTGGTGTTACAGGTGAGTGTGGTGTACAGGTGAATGTGGTGTTACAGGTGAGTGTGGTGTTACAGGTGAGTAAGGTGTTACAGGTGAGTGCGGTGTTACAGGTGAGTGTGGTGTTACAGGTGAGTGTGGTGTTACAGGTGAGTAAGGTGTTACAGGCGAGAGCGGTGTTACAGGTGAGTGTGGTGTTACAGGTGAGTAAGGTGTTACAGGCGAGAGCGGTGTTACAGGTGAGTGTGGTGTTACAGGTGAGTAAGGTGTTACAGGCGAGAGCGGTGTTACAGGTGAGTGTGGTGTTACAGGTGAGTACAGTGTTACAGGTGATTGCGGTGTTACAGGTGAGTATTGTGTTACAGGTGAGTGTAGTGTTACAGGTGAGTGCAGTGTTCAGGTGAGTGTGGTGTTACAGGTGAGTGTAGTGTTACAGGTGAGTGCGGTGTTACAGGTGAGTGTAGTGTTACAGGTGAGTGTGGTGTTACAGGTGAGTGCAGTGTTCAGGTGAGTGTAGTGTTACAGGTGAGTGTGGTGTTACAGGTGAGTGTAGTGTTACAGGTGAGTGCGGTGTCACAGGTGAGTGCGGTGTTACAGGTGAGTGTAGAGTTACAGGTAAGTGTGGTGTTACAGGTGAGTGTAGAGTTACAGGTGAGTGTGGTGTTACAGGTGAGTGTAGTGTTACAGGTGAGTGCAGTGTTACAGGTGAGTGCGGTGTAGTGTTACAGGTGAGTGCGGTGTTACAGGTGAGTGCGGTGTTACAGGTGAGTGTAGAGATACAGGTGAGTGTGGTGTTACAGGTGAGTATGGTGGTACAGGTGAGTGCGGTGTTACAGGTGAGTGCGGTGTTACAGGTGAGTGCGGTGTCCAGGTGAGTGCAGTGTTACAGGCGAGTGCAGTGGACATCAGGATACAGCTGAGCTCACCGAAATTATCCATGGCTGGGTCTTTACCAGGCATAAAGTTTCCTGTGATGTCTCTTTGACCTTCACCACCTGAACGACAAAACATCCACCCCCACCACGATAAACACGCAGAGACGAAGGGCCTTCGAGAATAATAATAATAATAATATGAATTACCATAGACCGATTTATAAAGATTCTGGCGGACGCGGTTACGACGCGCGTGCTTTACACACGCGGCGAACTGACCCAAAGATCTCATACGAAGTAGTATTCTCGGTCGCGAGAGTCCGCCAACGTGTTGCAATGTATGGACCGTCGAGGAAGGTGATTGTTATCGTACGAGGAAAGAGAAGAACACACACACACGGCACAAAGACCCACCCACGCCTTATTTGCGCCTCCGTTATAAGGCGTGTTACGGTCAAAGTGCTCTTTGCCTGAAGCGAGCCGAATGGCTGGGCTCACGTGTCTGTTGGCAAAGCCACGCGGTGCCAAATGAACATTGCACGAGGTGCCTCAGTTGGGCACCTTTATGGTTCAGATATGTACGTTGAAGTTCGTCGGGAGACTTACCTCATTCAACGATTCGACGTGGCTAGCCAACAGAGACCGGCTTTTGGCGAACCGTCGAACAGCAACGGTCACTGCATCGTGCGCTTTCAGATGGAGCGCTTCTGCGGCTATCTGGAACGCTCTCCCTTCCGATTTTAGGAAGCCACTGGAGCGATGCACTTATAGATCTCAATTGAAAACTTATTTCTTTAGAACTGCTTTATGTTTTTCGTTTGTTCTCCTCCCCCTGCACCTCCAATTAGTATGGTTCGCTACGTACTTCAACATACATACGTGAACGGTTGTGTCAACCAAAATTTACCCCATTAATTCCCCGTTGTTTAAGCCGTCAGCGTTAGCGAGCAGGTCTGCCGAGCTGAGCTTAGCCTTCTTCTACTCATGCCCTTGGATGATCGCAAGCGCTCACCGGATTGGGTGAGGTGTAGGGCGGAAGAGCAAGATACCCGCGAAATTCAAGTACAGCGTGCTTCAAAAAAATGTTAACACTTCTCAAAATTAGCAACAACACCACGTGACATGTGCTGCTGCCTCCTTACTACTGGAGACCACCTGGAGAAGATTCGAGGCCACGTGTTGACAACGATGGCGAACACGTGGAGACTCGTTGACTTTTTGAAGCTATTAACATTTCATTTGTTATGTTACAGTCTATTATCCCTTCTTTTTCCATTAAAAACGATAGTCCCATATAAGTGTTTAAAAAAATTAAGCACCCGGTAATTTAGGGGTTTGGTTAGAGACGCCGTTAGGGGGGGTGGTATCGTGAAAGGAGAAGTGGACGGTGGGAAAGTTCCAGAAAGGTCTCAGGATTGTGTATATAGAGGCAGACCTCACTTCGCGTTCATGATGCGTTCCTGGAGAAGTGAGCGCTAATCGCGAATCATGGGTCATAATACCATTGCATGTGCAGTTGATCATCGATAATTATACGACGCGCCATTATCCGGCTGCTTCCAACATAATCCGGCGGTCCTGGGCTGATCCGGCGAAACCGCTCCAAAGGTGTTTTTACCAGTCCAGCGATCGGCACCATGCGCGTGATAAAGAGAAAAGTAGCTATGCTTGATTTCAGTGTTAAGTACTATATATGGTACATGATACACTACATACAACTTAAACAATGAAAATGCTGCACTATATACATCACCCCATGCAGAGTCTTCGAGATTGGAGTGGTAAGTTCGGTACAGTAAATACGGTAACTTTTTAAAGTAGGATATCTAGATTTAGTCTATTTGTCTGTTTATCTATGCTAATGTCACATACTTTAAATATTTAACACACAAAAAACATTTACCAAGATGAGCATCAAGGATTATGGACTTTGAGGGACATCCTACAGCCCATTGTGCCGTAGTTCTTCACCAGAGTCTCAACCTGCTCTACACAGTCTTCGACCTTGTGATTGCCCAGGAAGCCACGAACCACTGCGACAAAGCTGTCCCAAGCCGCTTTCTCTTTACTAGTGAGCTTCTTGAGGAATTCATTGCACTCCAGGATCTTCTTTATCTGTGGTCCGACGAAGACACCGGCTTTGACCTTTGCCTCAGACAGCTTAGAGAAGAAGGCTTGAAGGTTATTGAAGGCTGCCGACTCCTTATCTACAGCTCTGACAAATTGTTTCATAAGGCACAATTTGATGGCGGTGGTGGCATCAGCACCTTCCAGGGGTCCACCAGTGGCTCCCACTTGACGTTGTTCCTCCCCACAGAGAACTCGGTCCGCTGTGGCCAGTCTCGCCTGTGGTAGTGCACCTTGGTGTCCCTGTTGTCCCAAAGGCAAATATAGCAGGGAAACTTGGTAAAACTGCCTTGGAGACCCATCAGGAATGCCACCATTTTGAAGTCTCCGATGGCCTCCCATCCGTACTCATCATACTTCAAGGCGTCCAGCAAGGTCTTGATGCTGTTGTAATCCTCTTTGAGGTGCACCGAGTGAGCCAGGGGAAGAGACAGGTACTTGTTACCATTATGGAGCAGCACGGCTTTGAGGCTCCTGGATGAGCTGTCAATGTAGAGGCGACACTCATTCTGGTTACAGGCGATTCCGATTGCCTCGAACAGACTGGTCACATTGTGGCAGAAGCAGAGCCCATCTTGACGGGTGAAGAAGCTGCAAAAAGGTTGGTGATGCTTCCTCTGATCTGCGACTTGGACACTTTCATCCAACAAGTTCCACTGCTTGAGCCGAGACGTCAAAAGCTCGGCATTGGACTTGGTGAGACCAAGATCTCTGATCAAGTAGTTGAGGTATTTTGGTTGGGGTAGTATGGGTTTCTCTCCTCAGCTCTACCTCTGAAATTGTCATCTGGATCTACAACGTCTTCCTCGCTCTCTGACTTGCTGCTCTCTTCTAAAGACGGCTGCTCTCTCTCCGGAGGAGTGGGTACGGGAAGCTCATGGCAGTGTGGCACCGGGGTGATGAATGAAGGAAGGTCTGGATATGTGATAGCAGGTGCATTCTTGCCAGTCCGACATTTGTTTCACCCATGACTAATGTGTAAGAGATTCTCGCAACATTTTTCATATACGATATATTTTTTTTTATAACATTGAAAATTTTAAAACATACTTTTTTTTTTACTATTTTTGGTTTATTTTAACTAATTTGATAACATAAAATTCCGAGCAACAATTGCCCATCTTCCCTTCCAGAGTATTTTTTTACATTGCTCCCAGGTGAAATGAGGTGCCCAGGGTTTGTCTTGATCCCCGACAGTCATGCCGGAATATGCCTTGTAGGCGCTCTTGTCTTGATAAATTGGCCGCAGACATCGCAAAATGTGTCTACCGGACGCTTGCAGCCTCTTGATGTCATCTCAGAAAAATGCAGATATGTATCCACTTCGGCAACTGGAACTTAACTGAACTGGTGGGCTTAAGGCCCCTGTATTTATACTACTATTTATATTACTGGGAAGTTCTAGAATTTTCTAGAAGTTACTCCAAGTTTACTCAGCACTGAATCTATCTGGAATCTTCTGGAAAATAGGTAAATTTCAAAATATCACTGTCCTGGCCACAAAACCAAAGTTTCGTGGGAAATAATAGCCATTTTCTGTACTTTTGAGGCATAAGCAATTAGGAAATAACACTTACTACCTAGGAATAAAAATGATACTAAATTGTTACAGTGTTATCAGTGACTATCCGACGTTTTCGAAAATTCGGCGCCCCCTTTCCCCCCCGCCCCGCTGCCGAAGCCAACGAATAATCGACAATTTACTCGATGGGGATGCCTTCCTGACAGCGTTATGTCGTTCCTATTAAAAATACATGAGGGCTTCATTGGGTAACGGCGAATCGGTTCGACTGCCCTGGGCCCCGCGCTTTCGGGGGCGGGGGCGGGGGGGGTAGGCCACACGCTTCGACGTCACGGTCTCAGATGTAATAGTTGCGCTTCAGTTTGAAAGGCGATGGAGGATCCGAGCAGAGCACGATAACGAATCGGCGTTTCACGGGGTCGCGGTAAGCGATGGTGAAGAGACCGCGGGGCGTTCGTATATTAAAGTTCCTTACCAGAGTGTTGCATTCAACTAGACTATGGAAGGGGTGTTCATGATATATGGTGTGTACGTAAGCATATTGCTTCGATATAAACCACTTTGGTAACCCGTCTCTTCTCCTAAAGTCGATTTGTCCTGGCGTGATAGTTCAATATATATTGTGTGCCTCGGTATTTTTAGGTTTCCCTCTCGGTTTCTTGGGGCTCTGGCTCAGTTTCTTGAATTTAACCCCCAAGGTGCTCCAGGAGGGGGTCGCCGTGTGGTAACCCAGCACGGTTAGCCACGTGAACATCTGAATTTCCACATTTTCGCGTCGTTCTGCTCCTTGGTTGCTAATTTTTGGCTAAAGGACAACAATCTTAACACTTTTAGCGGAATGTTATTGCCTTTTATGAACGTATTATTACAATTACAATGTATAACCGTCGACAATTACAATTGGTTTTGCGATTGATAATGCAGCACGTTGAAAGAGAACATGCTGCATACACATGTATTCCTACAGTCGAGTTATGGCAATGTGAAAAATGCAAACAGCGAATGAGTAAATTGGCAAATGCATGAACGAATGGGTGAACAGACAAACGAGTGGATAGGGAGCGTATAAATTAGTGGAATTCGCAAATGACCGTGTGAATTATGAATAAATGATGGAATTGGCGGATGATTTACTGAATGAGTGACAAAATTGAAATATCGAATAGGCGGATGAATTGAGTGAATGAGCGAATTAATTATCACATAGGTGGATGAATCAGCAAATCGGCGGATGAATGGGCGAACGAGAAAATTAAATGAGTTATGCACGCACGCACGCATTCACCTTTATCCTTCGGGGCCTCTTCAAGCGTCTGATAATTCACCTTGGTGGCTCCGATTCTTATGGCCTGGGACTCGCCCCCACACGTGTGGTCAGAGGTCGCGGTAGGCATTGGCAGGGCCGGACCTTGGGCAAACACACACGAGGCGCACGGTTGAAAGGTAAAACTTTATTTTCAAGTAACGTCACGGTTCAAGATAATTATTGTCGTTTTTCGTTGGTGGTGGTGGTTGTTGTTAAACAAGGTGTGGATCAGACTAAACAGATGGTGGAGGAATTAATGAGTGAAGTTCAAGCGATCAGTAACCATGGTTGTAGCGATGGAGTAATGAGGAGGCGACTGACTGCTGATCAGTGATTGGAGTGACTTAGTGAATGGACATGATCATCAACCTTAAACCAAACATCTGCTCGTGCTGCTGCATTGCCAGTGCTACGCAAGCACAATTAACAAACTCAACACATTCGTCGATAACAGTGCGACCTTGAAAGTAAAAAAAATCATTCTAATAGGCGACGTTTCGGGAAATCCTCCTTCTTCGTAGCACTCAAATCAATCACCCCAACTGCTTTACGTCGACTGCAAACACTCCTGGCAAGCTTGCTTAGCTGGTTGCAGTGGGGAGTGATCATCACCTCGTCTCTAGCAACTACGCTGAAGTGACCAGGCATTGCAAGGAGGAGGCTGTCACGTGGCTCTGTACCTATGTAGGCTGACGTACACTCAACATAACATCGACATAAATATATACACACACATTTAATTATTACTTTTTTCACTGTGTATCTGGTGCACTAACTGTGTAAAAGTCACGTGTAAAAGCATGAACTTGCGATCTGGCTTGGGTCCTTCATTGTTCCTGTACTTTTCTAACATCACTTCTGTTCTTACTGAAATCACAGCCCAAGGACCTGAACAAAAATATCCGAAAAATGTTAGGTCCTCGCACGTCTGGTCTCTTGAGGTCTCACCTGGTGAAAGAAATACACTTGGACCACACTCTGTAACGCTCTGAACCGCCACAACCCTACCAACACTGGATTTAGAAACATGCGTTTAGACTATTTGGCTGCTATACATTTCCACGTGATAAGCCAATTTATTAACCTATCATTTGTGGCCAGGTCACTTCTGAAAAAAAAGTGATATAGCTCAGTGGGCCTTACCTGATACAATTAAAACTAGTTTAAAAGTTTAGTTTGAATAGTATACCACAACTACCACACTCACAGTCTCCTGGCATCATCACCATAAATATAAAAACAAACCGCCACAAACTACGGATCTAAACACCATCGTGATAACACCGCCATCAACATCATCATCACCACAACCCTACCACTATACCACCACCACAACATCTGCCCCACCCTCCCACCCACCACTACGCCATCAACGGTTAGACCTTTGGCACTCTGAACAGTTAATTTAGGGTCACGTTATGTTCACATCCACTGCGGTACACAGCGCTCGTGTCAATATGGTTTGGACATGTTTGTTTTGTTGTAGTACGGAGTTAGACTGATGGCCTTAATCTAAGTTTTCTTATGGTTGTTGTTGTTGTTGTTTGACTTGCATCCCACTGGGATTTTTTTGCACACAGCGTTGGTGTACGGTGCTTTTTTCAGGAATATTTTGCTGTTTTTTTTCATGGATTTTCTGTTTGCACAGTCACATAGTCACTTTAAGATGTTTCCTTGTTCGTGTTTTTGTATTTTGTTGTGGTTGCACTCGATTCAAGAGCCGAATGGCTCACAGGGCTATACCAAAATAAATCAACTGAAACTGAACAATGTATATCCCGCGGTATATGTCACAGTCCTCAATAACGATCCCCATAACATCGGCATGCCCTTCCCCTACCCCCTACGCGCTTAAATCACTGCATCTGGGTAGACCGCGAGAGTAACCCCGATGTATTAAGAGAGAGGGGATTGGTGGTTGGAGATGTGGATACAGGGATGCAGGGAGAGTGATTGAATGAGAGACAAGGCGCCGTGGGGGGGGGGGGGGGGAGCACAATAAGCAAAGCATTGAAAAAACTAAAAAAACTAAATGATTAACGAAGCAAAGTGCCGACTACACCGAGCATCTTCTTGTTTCCTCTGATCGTAAAAAAGAGGCGACGTTGGCAGGAGTGACGGGGGAGGAGAGAGCTGTGGATGAAGAGGAGAGAACTGTGGATGAAGGAGGGAGCTGTGTGTGGAATGAAAGGTCTGGATCCCTTACCTGTCCCCCGCATGCTGGTGAGGAGAGTGTTCGCCACACGTACATCATCACATATATCAACATCAGCAACCTTCATCATCAATCCACTGTGTGTGTTGCCGGTTCGCGGGGGGCGCCGTGTTGCGTGAGTGTGTTGCCGGTTCATGGGAGGCGCCGCGTTGTGTGAGTGTGTTGTCGGTTCACGGGGAGCGCCGCATTGGGCTGTGTGTTGTTGGTTCACAAGGGGCACCGCGGTTGAGTCGCGACTGTAAAAAAATATATTTTATCTTCCTTTTGTGTTCTGTTGGTTCAGTGATAGGGGTATTCCTCGGGTTTGTGGGTTGCTCTGCCTGCCCACCGGTTTTGGCTGCTGTATTGGCAGCCGGAATGGCTGTTTTTTTTTTTACGGAGGGGGGGGCGGGTGATGTAGTGACATAGCGCTGACTGCTGTCCAGCAGCGGACACTGCGGTGGACAGTTAGCGCACACAGCCTACCAACTGTTCGAACTAAGTAGTGCTGCCGACAATAGACGGTCTTAATTATAATAGTGAGCACCCACATAGGATGTGTATTATCCCGATGGTGCTTGTTAAATAAAATAAGTGCCTCCAAGTATTACTGTCTCCGATCTGCTTCACCACATTTGGTGCCAGAAGTGGCAAGGAAAAATTCTTCATGTCGAAAGCAGCGAAGAGGAAGAACCCACCTGTAGGTCCCTCAGAGGACAAGCACGGCGGAGACGTTATCCCCCCAACAACCCCGGGACCCGGTCATGTGTCCCGCGGTCATGTGTCCTACTTGAGCGGCGCCTGAGGAGCAGCGGGAGCAGGGCGCTGGCCCCTCGCAGCCGCCTGCCGAGGAGGGATGGTGGGGACTCACCAGGCGTCTCGGACAACTGCTCTCTGCTACGCAGCTGGTCGTCCAACTTTGGGCGGCTGCGCCCACCAGAGGAGCCGCAGCACAGGGGCTACAGGCGCCCGGGTCGCCTCCCACCGCTGCGCCCGCACAGGAACCGGCAGCCACGTTTGCGGCGGGCAAAATGGCGGCCGCCATCTTGTCACCGGAACGGGAGCTGTTTACCGCCAAATTCGAGCCGCCATCTGTGGTTTTCGCGGGAGCGACATTTTAGCAGAGGCATGCTGCCTCCCGTCCGCGAGTTTGTAACGGCGGAGGGCGACTGAACGGCGTTTCAATGGCACTTCAAAGCAGCCTCCACTTCGGTAGTCGGAGGATTTGCGGGCTCTGTCGACGGCCTTAGATGATAACTCCTTGGCAGCGTTTGAGGCTATCCCAGAGGCGGATCGAGCGACTCTGCCTCGGGCAATCGCCCAAATGGCCGAAACGCCTCTCGCCTTCCGCAGTGCGCTGCTGACCTTGGGCTATGCAGCTTATCTGCAAATGGAACAGACGGTGCTCGATTCCCTGGCGCTGGAGAGGTTGCTGTAACTGGCTCAGGAGTTGGGCGTCACTTTCTCCATCACGGAGGAAGACAACCTGTCCTCTCTGAAGGTGGCCCGCTGTATCCAGGTGCACGTCAACTTGTGGCAGAGCACAAGGTGGCTGCTTGCGCGGGGGTGCCTGAGGATCCAGAGGGGCCTGTGCTGTGGGAACTGGAGCGGGCCTGCGCTTCCTTCGTCCAGAGCCCATGCGGGAGGAGAGTCAAGGGGCGGCAGCCAGAGCGGGAGTGGCGAGAGAGGGACCCCCTTCCAGCATGGAGGTCCGCGACGGCCTATTTCAAGTGCGGCCAGCCGGGCCACATCGCCAGGGGATACTGCAACAGTGCCGGATCATCCACCTCGTCTTCGACGTCCTCCGTCCTGCCGACATCCGCTTCCCCGGCCTCGCAAGCAAGTCGCGACGCATCAGACACTCAGCCGATTTAACAGGGTCAGTGTTGGTCTCCAAGACGTTGGCTGTGCCCTGTCTTCTGGGCACCCATTTTTTTGTCGATCAAGGTTGTGTGGAAATGCCGTTGGAGCATCGGTTGGCCTTCTTGACATCTAACGCTACAGTGCAAGCCTTGGCGAGGGAATTGGTTAAGATTCCACCAGGTGAACAGATGCTGGTGCCCTTGCGGTTTTGCAAACATCTGGATTTAGATAATTCCGCGGATGGAGTCCTCTTAACCCCGTCGAATACAGCGACTCGGGGTCTCGCGTTGGTGGGCGCTCAGATCATCGTCAGAGCGGACCCAGAGCCATTTTTACAGGTGCTAAATGTTGGGCTGGGGGCAGCTTGGTCCAAGCGGGCACAGTTTTGGCCCATGCAACGAGACATGGATTCACAAATTGTGCTCCGAAAATTCTGATTTGACCCAAGAACAATGGGAAGAGTTGTGTGCTCTTGCGGGAGTTTGCGGATGTTTTTAGCCAGGGAAAATGTGACACTGGGCACACTTCATTACTGTAGCACCGCATCAACATGGGGGATGCAACCCCAATAAGACAGAATTCACAGAGGATGAGCCCCAAGGAGAAGGACAATGTCTGGCAGGCAATTGACGAGATGTTGACCGCAGACATTATCTCTCCATCTACCAGCACCGTGGGAGGGCTTCCATTGTAATGGTTAAAAAAGGGGGATGGGAGCCTGTGCTTTTTGCGTAGATTTTTGGAAACTGAATACAATTTCCATAGCAGATGCCTATCCACTCCCTCGGATGGATGATTCCCTGGATGCATTGTCTGGTGCCCAGTTTTTCTCAACCCTCGATTTGTTATCAGGGTTCTGGCAGCTGCCCCTGGAATCCAAACCGAAGACCGCGTTACGGACACCCCCGGGTTGTTCCAAATTAACTGCTTTCCTATGGGGCTGCATTCAGCTCCAGCCACGTTTCAACGACTGATGAAATTGGTCTTGGCAGGTCTGCAATGGGATTCGTGCCTCATTTATCTGGACGATGTCATCGTGTTCGGACGCA